GGGTGGAGGGGAGGGTTGGTGGTGGGATGGGCTAGGGGAGCGAGGGTCGGCACTGGGTTCTCCGGTTCCATGTTCTGGTCGATGAGGTGGAGGTAATTGTCGATGTCGTCTGCGCAGAGGAAGTGGGCTGGGTAGTTGTCCCCCTCCGACTTTTCGAGCTCGGCGACCAGCTGAGGGTCGGACTCCTTGGCGAGCCTGTAGGGCTGGTGTGGCACATCGTGGATGAGGTCTTCGAGTCTCTTCAGGGGCAGCTCCTTCTGGTTCTCGTAGTCTTGGTCGATGGGGTGGATGCGGTCGCTGGATTTGGATGGCGGGAGAGAGATGTTGACTCGCCTCTCGAGCGGGATCTGGGGGGAGTTGTTGATCTCGAGGAGGATGTCTAGTAGGCGGCTGGTCGTTTCTGTTAGCCATCATCTTACACTGGGGAATGCATACTTGATGCGGTGCTCTCGTACTCGTTCTCAATAGCTAACCGCTTCACGGTTGCCTGTGCTTTGGCCTCCTGCTTGAAAATATCTTCGCCCTCGTGCATCTTGTGCTCAAAGGAGATGCGCATCTTGCGGTACTTCTTCTTCCATGACTTGTACCCAGCCTTGGGCCGAGGCGCGGCATCGCCCTCGGTCTTCACTGGGGATTCGGCCATTTCTGGCTGCTGCAGCTATCTCCAGCGCGCTCCGGGAGATTCTCCCCCCTGGCTTTCCGAATTGCGCACTTGCACGATGCAGCGATCGGGCTGAGGCTGGCGGAATGTTGACTCGTGGCCGGGAAAAAAACGGGATGTGCTGTAAGTTCGGGGCGAATGTGGTGTGGAATTGATGTCTCAGGCGGAGTGCAGCCAGCTGGAAAAGGTGTCACGCGGAATCGCTGGCGACAGGCGATGATGGAAGGAGCAAGAGTGACGAATGAATTGATGAAGCGCGGTGCAGTCTCTTTGTGAGGCGTGAGACGTTGGAAGGGCGGCGGGTCCTCTTTTTCTGGACGCGACTACTCATCGGGGGTCAGACAGCTCGATCCGGCCAGTGAAGCTGCGCTGCGATCAAACAGCGCTTAAACCAACAGGCCTGCGGAACAGCTCCGGTTGTCCACCTCTGCACCACTGAATGACTCTCTGCTGGTGCGTACTTTCACATTTCTTTTCTGTCTAGATTAGAACAGGATCGATTTAATCATTTCATATACCTCGTGCGAGTAAATACACATTTCTACTTTCAACTTGTGCATTTGGGAATGCTGCCTCGCCTCAACCCAGCGCACCAAGTTGGTTTGGAGGTGCACGCCATTATTACTATATCCATCTCTTTTGACCTGTGCCAGCCACTCAAGATGATGCTACCTCTTTTCCTAGCCTCTCCAACTCGTCTCTGATGAATTCGGCTGCGTTGATAATTTCAGTACTTCCATAAACCACCCGCTTCTTCGCTCGGTCTCCCCCTGTTCGGCTAACCCAGTCATTTAGATTACCATATTCTTCCATGCTTCCACCGCCAATGGTAAATACAATAGCCTCGCTGTAGCCCTGCCGCCGCTGACCGAAGCTGGCTGTTTGACCAGGCGCCTGCGAACCGGGCAGTCCACCAGGCGCACTGCCTCCCCCGCCTGCTCTTATAGCACTTGGGGGTGGCATGGTCCCACGGGCATTAGCTGAACGTGGGTCAAAATAGAGATAGTTCTCTGTCTTGGCAATGGCGGAAGATGAAGCAGTGGAGGGGTCCATGATAGATTCTACAATCTTCGTAACTGTAAGATCCTTATCAACAGGGAGGAAGGTCTTGACACCGCTGATAAGCGAGTCAAAGTTGGATGAGAGGCCGGTTGGAACACCGGATTCCTTTAATCGATCTGTTAGGCGGGAAGATATAGAGGAAAAGCGACCAAAGAGATCCGAAGATCCTTGTTGTTGGCCAGAATTTTTATTGACGGTAGCGAGTTGGGTCATCTTGGTCGTGGCTCGAACACTGTTGGTTTTCAAATGTTAGCAAAAATCTCCCTTGTGATACATGATGGGGTGGGATCAACGAACTGCTTGATGTAAGGAAGCGACGATACATCGGAACCTGCCGCCTCCAGAGCCTTTTCAAATGCTTCGAATTCGGCTCGACTGAGTTCCTGCTCCGTGCTCAAGAACCAAATAATAAAGAGGCGAAGTTTGTCTGTAGGTTCATTTCCCTTGTCCGCACCTTTGATAACCTCCATGATCTGATCCTTGGACTGTCTTGTTACCTCCTCTTCTATTTGGAAGTAATTGTCGACCTGACGGTTCTTGATGCCGTTGAAGATTGCCGTCAAGATGTTCATGTGCATATCGAGAGTCGCTTTCCGCTCTTGCATTTCTGGAAGCTCTCCTATGACTGCTTTCAGATGCTGTGTGGCCGCGCTGGTCTCGTTTTGCAGATCCTCGAATTGGGAGGCCCCGGCCTTCTTCGTCATAGCAGCAGACTCTTCCCTCCACTTATTCAGCTCAGCATCTACTGAGTCGGCGGCCTCTACGACTGGGGCTCCGGCATGCTTTGTCCAGAAAAAGTCGCTCGAGGTTAGGTCGTAGATCTTCTTTGACTTTCCCTTGGCAGGGTTGTTTTCCTCGGCTGGCATCTCAACGGTGATTTTGTTGAGCTTCATGTTTAGGACATCATGCACCAGGGACTGATATGTCCACGAGTGGGAGAGCATCGTTGTTAGGTCCACGTTTCGATCAAGCAGAACGAGCACTGGGCGAGAGGACGCCGTGCTTCCAGCACCACCTTTTGGACCAGAAAATAGATTGTCCTTTGAGTTTAAGATATGGTCTCGGAGTTTGCGATCGAGTCGGACTGCCACCATCTCCGCAGCAGCATCCTTGGGGCACCGAATAATGGGGATCACACCTGTAAAATCAGACGTCAATATAATCCGGGGTCTTTTGAGCGCCTTGGGTCCTTACCCATGGTGACAACAACACTGAACAAACCGTTCACGATCCTATCAATCACTCGTTCAAGCTCGGCATCGCTGGTGGCCGCACTATTCAGCGCCCAGTACGTATGTTCACTCTGCATATTCAGGCTGAACAAATCCGGCTCCGTCACAACAAAGTTCAGATATTGGTCGTAAAGCTGTGCGATCTGCTCCGACGTCCCGGCTGTCGCAGTCTGTGTCGCAAAGTCCTCCAGCAGGACTCGAGGCAAGGAGCATAGGAAGTTGATGTAAGCCGGGGAGTAGAGGCCCTTCTCCAAATCGTTGGTGATGGATTGAATGTTCTTTTCGTTTGGTTCGAGGAGGTAGATGACAGGGACATCGGGGATCGGGTGTCGGGTGGTTCCAATGTGCCTACATGATCGTGTTGGATGACCTGATGATTCTCGCTGAATGGTGGGAGACAACATACTTGTGCATTGTGACGCCCATGGATCTCAAGTCAGAGACTCGAAGAACGCTGCTGACAACATCGCGGCCAAAGTCGTCGAACACCAGCACTTTCCAGATAGGATTCCCGTCAGCATCCAAGATTGGGGCAACCGGTGCCAGTAGCGCGTGGGCTTGGGCTTCATCTTTGTCACTGGTCTCGACGGTTTCGTTGAGATTTAATATTTTCTTCAGCGAGGCTACGCAGAGCATTAGCGACCACTGTGATTGGATTATGAACATGTCGGGTTTACCAATTTGGCGATCTCGCAGCGAGTCGCCGTGAGCTGCCATGGTGGCTACTGTGGGTGAGCCTCCTATTCCACGGCGGACTTGCGACAATTGGTAACTGTCGCTTTGGATCAGGTGTTTCAAGGGCTGTGCGAAAAGATCATCGGACACGCGCCTGGAACGTCGATATGCAAAACCAAGATAATGGGTTAACAGCTAACCGCAGGTATCTTGGAGCTTTGGGGCCACGACATCACAATGCCCACTTCAAGCTCCATCAGCAGCCAGTAGCAATTCGTGTAGTTGCTTGCCTTGGCCTGCAGTTCAGTTCAAGGTGGGGTAGGCGGGCGAGATGCCACGGACCGACTTGGCCCCGATTGCAAGGTACGTACTGCAACCTTACCTAAGGTGGGCAGGTGGGGAAGGAGGTGTCTGGCATTGCTGCCTTATTGCGCTGGGCAACTGCCAACTGCAGGGAGTCGAGACACGGTCGCGTGTGCATGTGGATGCGCCTTGATGCCTGAACTCTGAGGCTCGCCAATAAACTCGGGGGCGTACGTGCCTGGAACGGAGGCTTAACTTTTTCCTCATCATTCAACGACACCTCATCAACCACGGGCAATTTCTTCGGTAATCACAGTCAAACGGCGTCAAACCCAGCAGAGGACGGCGTGACTAGATACTCTAACGCACCCGAGAGCCAACACACCTGCACCAGAGCCTCAACGGGCGACTGCGACGGGGTGCGCTCTTTGCGTGTGTGTTCGTTCTTCCACCCTTCCCCTTAATCTTGTCTCTTCTCTCCGCCACGGATGGTGTCGTAAGCAACAAACAGTCGCGTCACTGTGAATAGGTGACTTGGTAATCGAGATTTTCACTTGCGCAAGTCCGCAGAGACGGGCCAAGGGTAAGAACGAGGATCGCGTCCTCCACAGGGAGTGTAGGTATGGCATTACTCCCACATCAATCCACGCACCACCACAAGCACATTCCCCCTCGCATCACCCCTTGCACGACCATCCATCATCATCACCACCCGCCAGGCATAATGAAGCAAGCGACTCCGCGCGTTAGTACTTGTGATACCCATGAATAATGGAAGGACAATCACTCTACCTACGACTATAAAATAATTGGAACAAATGATAGGAATGGCTGTGGCTCAAGCTGTAGGCCTGACTTCCCATGCAGCAAAAGCAGGGTCTGTTGAGGTCGGGAGCTTGACGCGCCAAACCTTGACTTGGGCACAACCGTTTCATTTAATCGTCCAGCCCACAAGGAAATGGCGAACACTTAAGGCTCTACTATCTGGTCAGCTTTGCGGCCCTGCTTTGCAGCGCAGATCAAGACGCCTGCGGTGTCTTGTCATAAAACAGCTGAGCTGATTTAGAACATGCCTGAGTCCGGAGCGGCCAAAAATGGCGCGACCTTTGAGTGCATACTGAGAAAACAAAGAAGAGCAAGCACAGCGGGTTTCCAAATAACTACCTACCTATCGCCACCTTTCAACCTTAATTCGAAAGGCTTATCCATAATACCCGCCAAAGAAGAGTCCTCTCTGGTCGGGCGGTCACTTCACACTATTTCCCTCTTCTCTTCCTAACTTGTTTTCTCTTTCCATAATGCAGCTGAGCAGCGCAAGTGCAGCGATCAGTGCCAGCACCCCAGTCAGCGACAGTGGTGTTCGACGGGTGGTGGTGGTGCTTATTCCCCACTCCCAAAAACATGGCACACCTTCTACTCACCTTTGTTAAGCCTTGACCGGAACTCCCCCAGCATCGGCCTTTCTCTATTTTCATGAGTCTGGAACTCTTTACATCCCTCTCAAAAGCACAACCTACATCACCATTGCCACTCGATTCTCCTCAATTACAGTCGATTTACTGATACAAGATGCTTGCTGTTCTACAGATCCTGTGCAACCACTCACGCCTCACGCTTGATGCATAGCCCCTGCACGCGCTCCCAATCAGGACTAGCGGTAAATCATATCGCGTAGATCCGGAATTCAGCCACGACCAACCACCATCATCGTCATCCTCTTCCATCGCAGCCTGTGAGTACCCGTTGGCCATCTGCCATCTACCGCGCCGAGTCCAAGCATCTATTTCCCCGTCACTCTTTATCTACTGCCATCTGAAGCATCTAAGCCTCCGATGGCAAGACCTCTTGTCTATGCTGTTTCCTTTCTTTCTTTCTTTCTTTCTTTCTTTCTTTCTAAAGGCCCCCTGGACTACTTAGATACTCTATCTGCCCGGCACACCGGATCTACTCTTCTTAGACTTACCTTAGATACTAACTTAATGTCAAATCACTAGAAAGGAGACGTGAAAGAGAAGTGACGGCCTTGGTCCGCAAGCCCCCTTGGGCAACGTCCACACTGCAACAATGCAGTCGTGGTCAAACCAAGGACAGAATGGCACTGATGGTCACGACTCGTGGCAGTCCAATTTCAATTTCTCAAATCAGAATGCCCAGTATGATCACAGCCAATCCTGGTCTCAGCCCATGCCGGGTCAGGACTACGGAAGGCAGATGAACTCGTCAGACCTTGCTACCAATTTCCTGCATGATCCCCATTCGTTTTCCAACTACGACGACAACCACGGCTCCTTCGATCTAGGCCCGCAATATCCCTCTCAGGATGTCCTGGATCCTGCTTTCGCAAACATACAGCCAGAATTGTACAACCAGCAGGATAAACTTGGTCTTTCGGGGGACAACATCCACCAAATGGAGCAGCTTCAAAGGCATCCCCATTCTCAAGCACAGGGGTTTTCCAACCACGACTATTCGACCTTTGCACCTCAGCATGAGCAGTCGTTTCCCTCCCCTCCCTCACAATTCTCTCAGCCCCAGGTGATGCCACAAGCCTCGAAGCCACAATCTCACACGCCGGTTCAGTCGTACAGCAACGTTCAGCCGAATAACTTTGCTCAGAACCAGCTACGCCCAAGCCAGCCTTCGCCTGGGCAGCACCAGCAGCATCAGCAGGCTTACAATCCCAATACATCCTATGGACACGTCAACGGCCACGGCGCACAGTATCAGCCAAGTCCTGTGAATCATACGAACTACCAGATTCAACAACCTGTCTATCAGCAGCAGCAGCAGCAACCACAGGCACAATCACCGGCTCAATCACACCCTCACGCCCAGCATCCTTCATATGCCTCGCCGAAGCCGTTCACCTACCAGCAGCAGCCGCAGCACGCGCCGGCACACGGGTTTCCCCAACCCGGTCTGCAACAAAACGGCCAGCCTCGATTAAGCCAACCAGTGGTCTCGGATCCTCATCCATCACACCCTATCCCAGCCGAACATGCCCCTGTTCAACTGCAGCCCACTGAGGCGCCGGCCAAAAAGAGAAAGCGAACAGTGAACTCGACGACGGACTCGCCGAGTTTGGAGAACTCACCGCAACGTTTCAATTCGCCGATGGAGTCTACCGTTAGGAAGGCAGAGGAGATTGATGCACTAATCCCCCCCACTCCATCCCCGGAGGATTTGGTTTTGTTGCAACAGTTCAATAAGCGCCCAAAGGGTGCTCAGGCAAAGTTTCCTCCCATCAAGGGCCTTCCATATTTAGCCAACGACGCCACTATTAAACTTCCAGGTGCGTGTTTCCATCTTGCAATGTGTTGGAGTCTACAGCTAACAATAAACCCAGTCCCAAAGAGCTATGACAAGCTGGCGCCCTTGGTTGCATTGCCTCCTCGTAGCAAACGGTCTATTGTCCCTGAACTTGGCTATGACTTACCTTGTGAAATTCAAGGAAAGTTCACCAACCTGTATCGCCCAGCGTTCGATAAGATAGGCCTGGACGAGAGGAGAATAGAAGCGAAAACCCTTCTTGATGAGTTCGACCGCTCCATGAAGTCCCTTGGCAAGAAACGGCCAAAGTACACCGAATATCCCCGTAAGTTTTGGACATTGTCAACGTAACATTTCCGTCTTGCTAATAAACCGCAGATGCATTCAAGGAACAACTCAAAGCGGACGAAGCATCCAAAAATAAAGCCGAGAAGAAGGCGAAGAGAGAGCAGGAGGAAGAGCGCAAGGATGAACGCAACAAACCCGTTCGCCCCCCCACACGACCCTCCGACCCGATCGAAGCTGCAAGATGGGATGCCATTGGGATTGTTTATATCGATCCTTCCGAAACCAAAACCAATTCTCTTGTTGCCAGCCGGGTTCAGCAGGCAGGAGACTTTTTCATCAAGCTTCGCAGCGAAATGAATCAGGCCAAGCAAGAACTAGATCAGGCTACCAAAGAAAGTAAAACCGATCCCGAACTTCAAGAGCTGAAGAAGATATACGAGAGAAAGAAACAAGCACTCTTCAAAGTGCTTGATGACACGGTTGAACATGCCGATGACTCGGTCTTGAACAACCTAGGAGGCCATCATAAACTGGTATTAAGTCTCATCAATGTCTTGATTTTTTCTATCAAGGCCGGTGACTTCTCGGGAGAGCTTCCGAAAGTCGTCCTGGAGCTCTTTACTCATTTCCAGATCACGAGAAAAATCGCTGAAACCACCAACTTCGATACAGTGCGGAAGCGATTTGCAGAAAAGGGCGACAGTGACGTCAGAGAGCTGGTCCGTGAGATTTCAGCCAAAATCAAGAAATATCTCAGATTGATTGAAGAGTCGACTGGATACACAGGCACCTCAGCTGCTAGCAGAGCTGCCAAGGCACCCAAGCCTGCCGCGGGTTCTACTGTCAAGAGAGGACGTGATGATGATACGAGCGCCGAGACCAGGATTGTGAAGAAGGTTGCAGTTGAGCCAGGGAGCGGTTCTCTTAGTAAGAAACTTGCCCAGCCCAAACTCCAACTTACATCAGCGTCCAAAACTACTGCCGCCAAGGCCGCGGCGTCCTCTCTGCAGCTGGACAAGCAACGCACAGTGGCCAAGCCGCTGTCAAAGGCCGAGCCTGTGACTGGTAGCGACCACGCGAAGACATCAAGCGATGATAAGCCCAGACTCGAACACAAGAAGCCCCTAGCCAAAGTAGAAAAGACCAAGCCAAACCCAGCCAAGGCCGATCCCAGAGCGACAGTTCCGAAGACGGCTGCACCCCCTTCTGCTTCCAGTTCTGCTCTATCTGGAATTGCTTCTTTGTTAGATTCTATCAACGCCCCCCGACCTGTAACACCACCTGCTGCAAAAGAGGGCAAAGAATCTGAATTGCCGGAAACAGCAGAGGAAAAGGCCAAAAGATTGCGTAAAGAAGCGCGGCGTAAGCTTCGCGTAACTTGGAAGCCCGACTCTGAGCTCGTGCAGGTAAAGACCTTTGAGAAGGAAGAAGGCGAAGATCTCGGACGAGACGTCAATATGATCCGTGATGCTGCCGATGACCGCGCGGAGGGCATGGTGCTCAAGCGGGGAGTTGACGTTGAAGAAGAGGACGAGGACGAGGACATTCCATACCAACCCTGGCTTGGGCCCATCCTCTCCGATCTTTCTTCCCTTTCCGAAGAAGCAAGAAAGAAGAATTACACTACACGCGGAGGGCAAGTTTCCTTCTCGACTGAGGAGCAAAAGCGTATCGCTGAACGGGGCCAGCGGGAGCTTATGGCTATCTATGCCGACCCCTCCGACATCCCTCCTTCGCCAAAATCGCCTCCCCCAGAAGATTATAGCCCTGTCGACCCCAAGGTTGGACACTTTCCTACTGAAGGCTCTGCTTTCGAGGAAATTCAGCTTCGTTGGCGAGATGGGCAACAAATGGGAGTTGATGGCGCCCTGTACAGCGCAAATCAGCGTCTTAATGCGAAGTCGGGCTCATCTGACAAATTGGAATCAATCTTAGGCAGCCTGCGGAAGACCCCTTCCCAATCTCAGGGATCCTCTTCGTCAGGTGCCAGTAAGCGACCTGCTGTAATTGATACCAACGTGCCTCTCGTTATGGGTGTCGCGTTAACGGAACAGGTTCTTTCATTGCTACGGTCTGATGCAGCTAAGAACTGGAAAGACCCCCAACCTGTTAGTGGAGATCCCAACCGGATACATCAGTATAGCGACCCAGCTACACAGGTTGCCGGAAATGCTGTAGAGCTCCTTGCGTCTAGTCTTGCAGGCAAGCCCTTCCCAGCTACTGCGCCACCATCTTGGCTTTCCCAAGATGAGGAGAGAGTCCGTGAATGGTGGTTGTGTTACAATAAAGAGTCAGCTATCAGACACAAGCGGGCCGAAGAGGAGCATGGCAGGGCCGAGGCTGAGGCGAATGCGCTCCGAGCCGCCGCCGCCGCAACTGCCGCCGCCTCGACGACGACACCAGCCCAGGCAAGCAATCCTGAATGGGCAGCGTACTATGCTCAGCAACAGCAAGCCTATGCACCCTACATGGCAATCTTACAGCAGATGAATGCGGGTCAGAACCAAAACTCTCAGGCACAGCCTTCCCAGCAGAGCCAGGTGACCAATGACCAGCTACAGTCCATTCTCGCAGCAATGAACCAGCAGCCCCAGGCCCAGCAGCAACAACAACCATCAGCGGCGCAGCCTCAGAATCCAGCAAGCTTCCTAAACCCCAATGACACATCGTATCAGCAATTGATGATGCTCACACAGCTGGCTCAAGGAAACATGCAAGGACAATCCAGTGGTGATCGTGAGCACGACCGTGAGCATGACCGTGAGAGGAACTGGGATCGCCATGACCGTAATGACGACTACGGCCGAGATAGATACAGAGACAAGGACAGCAAGAAGAAGAAGCCAGGCCCAACAACCATCCACAAACCACCCAACGCCGCTCTAATCGGGACAAAGCCTTGCTCTTTCTGGCAGCAAGGAAAATGTGCTCGTGGCGAACATTGCACATTCAGACACGACTGAACTAGTCGAAGGTGTCGCCGACTACATATCATTTTTGTTTCAATACTTTTTTTGTTTGTATACCGAAAACCGCATACCCTGTTATAAAAACACACTCGGAATTGGCGTTTGGCTGCTGGCACTGTCGAAACACGGGAAGAACCCTAGTTGCGATTCGAGGGAAGATGATAGGACCCTAACCATGTAAAGTACTGGCATTTTTTTCATTTGTTTCATATAATGGCGCTGGATCCGCACCGTCGAAACAGGTCGAGGGCGGATGGGAAGTAGTTAGGCGTTGCTTTTTTGCCTCCACGGCCAAGATGATAGACTATTTATAACCCTTCAAATTCCAACGACTGTAATAATTTTTTTTAATCTCTTCCGTTCCCTCAATCTCCAGCGATGACATGTACCTTTGTGACGTAGATGGCCGAGTATCATAGGATATCTGTATTCCAACCAGGCTACATGGCCGTGAGCAGTTACTTAATCACCTTCTCTGCTAACTACTCCGACTTCATCTCAGTGTCCCCCTCGCCAGGTCTCTTGATCAGGCCGCGCAGGCTCAAGTCGTAGACGACGTCCTCGACCCTCTTGACGTCGTACTTGACGGCGTCGGCCCTCTTGCGGAGGATGTCGTTCTTGAGGTTGAGGAGCTGGAACCCGGCGAAGAGGTCCTTGATGAAGGCGCTGATGGTGAGGGGCAGGTCGAAGTCGCCCATGGTCACGGCGTTGGTGGCGAGGCGGGACAGCTCATGAGTGACATCGGTGAGGGAGAGGAGGTACTCCTCGAGGGTGATGTGGAAGGCGTCGCGATCCTTGAGGTGGGTGGGCACCTTGAAGAGGGTGCCGATCTCCTCGAGGGTGAGGAGGCGCCCGAGGGAGGGGGTGCCCACGGAGGCGAGGCCGCCGAGCCAGGCGGTCAGGACGGCTGAGGAGATGGCGTTTTGGACGGCGCGGGACCACTTGGAGTTGTATCTGACGGGTTGTGGTTAGTAATTCATTGCTGATGGTTTGGTTGATTCATCAGGGTTATGGGGGTCATACTTGTAGTACGGGTGCTTGGAGGCGAGCTCGTTCAGCTCGCCGATGACGGAGACTTGCTCTTGAATGGCTGTCTCGACCTGTGCTACCAACGTAGGATCTGTATTTTATTAATATCAGTTGAGCGCTCGGATGAATTACACCAAATCATCAGAAAAGGGAAAGCTAAAGGATCTAGTGAAAACTCACAACGACTGCGGGGTGTTGAGTGAACGCGGGAGAGAAAGGCCTGGGCAGAGGCGACGGAACGCTCAAGGCGCTGGATGATCTGGGTCAGCGTCTCGCGGATCTGCGATTCCTCCTCCAGCTTGTCTTTGAGATAATCAAAGATGGAGGGGTCCAAAAGCGTAGATTCGGATGCCATGACTGCTTCGTTTGCCAAGGGCTAAATTTGATGGGTTCTATACAACTTGGTGAGCGAGGGGCTTGTTGGTCCTAGACACGAGATGCAGTACGAATTTAGATACCCTCAGATAGATGGAAATGCTAGACGGGACGAAGTGGCAGAGATAGAGATGATACAGTGTTTGCGATGAGTTTGAGAGTCGGCGTTGTGGCTAAGGCTGCGCTTTGCTAAGATCTTCAAGATCTCAAATTCTAACCCCTCCTTACCTACCCTATACTTATTCTATTGAAAGTCTCGCTCGGTTCGTTCAGGCCGGCTACCTAGGTATGTTGCAAGCAAAGAATCAGGTCCTTTGAGCTAATTCCAACGGTAAACCCGAAATTTAAGGCATCTAGTTTCTTTAGCCCTATCGGAACTACCTTAGCAACGAAACCTTCGTTGATAGAGCCGTATGGTGTGGATTGCGCCCGTGCTTACAGAGGTGTTGAAAGCACTGGCACTGGTGAGCATGAACCTCGTCCCTTCATTCGGCAATGATACTCAGTAGATCACGAAGACACGTAGTAAGATAGAGACCAAAACTGAAGCCACAGAACGACGATCTTCCGAGAACCATATTATATGCGAAATTGACGGCCGGTATTTCAGATTTAATGTAGGCTATGGGCTATAGAAGATCAAGCTCGACCATGCTGAGAAGTTGGACACCGTTTAGAAGGCTACCTATGGAGCTTTACCCTAGCCTTTCGGATCTGGAGTCACTTTGATCAAACTTCTAAAACCAAGGATGTGTTCATCGTCATCGATGGGCTAGAGTCAACAACAATACAAAAATGCACCTGAAGGATGCAATGCTCTAGCTATCATCTAGACATTGGTCGGGTAAGATGAAAATAGAGGTGACTTAGGTAACTATATCGCAAAAATGCCAAATGGTGTATTACGATGGTCCGCTCTACAGTCGGAGGCACTCTGTAACGAGGAACGAAAAGGATATTCGGCGAGTTGTAAAAAAGCCCCCAAAAGATTTATAAGAGATGTATGGGCGCATGTTGCAAATTCGCAACACAACACGGAAGGAGCCTTGGTCATTCTCCGATGGTTACCTTGTTCGACGTGACCTCTGACAGTTGCTGAGGTTGCCGAGCTAGTTGCGATTGACGTCTATAACCCCAGGTCTCCCCTGAAGAAGATGCTTTCAGGATCGATTTCACCCTGAAGATCACTTCCACTAAGCTAGATCTGTCCTTGAACTGGTGTCTGGACTCGCCAGTTGCGAGGACAATGACAGTGTCCCTCCCTTAGTAACTTTGCGCATTTCCCAATCCTTGACTATCTGCAGAGAAATAATGGGTCATTACCTACTCCCAGACTGGCCCCTTCCAGAGGAAACCGATTGATTCTGGCGTACATATGTGCTCGGCAACAGGCGACCCTCTCAGTCTCATGCCCACTTCCTCTACGTCCTATATAGCATGCAGGGCCCACTGAAGCGCCCGGTGACTGTTCTTTCCGACATTGCTGTATGTGCTGTCTCCCTGGGCAAGAAAGCTGAAAGGTGAAGGTGGAAGTCGCGAGACGAGTGCTGAGTACCTGCCTGGGTACTCAAATTATGGGGCCATTCTTTGGAAGAGAAGGAAGAAATCTGGAGAGTGAGAATGTTGAAGGACCTTGAGAAACCTGAAATCACCATGAGTGAGTTTTTGTCAAATCAGCGATTCACAAAGCAGACGTACTTTGTGTCGATAGTGCCGACAAGTGTTGCTGTCGAGTGCGAAAGTTTTCGCTTCTGTAGAGAAGTTTCTTCATGTGATCGCCTGTCCATCCTCCTACCTGCCTGACTGTCCAGTAGTTCTCTACTTGCCTTTGGTACCTTCCTCATCATTCTCACGCAAGGTACATAGTTGAACTCCAGGAAGTAGCACCGGTACAATAACAATACACCAGGAAGGAACGACAGAAATCATGGTTCACGGACAGCTACTTGTTTCTGGCGAGCCATCCAATGTTTTCTTTTTCCTTTTGTTTCTTCCTCAAATCGACTCGAAAAGGAATTTTGTTACTATCTCAATCGTCCAACTTCGTTTTCACCATGGGTGACTGGCAATCTTACTTCGCTACTGTTGGTAGTCTGGCGACGATTCTTACGGCAGTTTTCAAGATTCTTCGATTCGTCTACCGTCAATTCTACCCCCCAGTCTAGCCTTCGCCTTCGGAAGACTACCTGAAGCAATTGGTTGAGGCAGCGGGCCGGAGGGAAGCCCTCCTGATTGCGCAAAACGCGATCCTTAAGAAGCTACTTGACCTGCGGACGGGAACTCAACCGGAGGCAGCCTCAGTCCAACAGTCAGTATCCCAGATACGTGACTGGACAGAAATCTTGGTCGATCTTGCGTTCCTCGCGACCGAGTCTGATGAAGCACTGTGACTGGAGCCTTTAGCCAATGAACCTAGCTTCCGATAAGGCGAACGTTCGGCTATTGGACCCCCCAGAGAATTTCTCTGATGATGCCTAACTAGCATCCCTTTCCGCGGGAAAGGGCCTCCGCTCTCCGAAGAGTTGGAGGGTCCCTGTGAAACCCGTCCGGGCACTCCAGGGGTCCCCCGACGAAGGGATCGCATCTTGACGCGATGTCGGGGCTCAACAAGTGTTGCTAAGACGATCCCGCTCATTGAGCCTTCAATCCATTAACAGGTACGTAGGACAGATTCATGTTTGGTACCTAAAGGGGAGGCTAACACTCATATATGACACTCCCACCAGCTTCTTGATGCTCTCGATTCCGTCGGCCCTATCAAGACATTCGCGGACTTCGAGCCCACGCGATCATTGACTTGTCCATTGTGGACACGAGGTTGGATAAGTTCAGTCAAGTTCTCAGAATGGTAACATAGGCATTTGTTCTTTGTGTAAAATGTCATTGGTAGATCACTGGTTATTTTGTGTCGTTGTTAAATAGAGGCATCAAGTGGACGTCATGAACGCAGGGACCGTAGAGTTACCTCGACAATCAATGCGGTAGTCACATAAGAATACTTCCCATTGTGTTATACTAATTACTCCTTCCGTGTATTAATAGATAATAGAATCTAATAATCACTCAACAATTTATCATTATTGTACACCGTTGTCTATTGTTTTTATGATTGTGGCCTGTATAAAAGAGTTGAGATATGAAACATATTTGCAGTGCTTGTAATTCTGACGCCCTTTGGGCATATCTCTTGACAATTTAAAACGATCATGAGCTATTGGCATCGAGAAAACCGATTCTCACATCTTGCTCCCACCATTTATCCCATTTCCATAGGTGCTAGCCTCTTCTTCTCCCCCGAAGACCATTTGTTCAGAGACATGCCAAGTGTGTGATATTGAAATTGAGACATTCAAACATTAAGCTGCTTACTTTCGAGTCTTCGACCGGTATCATCAGATTATCGAGTGCCAGTAATACATGCTCAAGAACAATATAGTTTATATTGTTGCTTTATCTCAGGTTGTTCTACTGAATTTTTTTATTCATAATGGAAAGTATTCTGTTCATAACGACACTTCCATTGAATATCTTATGTCTCCTGTTATCCACTTGGATGCTACGCATCACTCGAGTGCTATCCTCCCTAGCCGTACTTGGAGCCGCCGGATCTTATGGTGGCTATTATCTCTAGGCCTTTTTCTTTTCCATTGTGGCGAAATTAAAATTTAATTGATATTGAATTGTGGTCATAACAATCGCCGCCACAGGATTATTCACGTCGGGTCAGTCAAACCGAACCACGTCTCTACTTAGGTCGGTATGCCTTCTCCAACGAACCAACGCGTACACAACTTGGTAAATTCGTCGCCCGGCGTGCCCGCGAGCCTATCAAGGTAACAGTGGAGCTTCTCTCACAGGCTGGGCTTTCCGATAGCTTCATACCATGACAGAAATGCTTGTTTCCGAAACTTGCCGCTCAAAGAAGGCTAGAACATAGGCAGCAGTAGCTTGAGTAGTACTTCGCCAGGCCCTATGCAAAGCTTTATGCGCGTACTAAGTGTCACACCATTCTTCCAATTATTCCTAGATACTTACCCTGCAGCCTATTAAAAAGCGGCAGTGTGGGCCGCAAGCAAATGCCGAGATTGAGTTTGGGTTTTGGAAGGACACACTGAAAATGTCTGGGAGCAGCAAATCCTGCAATCCTGCATTCCTACATCATTGCATCGCCATTCTGCTATCGCTCCACCTAGTCCACCTATCTTATATTATATTTTAGTCTAGACCTCTTCAGTAACCTGAGATGTCACGCGCGTGGATTTCTCGATGCCTTCGAGAGCTCTGGGGCAAGATGACAACAAGATATGTTGCCCGGTCCGCGCATCCCTGGTCCAAGTCGCCCTTCCTTGACCTGCCAGAGGAGGTGGTTCTCCTTATCATCTCCTTACTCCCTCGCCTTGATAAACTCTCAGCAGCCCTCACGTGCAAGCCGCTGCACTTTATCTCCAACAGTGTCTTTGATACTGGGTTGGTATCACAAGAGGATAAAGAAGATTTCCTCCTCCGTCTAGAACGAGATCTTATGGCAACACATCACTACTGTGCTATTTGTATCAGACTGCACAAGTTTTCTTCTCTCAACAAGCCAAATGAGGACCCCTACATTGTTCTAGAACCTAATATCCCACCCTGTTTAGGTTTTGGCTACCTGTACTCACCAATCTTTGCGGAAAACTACTTTGCATATCATCATGGGCGGGCAGCTATGAATCGCCATTTTCATGGGGCCCCAGCCGGTCTTGATCCTGACTTGCTCTGCTATGAGACTTCACACAAGGATTTCGACGATCAGTATGGGCTTATTACATGGTCGAGTCGATACTCTGTAAGGATTATATGCGATAGTCTTCACCTTTCTGGCAAGCATATAATGGACTCGACTACTATACCATCCATGATAACGAAACTGAATGAGGGAGTTTACGATATCTGCCACCATACAACAACATCAGCCCTGCCATATCTAGCGATGTCCTCTGAAAGAGCTGCTGGGTTAGATGCGTGCGAAATCTCTAGGCTCCTGCAGGAGCCAGGATGTGTAGTCCACGGGTCGTGCGCGAGGTGCCTGACAGACTACACAGTAGAGATTACACAGAACTGTTCGGGGCGTGAGATCTTTTATCGGGTTGAAATACAGACTTACCATGACTTTGGTCAGTTTCGGAGCCCGGAAGAGTGGAAGTGGAGGGCCTGGAGGCACAAGATGGAAGAGTACGGTTCAGTCAAGCATCGTGATATGGAAGTTTACCCCCCCGGAAGTGTGTATCGACAGTACTGTGTAGCTGAGGGGGAGGATGATAAGCGACTCGAGATATCCGTTTAGACCCTATTCCCCTTTCACGTCACTGCTTGCTTGCCCATACTTAGTATAATTTCAGAATACACCAGCCCAGGTGTGCTAGATATCTTACCGGACTAGAAATCCAATGGCTCATCCAGGGTCTTGAAAAGAAGGGTTTGAATGAGTGAATTAATTTTCAGTTATATTGTGCTTCTCAAAAGAATACAAAACACTCGCCTTTCACGATATCAGATATGAACAATGATTGGACGGAGCAGGGCGGAGGGAAGAAGTAAATCTTAGATAAGTGATGGGAACGTTCAACTTTCGATGGCTTCGGCGGCAAGAGCGTCATTAGCAAATGTGAAAGGCGGGTCTAGTAGAAATGCTTCCTGCTTCTTCTGTATTGACAGAGTCGCCGGCATGGGGTTGCCGTTGTTGAGCGATGTGATACTTATTGGGTGATACCCATTGCGGATTGTCCATTGGTCTCTCTGCCCGTGTCACGTCGTCGATTCTTGGTAGTTAGGTAGGCAGGCAGGCATAGGCACTGCAACCTTAACGGCGTATTGATGATGATACTGGTAATGATGATGACGACTATGGGTGGGCGAGAGGCTGGTGTGTGTGGCACGCCACAATCAAACCAACAAGACAAAAGACGATACGTGGATACGGATAGCTTCCCTCCCCGGGGGCTACTGTATCGGTCAATTAGGAGAAGAAGAAAACTCTGAAAAAAGATTGTCTTAGCCCTAGAGATGGCTTAGGCGATGATTGTTTGTTCTGTGGACGGGGTCGGCTCTGAGCCCAACTCTCGGCCACTCTCTCTCACACACCCTTTAAACATTTTCTTCTTCTAGTCTCACTCTGAAGGCAGAACCCCCTTTGGTATGAAGGCGAACTGTGCCCCCCTGTATGGAGGATGATACACCTAGCATTGTAATACTTCTACCCTTCAATATGTCTAGCATAAACTGACCAGGAAGCCTGAACTGATTCTGCTTGTCGATTCTGGGCTTTCAGGAGACGCCAGCTTGTTACTGAACTGGATGAAAACGCTTGAAATTTTCCAGAATACCTTCTTTTTGACGAATCAGGTGAATTTGGTCTAGCGTTGCACAAAGCTGCTGCGATGGGATGCGTGGGAACTGTCGAGATACTACTGGATGTAGGCCCAGGTTTCACCAGATACTACCGTCTCAAAATATTCGCCCCTCAGCGCAGTCCACTCCACGATACGGCGCGAACAATGTTTGGTTATTCTGGGGACGAAGTCAACACGACAAAATGCAAGGCTGCCGTTATGCAGGGCTGCTGTTATTCGAGCTTTGGTCAATGCCGAATACTCTTCGAGCGACAAGGACACGAGGGACGGACACCACTTCATCATGCTGCCGAGTTGGACAATGTTGAGGAATGAAGAGTTCTGCTAGAGCTGATCAGAGACTTACTCAACATTTTGGACGATCAAGGGCAGTCAGCGCTATCAGTCGCGGCGAAGGCAGGCTACATCTCCATGGTACGCTTTTTGATCGAACAAGATGGCATTCTCGTGGATGAAAGACCAGTACGGGGGAAGTCCGCTATTGATGCCGGCATCAAATCGACCTGGGAGTGTTATCGAGCTGCTTCTAGGCCAGGATAATGTTAACCCACGTTCGGTTGATGCCTCTGGCGCGACCTCACTCATACTTGCTGTGCGGTCTGACCATATTGGCCTTATGGCTGCGGTCAAGGCGTTGTTATCTGATGGGCGCGTAGACATAAACGCTCAAGTTGAACAAAGAGAAACTGCGCTTTCTTACGCGCGTATGTCCGGACATCGGGGCCTTACAATTATACGCCTAGAGCTGAGGGACGTGCTTTTTTCATCCGGACCTATATCCAAATATCCATCAGAACCTACATATGAATGGGAACATGGATCTCCATCCGGGTGTAAAAACGCACGGAAACCTGGATGTCCATTCGCAAAATCTGGTAAAGATCCAGTCACGTGTGTATGTTCTCGCCGATGTGAGCGTGCAATCGAGCGGCTACTCGAACGGTTACACGAAATCCTTGGCTCAGCGACTAACTCGGCGATTCGCTGATCAATGTATTCCTTGTCCACATTGGAAGAGAAGTTGGTTGATGAAGTAGAGACCAATAATGTTGAGTTCTAATGGATGAAAGAGATTCACAGCAGCTAGTGATTCGCCTAAGCTACTCACCTGGGAGGAGGCAATACTATAACTAATATTTGCCAGATCTCAGCGCTAAGAGCGCAACAGGAGCTTCGTTCTGTTCGGTGTACTGAACAGAACTCCCTCCTATCTGGAGATGGAATGCTGCAGACAATGATATGTTTGGGGTGGAGACAGAGCTGAAGATCTTGGATAGTCCCCAGACCGAGATTAGGTTGTAGCTTTAGAAAACTTCAGAGGACATCGTCTGCGTGATAGCCTGGACCCAGGAGGCAATCAGTCCATATTCATGGTCTAAGTGCACTGCTTGAGTGATGGGCGCTTGAATGGACCTATGAGATGTACGTGACTCTGCTCAACTTTCTCACTAGAAGCGCAAAGCATGCTGTATGAGGGAAACAAGAAGCCGGCTTTGTACTCTGCTACAAGGAAAAATAAACAAATAATCTCACCAGGTCTGGAACAAGGTTAAACATGCATTCAGGAACACAACGGAGTTTTCTGTCACGTGATACACCAGAGGGCTGATGCCTGGTAATCCAGGTCGATGCTGTCCCAAGAGTGGAAAAATTCAACAACACCAGCCATGTCTTGATCCAGAGACTCTGACCAGGCTTTGCGTATGGATGCGCACGAACCTGAGGCTGAACCTTCTCATCGTCAGATTTCTTCACCTTATCATTCAATTGACGGGGAACCTGGTTTGTACGCTGATGGATCAACAGGGGCTTGAGTGGCTGAGTGGGGATCGCGTCATTGGTTCTCCAGACTTGGCAGAGGCCGCGTGTCTGATTGATAGGCGCTGGTAACGGGGCCTCCCCTTGGCTTCAGCGATTTATTGATTAATTAATATCTGCAGCCGCGGGACTTTGGTCTTGGTGTCGGTAGGGCGCCGAACCGAACACGCCAGGGAATGCCAATATTGCAACGACAAACGGTCGAGAACTGCCTCCGCCCACCTCTGCCCATGTCGCATCCGACCAGGCTCGCGCATTGGAACCAGGCTCGCGCATTGGGACCAGGTTCGCGTTATGGGATCAGTGAGAAGTGCTTCTACGCTGCCCTGAGCAAGGCACGCAATTTCAGCAGTGGAGAACAATTCAGGCTGCGTGCGCACCAACACCTCTGCTCCGTATCTCGCCCTCTCAGCTCACCTCACCATGCAAATCTCTCACAGGGGATCGGCCAGGTTACGTAGTGCTCCAAAAAGAACTCGTCGTGGCGTTGATCCAGTCCTTTTTAGGTTGCTGACTAGTCTGAAGCGACTCCGTACGCTAAAGCATCGTGGATGGATGAGGACTTGGAGGGTTACTTTTAGGGAGAAACGATCGAGGCCAACGCCTGACACATTGATGACACTCCGATGCCAAGGCGAGGCAAGACATGATTCAGGCAAGGTTAATTCGATGTCGTGAGAATGTGATGTGCTACAATCTTTACCTAGACGACTCGCCAGATATGAGAATTTTCCTGGTGCCACCATGCAGCCCTACGGCCTACTAGCTAGGGGAGGCGGCGAAATGAGATATTAAATCAACACTGACCTTACTCGCATGGCCATGACAAGCAAGAAGGCTAAGGGACAGGTGGAGGGCAGAGGATCCCCAATGGGGGACGGCCATGGGTTGGGACTGTGGATTGTCCGCGTTTGCCTACAGCTTGCCTCTTTCGCGAACAGTTCGATCCACCGATCCTTTGGGGCTATCCAGAGACCAGGTCTGTTTGAAAACCTGGTGGAGGGGTCGCCGGCCATGACAACGGTCCCCCATCGGGTCAGCCACCCGCCGGGTGTTTGCCCACATCGGTGGGTATGTTGAATTGAGTTGTGTTGGGATCGCTTGCAGGTACGCGCGAGCAGGCCTGAGGACTGCTTCTCCTCCTCTCTTGCTCTGACCCTGGCCCATCTTCCTCCTCCTCGATGCCAGTCCTGTTGCTCCTCCAAAGCCTCCTCGTCCCGCCCGAGCGCTTGTTTTTTCTTCCCCAATGTCACACCCACCAGAATGATTGCTTTCGACGGTCGGCAGGTCCAAAGCCTCCTCGCCTTGCTGTAAGTCCTTATCTGCCCTATCTGACAGTGTGAAGAGGGCGGGTCACCCTCTAGTCTCTACTCGCTTGCCATTCCCTGTGTATCTTCAAAGAGAGCAGTCTTTCTGACAAATAATCCCATATAGCGGCCTTGTCCTCGGGACATTTGCGCTGTCGACTAGATATTATACCAGTGCCTCCTTTGGTAAGTGAACTGCCAAGTGGCTGGAATAAAACATGGCACACCAAGGCCTCCATACAGCCTCAACTTTCGACACAATATCAAAACAATCAACCCAGTTATCAATACAATATCAAGCTAAATCATATACAATACTGTATTATTTTACTGTTATTGTTTGGAATATTAATCATAAGAGAGCGAGGTCTCTAGCTTGCACGAAAAGAGCTCTGGTGTGCCATGTTTATTTATTTCAGCCACTTGACTGCGAGTTGATGAACCTCACCATTGTCGAGATCATCGATCTTTCAATCCCTCCCACTACCTGAAACATAGCCCTATGACCCGCTCACTGACCGATCATCCTTGTGTAGAGCATCCCTTCATCTTCTCCATCTCATCGCTTTTGTCCAGCAGCTTGATTGCTGCCGTGGGCGCAAAATGGAGGTTGCATAGTTGCACGCGAGGAAACGCCGTCATCCTGGCTGAATCTGGATATTTCCCAAAAGGATGGCAGCCGACAACCAGACGACGCCCAATCGCTGTTGCGATATCTGTCGCAAGGCCAGTCCTTGATCTCTCCTCGAGGGTGTGCAGGCCGTTCGTCAGCCTCGTTTTCTGCCTCGTTGTGCGATCGTGTCTTTTTTGGTACACGATGCGCCGGACGCAATGCGCGCAAGTGGGAGCTTCTGTGAGTTTCTGTGACGTTTCCTCTCGCAAGGTTGTCCACATACTAACCACGAGCTGTTTGTTGTCACAGGCTTTTCTCCCCTTCTGCGTGCTGCTGATCGATGCCGCAATCCGCTATTGGTCGATCGATTACACCAAACTCGAGACTTTCTCCAAGTCAGCGCCTCGTCAGCAGTGGAAGTCGCCCGTCCTCACTTACGGTTTGCTGTCTCTGACTTGGAGCGTCGCGGCAATGCTTGCCGTTGACAGTGCCCGGGTGAAAACGGGCACAATCTGCCTCGTCGGGACGCATATGGAGGCACATACTCCATTCCTCCAGGTCGTCTTGTGTGTTATGGATGGTATCATTATTGCTGAGTTGTCGAGCCTGCGCCGGGGCCCTGGTGAGGAACCAGTCGACATTTCCAAGTTCTTCTCCATGTTCTGCCTCGTCGCAAGCGGATTCATGGCCATTATTGCCCTCTTTTTCATGATTTTCTCGACCCAGCAGCTTCACTTGAGTTCTGTTGCGCGTCGGGATCTATTTTTGGATACATTGATGGCCTCGGTTGCGATCGCCTGCGCCAAGACTCTCCTCACCTGGCTTCATCCAACAACGGTTGCGATGTTGACTACAGGTCTGACCTTGTTTGGATATCGGTTCAGGGCGCTGGACAGCTCGTTGATCCTACCACCATTGTCACAAGCATACGTCTTTCAGACGGCTGCCATGACGACAGGTCTTGCCGGCGCCTGGTTCGCCATGGTCTTCTACTCTAAATCAGCTCCTCGTTCCCCTACGACCGTGCTCTTGCATCGCTGCCTGGTCCTCGGGTATATGGCAGCAGTTGCCCTATTCATTACCTTCTCCATCTTCTTTTCTACTAACAAGATACATGTCTCTCTCCCTGCTTCTGTAAGAAGACTTACCCACGCAGCGCAATCCTCAGCAGAGATTTGGCAATCCCAGGCGAAAATGAGTAAAACACTCGACGAGGCCGTCACGCAGTACCAGAATCGGCACTTCCTACCTCCGCCTCCCAACTTCGATAAATGGTACGAGTTTGCTACGAACCGCAGCTCACAGGTGATCGATTCTTTCGGCCAGATATTCGACGATCTGATCCCATACTGGGGCCTCGAACCAGCTGAGATTCGCGCTCGCACCGCTCACCTCTCCGAGTTCCCAGAAATGGGCATGGCTGCACTGCAGATCAGGAATGGCACGCTGAGGCAGTCGCCGCATATCCCAGGAACCCACCACTGGATGACGGATTCGATCGAGAAGATGATGGAGCCATTTATCCAGTACTTGCCCGACATGGACTTTGTGATTAACCTCGCAGATGAATGCCGCGTCCTGCCCCGGTACGAGGATTTCTGGGATCTAAGGTCAAAGGGAAGAGCCGCACAGAACAAGGTCGCACAGCGATGGAAGGGCTTGCAGGAGAACAGAAATGTAGAGGGAGGAGGGCCCTTCAGAACATGGACGAACAACACGGAGTGGCCGCAGGACTTCGCGGAACCTCGAAAGAACCCAGACGGCTCCTTCGCCGCGTCGTCGCACTTCGTCGAGACCATACGTAAACAGCTTTACTACAAGTGGATCGCCGACGCGTGCCCGCCCGAGTCGGTCGCGCGCCAGAGCAGGTGGTGGGATTGGAGCACCCTCTGCATGGACTGCATCGAGCCGCACTCCGAACTGACCACCGGCGGGGCAGTGATGGCACACAACCCCCCACCGGGGGGCATTTGCTACCAGCCCGATCTGGCGTACCTAAGCGGCTTTATCAGGTCGCAGACACAGGCGACTACGAAGACGCTGCTCCCCGTTTTCAGCCAGGCTCGTGTGGACGGATTCGCGGATATCTTGTTTCCCTCGCCGTGGAATTTCGTCGACAAGACGGAGTACAGAGAGGATACGGATATCGAGTGGGGGCGTAAGGGAAATAGCCTGTTCTGGCGCGGCTCGAGCTCGGACGGGATAGCGAGGGACGGGGGATGGAAGGGATTTCTACGCGCCCGGGCGGTCCACGAGAGCTACCAGGAGGCCGGCAAGGGCAGCCGCGACGCCATCACCCCTCGCGTGAACGTGTCGTTTGCCGGGGAGATCCACAAGTGCGACTCGCCCGACTGCGGGCACGAGTCCGAGATGTTCAACCTGTGGAGCGGCGCCGTGAAGCCCGAGGGCGAGACAGAGGAGGGGTACGACCTGGGCAGGGCCTCGGCGCCGTTCGAGGAGCACTGGCGTCACCGGCACCTCCTCGACATGGACGGCGCGGGCTTCAGCGGGCGGTTCATCCCCTTCCTCGAGAGCCGCAGCCTCCCGCACCGCGCCGCCCTGTTCCTGGCCTGGTTCGACGAGCGGCTGCAGGAGTGGCAGCACTACGTCCCCGTCGACACGCGCCTCGGCCGCGGGTTCTGGGCCGTCCTCGACTTCCTCTCGAGCAGCGAGGTCGTGGTCGACGACGCGGGGTTCAGGCAGACGGGCGACGAGATGGCGGAGAGGATCGCCGAGCAGGGTCGGGACTGGGCTAAGAGAGCTCTGCGGAAGGAGGACATGCAGATTTACATGTTCCGGTTGCTCTTGGAGTACGGCCGGGTGGTGTCCGACGATCGGGAGGCGTTGGGATATACGGGGACTGGGATCCCGGACTGGTAGCACTAGCAAAATAAATAGCAAGCCATGATCAATTGGAAATACTGTAAATACTACCTTGTCACACTCTATCGGGCCATGTCTTTCCGCGAGGTACTTCAGAAGGGTTTCCAACTCACTAGGGGTAACTTGATATTCCTGCTTCGGCACAACAAGACGCATCGAGCTGGTGGAAGGGCATCGGAGCCCTCGAGCCTCTGCATTTGTAATCACAACAATATCTGTCAATATAGGCAAATCCAATGACTTCATCCAGAGGAATTGGGTTGAAAATCTGGCCGCTCGGGGTGGGACCCAAGCGGCCGGGCCCCCTTTAAATCCTCAATGGCGTCTTCGTAGAACCCGTTGACGCCATCCGTCAAACGCCGGGAGCTAGAGAAGAAAGCTCGATGGAGCTAACTCCCCTTGAACAAAAAGAGTAAATTCTGCATCATCGGCAGAAGTGGGAAGCTAGAACACACTTTAGATCGGGTTGAGTGGGATAAGATCATGCGCTGCGTTTTGCTAGTCCCCGGGGTGGGGGTGATGCAGCATGGCGGTTGCCGCATGAAAAGGAACGAGGAGAAATGTACACAGTCTCAGCCGCAAATCTTTCTGTAAGCACGCGAGCTCCTGGGCGGTTCGAAACGGCCCGAAGCTCCTCCCTGCGGTTGGGGGCTGTCGAGTGTCAACTTGGCGTGGAAATATCCTTCTCCTTTGCCTTTCTTTGCCGACAGTTAAGAATTCGAAACGATCCGTTATGAGAAAGATCGGGTCGCAAGAGTGTATCCTATTTCCATTGCCACGGGATAGAGTCTGCCAGACCTAGGAACGAAACACGGCCGAGTCCACGTCGAAAACATTGCCCGTTCACTCGAAACCACGATGCGAAACGACTACGCGAGCCAATCGACAACTAGATCTGAGTAATTTCTACAACCGAAGCAAATTTATCGTGCATGGGACGTGTTGTAGGTAGAAGCTAGGCTCCGAGTAGCTCTTCGGGTCGTCGCTTGCTTCTACACACATCTCTCTACGAGGTATAACTAATATTCACGCCAAGGGAAGAGTCGGATTCGTCCATGATGAAGACAGCACAGGTCTTGATCACTCTCTATGTCTACTTTGATGCATACGGCAGCTTCGCGAACGATTTTAACGAACAAACACGCTCGATGTCACGTAAATCGCTTTCAGGGGGTTCGGTCTGGGCTGAGAATGTGCAACTTGAGGATTTTGCTCCATTCCTGTGATCTCACAGAATAAAATAGTTAAGCCTAGAGTTCTACCGTAGGTGTTTTTGGAGTAGTCGATGAATTTCTAGGCCTACAGCAGGAAATACGCGTGTCCAGTGGTATGACTTGGTGTTGATCCCCCTGAGTGGCTGGAATAAAACATGGCACAATGAAGCCTTTTTCACATAATGAAAGTATCTACTTTTCTCAATAACAATGATAAACACAATGATAGGAAAATTATTGATCGATCTACAATATTTAGCTCGATATTGTGTCGATATCCAATGCTGGAGGTTCTGGCGTGCCATGTTCTATGCCGGTCGCTGGCCCCGTAGCCAGAACTGCCCTCGACGAAAGTCGTCAGAAACGCCGGTGATCCCGATCGACTGGTATCACACCTGCCTTGGCCTTGTAAAGATGTCTTCTGTCCTCTCTGCTGACTTCGGCTGCTCGTGACGATGCATCCTCCCCATTTGAACAAGGGGGATCGATGCACTCCAAGTCTCGACACTGCTACAATCACGCTTACGGATGGATCATGCGATACAATTGGTGTTGCTACCCTCAGCCCGCCAAGAAAGCACGAAATCGGACTTCAGGTACCAAATCGAGACCGCGAGACAAAAGGATGCAGAGTCTAGACCAAGCGCCTCCCTCGTCGAACCACCTAACCTGCTACTTGACAGAAACGAATCACTCCATAGACCTGGTTCAATATGGCGCACAGATCCGAGCCGAGTTAATATCTCATGGGCTTTCCGGTGGATTCGGGCTCCGCATACTCGAATAACAGAGAGGGAAGGTGTCGTTGTACGTTTGCATGTTGTCTGAACGTGTTGGTCTGGCATCACGAAGGGAATAATAGCTCTCCAGAGATAAGTCTTGCCTTTCAGAGCCGTCCAGGAAGGTCCGTCTCAAATATTCATGTCATGTGCTCCTGTTCGCTTTAAGGGAAGCCAGTCAATAATGCCAGGACAGCTTGAGATCTTGACAGCCACGACCCGCAGTGGAGAAACTCACTGCGGCGTCTCATTAAGCAGGAAAAGACATCGATCCGCAGAGGCACAGGCGGAGAACAAGCACGGCTTGGCGGTAGGGGGATGATGATGGAGATGAGTAAGAGAGGTTTCGTGATTGAGACGACATCGAACCAAGAGCCGACACGTCGTGGGGGCACAAGTGTGATCAATTTCGACTCAAGCACGCGATGTGAATTGCATGCATGGGGGAGCAGCTGGCAATGGTGATTCCATGTGTAAGAAAAGTTGCAACATTGCAGAGGCTGCATTGCTTGGTGGCTCCGGGATGGGGGCAAAGGGCTGATAAAGGACCAATGGCTTCTGCTGCAGATGACATCTGTAAGCCTCCGATTGCCGGTTCCCCTGTCGCGACACTCTCTCGAAGCTGGTAAACCGACTTCCTGCCAGCGAGAAAGGCTTGGTTCACCCCGTTACACAGACAGAAATGACAACATTGGTGAAGGGCATTGCGTGATTGACCCACCTCAGGCGCGGATGAGCCAACGATTGCCGGCCGATGCGTGGGCAGATCTGGGTGTGATAAGATGCTCACACGACTAGGTAATAAACTATTAAATAAATAGAACCGCCTCCAAGCTGTCGCAGCATAAGGCTGCGATGTGCCGCAACCCACGTCATTCTGGAGAGAAGTAGGAAAAGCAGCCGGAGGCCTTTGGTGAGCAGACAGACCAACGAACACTCGAGCGAGCTCTGCGCCCATGTACATTTCCAACGAACCTGGCATACCAGACCTTTTATCGTCTCATCAAGCCATCAGCCAGTCAATCAATTAATGTGTTACCCTTCTGTTGCGCAATCCACGACGCACACCCTCAAACAGCTTGCGGCACTGGGCTGGGAGGTTACAATGACCAGCCAGCAGCCCGTGATTGAGTACTTCTTCTCTTTCGTCTCCCTCTGGTCGTATATTGGCAGCCGACGGCTCCAACTGCTGGCACAGCATCACAATGCGCAAATCATCTACAAGCCCATTGATCTAGCAAGGGTATTTGCTGTCTCAGGCGGTCTGCCTGTGAAAGAGCGCTCCGTCCAGCGCCAAGCATACCGGCTCCTTGAGATGGACCGGTGGACAAACATCAGGGGACTTCCGATTGTGAAGCACCCCAAACACTACCCCGCCGACCCCTCGCTGGCGCACAGAGTGCTGCTGGCAGCCATCGACGAACTCGGACATGACAATGAGTCGGTCCAGGAATTTGCCCGTCTCGGACTAGATACCGTATGGGCAGATGAGGGCAATATCGCAGATCCTGAAACTATCATGGAAATTGCCAACGACGCGGGGCTTGATGGCAGTCGGCTTCTAGCACGGGCACAGGAGGAACGCGGGCTAGCGGAGCAGGAAGAAGCTCTGTCACAAGAGGCCATTAGCAGGAGTCTCTTTGGGGCCCCGACATACTTTTATCGTGGGGAGCCCTTCTGGGGCCAAGATCGACTGGAGCTGTTGGATGGGGTGATTCTCAGTGGGAGACCGCCCCTTTTGCTGCCTGGGCCGGAGGCGCTACAATAGCGAGCGCCGCTGCCGCTGATTTCTGTTTGACGATGCCACGACATGCAATGATGGACGATGGGACGGGACAAGAAACATGAAAAAAAGGGAAAAAAGAAAAAAGAAAAGCAGCGTTGACTCGCGATGAAATATGACGACTACGTTGCGCGTGAATTGGGAAGAAGAAGAAGAACAGCAACAACAAGAAGAGATTCATAAGGAAACCATCACCTTTTACCCAGGAAATCAGAACAGACCATCGCTCTTTCCCTCCTGTTGTGTGAGTGTATGTGTGTGAGGTCGGGATGATATTCGGTCGCTTATACTCCGAGCGACCGGGCAGCCCCTGGCTCAGTAGAGCCCGCCGGCTGCCCGCTGGAGGTGCCCAGCTCCAGGGACGGTTCATCCACTGAGGGGCCCGGAAGGAGCCAAAGTGTAGTGGACCAGGGTCTCCGTACAGATCCATTACCTTTGTTCTCTTCCATTCACATGCGTCTGTCGCTGGCCTGGAAACGACGAATCCATGGCTGAGTCCTCTCCCGAGCAACTTCACTCGTCATCACCATGCTTCCGGCACGCCAGTTTCGGTAGGGAGCGTCCTGCCATCCAACCAAACCTGCAGAGACCCCGCCTTTCTGCTTCGAGATACCTTCCCCGCCCTCTTGGCATGGTTTTCTCCTCATCGTGTGGCCTTATCATCTCCACATCTGCCACCTCGCGGTTTTCCCGCTCCAACCATGCGTCTCAGCAGCGACGATCCAATGGCCGACGACACATCGTCAAGTGCGCTGGTGAATAAAGCTCCACTAACCACAGCCATTTAAACCGTAACGTGGTGCTAGAAGGTGTTCCGGCTCAACTCTGCATTCATCCGCAGAATCCAATGAACCGCGACCCTCAATCCTGCAATTAAACCGAGAAGGAGATAGGAAGATTTGTATTTCTCTCCTCCCTCTCTGCAAATCCACTGGCGATTTTCAACATGTCATTCCCAAAAGCCCAGCCGGACTGGAACAACCTCCAGGTTCTCCATAGGAACAAGCTCTCCCCGCGAGCACATTTCTATTCATATGCGAGTGAGGAGAGGGCTCTATCATTTGACCGTGAGCAGAGCGAATACAAGTCTCTTAACGGGACTTGGAAATTCCATCACGATGCCTCGCCCTTTGAGGCTCCGGACTGGGAAGAAGCCGAGCCCTTGTCTTGGGATGACATCAAAGTCCCCGGTCTGTGGCAGCTTCAGGGTTATGGGCGACCGTTGTACTCAAATGTCAACTATCCGTTCCATGTTAATCCTCCAAATGTCCCCTACCTAAATGAGACCGGCTCTTACTGGCGAACCTTCACTGTTCCTGGCGAATGGGATGGCCAACAGATTCGCCTGCGCTTCGAAGGTGTCGACAGTGCATTCCACCTCTGGGTCAATGGACGCGATGTGGGATATAGCCAGGGGAGCAGAAATCCCAGCGAGTTTGACATTACTTCGTTTCTACAGCCATCTGGCCAAGCCAACACTATTGCCGTGCGGGTGTATGAATTTTGCGATGGATCGTACATTGAGCGACAGGACCAATGGCTGTTGTCGGGTATCTTCCGAGATGTTTACTTGGTTCCTTTCCCAAAGGACGCCATCGTTGACTTTTCTGCAACCCCTGAGCTTGACGACGCCTTTTCTTCAGCTACCCTCAGCACCAAGGCATCTATTCAGGGCGATGATGGTGATCTCAGAGTTAAATTATTCGCCCCCGATGGCTCTCTTGTCAAGGAAGACTCGATTTCCTCGTCGGAGACTAGTATCATTACCCTTTCCGGGGATGCGCTGAAACTCTGGTCGGCTGAGGATCCTGTTCTCTATACTGTCCTCCTGACCTTTGCTGGGCGTACGATTGGCCAACGAATCGGTTTCCGTCGCATTGAGCGCAAGGACCCGAATTTCTTCATCAACGGTAAACCGATCATTTTCTACGGCATGAATCGTCATGAGCATCATCAGCTCTACGGACGTGCAGTCCCGTACGAGTGTATGAGGGCAGATTTAGTTCTCATGAAGCAACACAACATAAATGCCCTCCGCTGTTCGCACCAACCGAACGATCCCCGCCTATATGAGGTCTGCGACGAGCTTGGTCTCTATGTCATCGCTGAGGCAGACCTTGAAACGCATGGATTTCATCCGGTCGAGAGATCCAACATCAAGGATCAGAACCTCAAAACTCGCGTTGAGATCCAAGAAGAATCTTACAAATTGGCTGCAAAATGGACTTCGGACAATTTGGAGTGGCGCGAGGCATATCTTGACCGGGCTGTTCAATTGGTGCAGCGTTTCAAAAATTATCCCTGCATTGTGTTTTGGTCCCTAGGTAACGAGGCATTCTACGGCCAAAACCATGCGGCAATGTACAAATGGATCAAGGAGAACGACCCGACCAGGCTAGTTCACTATGAGGGAGATCGTGAGGCCCTGAGCGCCGACATGTATAGCGTCATGTACGCCAGCCTGGATGGCATGAAGAAGCACATCACCGAGAAGCCAGACCGACCACTGATCCAGTGCGAGTTTGGCCATGCCATGGGCAACGGTCCCGGCGGCCTGTCTGAATATATCCAGGCTTTCAGAACCGAAAAGCTTCTCCAAGGTGGTTTCATCTGGGAATGGTGCAACCATGGACTAAGAACGCGCGATGGCAAAATTTTCTACAACGCCTATGGCGGTGACTTTGGCGATGAGCCCAATGATGCTGATTTTGTCATGGACGGTATGACTTGGACCGACCATACCCCAAATCCAGGCTTGGTTGAGTACAAAAAGGTAATCGAACCTGTTACGGTCACAAAGAATGGCGATCAATTGGTAGTGAGAAATCACTATGAATTCATTGACCTCAGCCACCTCGACGTAACTTGGCATCTGGTCCAGGAAACCGGGAATACCGAGGCTCAGCCATTTGAGCTACCCCAAATAAAGGGGGGAGAATCAGTTACTGTCGGCTTCCCCAGCGGTGTTAGTCTAGGTACAGATTCGACCTGGTTCGCACTCAATTTCCGCCTCAAGGCTGATACGAAATGGGCGAAGAAAGGGCATGAGGTGGCCTGGAGTCAGATCCCTCTATTCGAAGACCAGCAACTAACATTGCCCTCGGTTCCGTCGGAGTCAGCTTCACTGTTTAGCATTCGCGAGAAGGGCGCCCGTCTATTCATCACCTCCCCATCTTTCAAATCTCACCTCACCTTTGACTTGATCCGAGGCAACCTACAATGGTCAAACAACAAAGGAAAGATCCTGACCAAGGGCCCAGAATTGGGTTTGTACCGAGCATTGACCCAGAATGACGTCGGTGAGAGCGGTGATGCACCCGTCTGGCAACAATTTCGCGTCGGCAGCGCTAAGATGCATGTTCGTTCTGCTACATGGAAAGTGGAAAATGGAAAGGTCATCATCGTTAGCCAGGTTCGAGTCCAACCTACCGTATTGGAATGGGCATGCAATGCTACAATGACATACACGATAAGTGAGGGATCGGTCCATCTCCACACCCAGGGAAGCTTCTCTGGGACCTATCCTAAAATCATGCCGCGCGTCGGTCTTACTCTTTCGTTGCCCAAGTATTATAATGCAGCAGAATGGTTCGGCCGTGGACCGGGTGAATCTTATTTGGACAAGAAGGCTTCGGCCCGCTTTGGCCGGTGGAATTCGTCGATCGACGAGCTCAATACCGCCTATGAGTGGCCACAAGAAAATGGCAATCGCGCTGATACCCGGTGGTTGCGTGTCAAATCTGCCACACCCGGCGAGCATGGCGGTGCCACAATCGAAGCGAGGATGGAGACTCCTTTCCACTTCTCTCTGCGGAAGCATGCGACCGACGACTTGGACAAGTCGAGACACCCGCATGAGTTGACGGAGCTTGATGAAACGGTCCTCAATCTGGATCACTTGCAGCATGGTCTCGGGACAGGCAGCTGCGGTCCAGGCCCATGGGAACAGTACCAGCTCAAGACCGGGCCATTTGAGTTCACTACTGTACTTACCGTCATTGAACATTAGATCATAGACTGCTCGACCTCCCACGATTAAGTGCTGCTCAAGTACAGCTGGATCAGCCATGGATGAATTGGTTCGTTTCAGAGTTCCCACTACACCTCATGAGGTCTGATAGTTGGCACGTTGCTTTTTCCGTGCGGATTCAACCCGATCTACGTTCCAATGTGATCTACCGCCAAAGCTTATCAAGCGAGGAGAAATTTGCGAAGCCATTACAGAACTTCTATGATACTCTGTTTGCGGGTGACTCGGAAGGTTTTGGTGGCTCTACATATAATAATGAGAAGAGTCTTTTTTCATGAGTATTTCAATAAACTTGCTGCGTTGCCGCAGATGCTACCAAACTTGAAAGAAAAGACAACACAATTTTAGTTCCCGCGTATTAGGAATACAGTAGCTACGATGAATCATCCGGGCGTCTTAGCTCACTTCTTCATTTTGTTACAGTTCTTCTTTGCGCAAGTCCAAGCCCAGGGATCCGGAGCAGACCCGTACGCTCCTGTCTACACATCATGTCCCCAGGATCTGTCCATCCGGGCAGCCTCAACTGTGTGTTAATTGATGCCATCATGACTCTAGTACAATTTTTAAAACTAACTAGCAGCACAGGGCTTGTCTGACAATGAAAAGGCGTGGCGAGATCTGCACGCGAAGCAAATCATCCCTGAGCTCAAGTCCTACTTGACTCTTGCCAATATCAGTGGCTTCGATATTCAACAATACATCGACCAGATCAACGCCACCAACCTACCCATTGTCGGCCTTTCAGTCTCAGGTGGCGGCACGCAGTCGGGGCTCGGCGGACTGGGCATCTGGCAGGCATATGATGCGCGAAATCCCGGGGCCATCGCTTCGCGAACAGGTGGTCTCTCGCAGATTCTATCATACATGACGGGGCTCAGCGGTGGTGGTGCCATCACAGTCGGAATAATGTAAGTCAGCGCCAACTTGATACATGCAGAATATCGCCCACAGTCAGGAAAAGAGACTAAGCCAATACTTGAATTACGCGTCTCGCAGTGCAGCAAACAATTTCAGCACAACGGCCCAGATCAGAACAACCACCAACTTCTCAGTGCCGTACTCCAACCCGACAGGCAACTTCACCCAGTTCTTCACCGAGATTTTCGAGAATACAGGGGCCAAGGCCGAGGCTGGGTTCCCAGTATCAGTCGTCGACCCATTTGGACAGTTCTGGGGCAACTGGCTCCCTCCGAATGCCACTTTCGCCAACTACTCTGACCTTGCGAACCCGACCAACAACGGTGCGTTCGCACTCGGCACTGCGCCTATGCCCATCATGGTCCTGGCAGAGGTCATCCCCGGAAAGTCTCCCGGGATTGGCAAAATCATGTACCCCGGATTCAACAGCACGAACCAGTTTAACCTGACCTCGTACGAGGTGACGCCTTTTGAGTTTGGCAGCTGGGCAGGAGGGCGCGTGCAGGCCTTCATACCAACCCAGTACCTGGGCACCTCCATGTCGAATGGAAAGCCACAGAATGACAGCGTGTGCGCCGTGGGCTTCGACAAGCTTACGTTCATCCAGGGTACGACCGCGTGTGCATTCAACGCCTGGTTCATCGATGCGTTTTACCAGATCCCAGTGTTCGCGAAACGGGAGCTGGAGAGCCGTCAGCAGCAGCAGGCCGATATCCCTATTCCGCCGGGCCAGCAAGACAACCCACTCGTCTATTTGGTGAATCAAACGGCAGTCAACTTCAATCAGACCTTTAACGACTCCATGTGGGGGACGTATCCCAACCCGTTCCAGGACTACAATGATGACATGAAGAATGTCGATGAGCTTCTGCTGGTAAGAGCAAGCAGCTTTCCAGTGGGGATGGGAAAGACTAATGTGTGATCTCGCTAGATTGACGGAAGTCTGACGGGCGAAACCAATCCAATCCGCCCGCTGATCATTCCAGAGCGCCGTGTAGATTTCATCATCGTATACGAAGCGTCGTCAGATTCAAAGTATTACTGGGTCAACGGAACCAATCTCATCAGTCAGTAACACCTCAAACAAAGAAATTTAGAGATTCAACAGAGTGAAGTAGACTAACCAGCAGAGAACAGACACGCAAAAGTCCGCCTCGGAAGGGAACATCCCCTTCCCCCAGATCCCAGACGTCAAGACGATGGTGACGCAGAACCTGACCAAGCAGCCCACATTCTTCGGCTGCAACGCGTCCGACAGCACGCCCCTGGTCCTGTACCTGCCCAACTCGCCCTGGTCGGGTTACACCAACTTCTCGTACATGCAGGACTCCTTCACCAACAACCAGCTCAACGCCACCCTCGACAACGCCTTCCAGCTGGCCACCTACGGCAACGGCACCGTCGACGCCAACTGGCCCGCCTGCCTGGCCTGCGCGACCATCAAGAAGAGCGCGAAGCGCGTGAACGTCACCCTGCCCCCCGTCTGCACCTCGTGCTTCAATCAGCACTGCTGGAACGGGACGAACAGCACGGCGGACATCACCGATGCGGACACGAACCCCAGACTGAGGCTCAACTCGAGCGTGAGCTTCGAGCAGTGGAACACGACGGTTTGGGGGGGGAACTCTACTTCTCAGACGAGTAATTCGACCAGTGGGACCGAGAAGGACGAGAAGGACGGGTCGGCTGGCTTGGTGAGGCCACTCGGCACCAGTGCTTTTGCCGTTGTGATGGCGGTTCTCATTGCGATGATCATGGGCTAGGGCAGGTTGATATTCTATAAATATTCCAGCAACTGAAGATCCAGTACTTGCCCAAGCCAGTTACTCTCAGAGTTGCTGTTTGAGTTGACGTGGGAGAACTGGTCATTGCATCAAGTTTTAACTACCCTAGAGCTTCACAAACGGAACGCCAATGCGGTAATTCTGATTAGAGCTTTTAATAATAATTTACGGCAAATAGTTCTAATTTCCTATACTCGGTTATTTCTTTATAGTGATGAATACAATATTAATGTTGGAATCTGGTATAGTACAAGAATAGCGATCAAGATTCTCTTTGACTTTAACTTTCAACATCACATTCCACAATACTTCATCTCAGGAGGAGATAAAAGTCAATCACAGTGGCGATTAGTTGTCCAGGAGTCAAGGGATTACGCTAGAGCAGACTTTAGAGCCCATGTCATACAGCATCCATCTGACCACGATCCAATACCGAACCATGAGTACCGAGATTGCTTCGATTTGAAATCCATCCTCCCCGTCATCACTACCGAGCGATGTGGAGTGTCATCGCTCTGGCTGATTGGCCTGATTGGCCTGATCGGACTTCACAGCTTAGACCAGGCTGCGCCGCCCGCTAGGATCGCCGTTAATCTTGCCTGGCTGGAATTAACCCAGGATCAAGGCACATGGATGTTATTAATGGATCACGGCCCTGGAGTCCGAGGGCCCCAAGGCGATTGGCCCGTTGGCTGGCCTCGCTCTCTGGCTCGCACTTCCTTCAACGCCTCCACGCCTGGAGATGAGGAAAGGCTGAGCGGTGCGTGACACGCATACTTAGACAAGCCGCCGTGGAGAAGATGGTAAGAAATAAGTGCGACGAGGCCTGGGAAATGACAGGAACCAAGGATGTGTTGGGGCTGAGCTGTCGCCGTCTTGCGCGTTCGACATCTCTTCAAAGGGCTCATGGTGATATAAGAATGTTGATGGAGCCCGAATAGGTGTTGTCATACTTGGAAATCACCACTATCGCTCTTTATCCATTCCCTTTCTCTTATTTCTTAATTCCTGCCATCCAGTCAAGATGCGTGCCTCGTCCATCCTCCTGTCAGCCGCGGCGGCACTCCTCCCCGTCGCCGAATCCGCGGCATGCCCCCCATTGGGCCCAGTCCTGCCAGCTCCTCTCAAGCCCAGCTCGCACGAGGCCGTGCAGAAGGCCATCGAGAAGCTCACGGCCGGTCTGGACGCCCAGACATCCAAGTTGGTAGCCAGCGGCCTCTCCATCGGCGTCAAGTCTCTTCACGAGGACAAGCAGCTCTTCAGCTACCACTTCACCCCCAATGTGACCTCTGGCATCGGCACGTCCAAGATCGACGAGAACACCATCTACCGCGTGGGTAGCATCTCGAAGATGATGCCCGCCATCACCGCCCTGCAGAACGCCAACATCAACTTCGACGACTCCATCCTGAAGTACATCCCCGAGCTTCGCAATGCCACCAACGACGATGCCCTCAAGGCGGTGGCCTGGGAGGACATCACTGTCGGCTCTCTCGCTAACCATTTGAGTGGGCTTGCAACAGACTGTAAGACCCCTTACCCCTTACCCCCTTTTCTCTTGCCTTGGGATGTTCGTGAACTAACAGCAACCAACAGCCGCCATGGATCTCGGAATCAACCCTCTGGGCCCTTGGAGCAAGATGGGTTTGCCCAAGATCGCCCAGGGCACCGGCCCTTCCTGCTCCGGTCTCCCTGGCACCGTTGCCTGCACAAAGGCCGACCTGGTCCGTGATCTCGCCAAGCGACCTCCCGTCTACCTTCCGAACACCAGCCCCGTCTACTCCAACGTCGGCTTCGCTCTCCTCGGCCAGGTGGTCGAGAGTGCCACCGGAAGGCCCCTCGACGAGATCCTCCAGGAGAACGTGTACAGTGTTGCGGGTATGAACAGCACCTCCTTCAACGGCCCCGTCAAGTCCTTCTCCGAGCAGGGCTTCGTGCCCAAGGGAGAAGTTACCTGGAACGTCACTCTGGGCGTCTTCGAAGCGTAAGTGAACCCCCTTTACCCCCTAATCGCGCATACTTGCTGACCACCTCCAGCGCCGGCGGTCTCTTCTCCAACACCGTCGACCTCATCGCCTTCGCCGAGGCCATCCTCAACAACAAGCTCCTCTCGCCCGCCAAAACCCGCAAGTGGATGCATCCCCAAGCTCACACCTCCAGCTTCGGCAACTCGGTCGGCGCCCCCTGGGAGATCGTCCGCGGTGACACCCTCACACCGGACGGCCGCCTCGTCGACGTCTACACCAAGTCCGGCGACCTCGGCCTCTACCACGCCCTCCTCGGCCTCATCCCCGACTACGACCTCGTCGTCTCCGTCATCACCGCCGGCGCAGAGGTCTCCCTCAAGCCCACCGCCCGCTCCGAGTTCTTCTCCGCCGTCATCTCCACCCTCCTCCCCGCCATCGCCGCCGCGGGAGTCGACCAGGCCACCGCCGCCTACGAGGGCACCTACGTCGACGCGACCACCAACTCCTCCCTCACCCTCTCCACCAACCTCTCCTCCGCCGGCCTCGCCATCGACTCCTTCTCCGCCCGCGGCTTCGACGTCCAGCGCCACATCAGCTCCTACTCCCTCTCCGTCAACGAGACCAACCTCCAGATCCCCGACGCCCAGCTCCCCCACGTCGAGGGCCGCCTCGTCCCCTCCAACCGCCAGAAGCGCAACCCGGACGGCAGCGTCGAGCGAGCCTGGCGCGCCGTCTTCGAGACCCGCACCGACGAGGCCAAGCAGGCCCAGGACGCCGCCCTCTTCTGGCCGGGAGGGTCCTGCGAGACCTGGTTCGGCCTCGACCGCGCCGCCTACAACTTCCTCAGCATCACCGACTTCGTCGTCGTCGAGGGCTGCGACGGCAAGGCAAAGGTCATCAAGAACCCTGCGTTCAACATCACCTTGACCAGGGTGTAGAGTTTTGAAATAGTCTGGCATTTTATATACATTAATCGTCGTTCTCTCTTTTTTCCTGTTTTCATATCTTTAATAGACATACATATACTTGCCTTTCGAACTTTGTACTGCTGTGAAGATAAAGAGCCAATGACTTTGGTACGAGGTTGAATCACAGTTCCGTATCCTGAGCGAGCTGCCGGGATCAAGCACAATACTTTTCTTGTCAATTAGCAATAACGTAGCTATATAAATATTGGCTGTTAAGCCTCATGTCCTTTGCACGTCCCTCCACCATGTTGGTTTGTATGCTCCAGCCGTCATGTGTCCCATTAAACTCTTCCTGAAACAAAGACCAATCCCATAAGAACAATAATATGAACATAATCTCGGATCCCCACCGCCTGCGTGGAAAACAAGGGGTGGAATTTGAATAACAAACAGCCTGTCCTGCCATACTGATATTCCAATTAAATAAAAAGCCCAAAGCAAAGCGTAGCCCCCAGTTGTCATCGTTCCCATGAATTCGCCCTAAAAACAAGTAACGCCGCTTGGATAATATTTTTATCGTATTCTCTCAAAGCTGAAATTCCAGACGGCGTTTAATTTGCCGTCGCTTGAAGGCTCCACCATCCCAAGATGCTGCAGGATGCTGGGGTCGAGAGCCCATTTCGAAAAGCCCTTGGCAGCGGCGTGATTCTCGATGACCATATCAACGGGAAACTCGAAGGGAGGGTTGCGCAGCAAATTCTGGAGACCCTCAAGGTGTCGGGTTGGGAAGACGTAGCCCTGGGCACAGCACCCATACTTGGGCATCTCCCGAATGCCCGCACCACCGAAAGTCATTAGCCTGTGGAGGGTGACACGCCCAGCCAGGAAGAAGAGCACAATACAGGCTGGCGTCCACAATCCCAGGGCGAGGGACGCCATATAACTGAAGCTGTAAGACTGTGGGACTCGGAGTTCCAGGGTCTTGTAGTGCCTGTGCCTGGTAGCACGGCGTCGGCGGCGGAGACGGACGACCAGGTAGATGAGAGCACCCAGTACAGCGTAGATGCAGGCAATGATCTGCAAGTAGGACAGGATTTCCTCATTGTTCCAGCCCATGAGCATCTCCGAGTGGAAGAGACGGAGATAGAGCCAGTCGTGTCCGGTCAGCGATGAGCGTCGCTCGAGGTTTGCCACACCGTTCCAGAGACGCGGCAGCCAGTCACGGGCAGCAATGACATCGTCCTCGACCATGACAAAGTAGGGCGAGCCATGGTGACGGCAAGCTTCGACGAGAACAGAGTGATCGATGTGGATATTTTCGGTGTGACCGTCGCCCCGTCCACGGCGGCGAAGGTCGTATGGGATGACTCGATAAGCATCGGTGGGCTCTTTGACAGACCTCTTACCTTCCTCGGAGCCGTCCTTGCCATCGTAGTCGTAGACGATCACCTCGTCAGCGATATCAGACAGCCACCGAGAACCGTATGAGGCATGATCCCGCGGGTTCCGATCTGCCAAGAGTACAACGAGGTGTACCTGTGCCCTCTCGCCGTCGAGCAAGGAGTCGACCAAACTGCCGACGGTGAGTCTCAACGTCTCCTTGTCCGTTCGGTTGACACTCGGGATGCCGACGCAGAAGAATTCATTCTCTTTGGCAGTCGTGCTGGGAGTCTTGGGTGGTGATTTTTCGAGCTTCTCGAGGTAGGTGTTGACTTCGGCCTCGCGGGTTGCTGAGTAGTGTCGTTGGAAAGCTCGGCGGCGGCTGAAGAAGAGGGAGGAAGGGTCGTCGTAGGAGTTGATGCTAACCCACAAGAGGGCACATGCCCAGATCAGCCAGAAGCTGGTGTTAGCCTTGGAGAGCCTCATTGTATTCGTCTCATTGGTCGTGTGCCTCGTCAATTGGTTGTGTCGGTCAGGAGAAAAACGAGGGGTGGCCGTAGGTGTAAGTCGGGTGGTGGTGGAACGAGCGGGAGCTAGCTAAACTGTAAACGAGTGTCGAAATGCCCAGGCGACGCGCATGTCGTTCTGAAGCAATAGAGTTCCGTGGTGGTATGATGTCGTAAGGAAGTAAGTAAGGATGTGGCATGAGGGAGCAGGAGATGAAGGAAGCCGGACCGGCGCGCGGACCATGGCTCCTCGTCGGCCGCGCCCGCCCTTTCTGATGCCTGCCTTGCCTTATGCCTCTAAAGTCTAGACGCCAGACTCGGCTACGCAGCCAGGGCCGGGGCAAGCGCCAGGGAAGGGACTGTTGCCAGAGACATCGTGCGTAGCAGAGGAGGCCGCGGGCCTGTGTGGAGGGGCGGAACGTTGCGTGTCCCAGCAGCCAGCGAATGAAGGAGCGTCCTGATCTGGCCTGGGAATAGCACCAGGGGCCCTGAGCGTGGCAGGGTCCACACTGGAGGTAGGGGACCACCGCTACACCACAGTGATCGGCCTCCCTGTAGGTACCACCCCAACTGCCCACCTAATTCTCGTATTCACTGATGATGGCATCTCCCCTTCTCCGCCGCCATGGAAGCGATGAAAAAGGAAGCACACGCTTTGTTCCCCTCACTGCGATTAATAAAGCCCTCCCTGGCCGCATCCTGCCTCTCCGGGCGCTGCACATCGCAGGTGATGCCAGCAGCCTGATTACTACCAGTCATCTCCCGTCCCCACCGTCCCCAAGGTACATGGCCACTACGTTAGTGGTAGCAGCGGGCACCGGCCACTGGAATCGCCTTCGGTGCCTGTGCCTGGTGGCTTATAATTAGCAGCTACATTGCCTGTGGAGCGTGCCTGAGACGTCGTTTAGTGTGAGACCCCCATTGAACAGTGCCAGCGCCACATATTAGCATCGAATTCCAGTCTTTCTCGCCCAATGAAGCCCAGACATCATTTCAATGCCAAGTTTTGTGATCGCCCATGATTATGGGGTGGAGGCTCGCCAACTCCTCTGATGCTCGTGACCCTCATCCCCGGCCTTGCCCTGTGCCGCCCTGGCACCCCCGCCGCCAATCAACTCTTGCTGACTTGGCAGCTGCCGAGGGACGGCTACCGAGATGCATGGTAAAGGCTTAAAGCAGGCACATTGCGGGAGCGCAATGTGCCAGCCAAACTCTCTAATTGATGTATGCAGAGAGCAGTCAGGGGTAAACCCTTAGATGGCTAGAATAGTGCCGAGTCATGTGCGGCTAAGGGAAAGGGGCTAGCCCAACATTCCCAGCGGCGTCTGACTGGTATTGCAAATAGTTTGCTGAGCCGTCCACCGTCGGTAAATTAGAAAGGGACGAGACAGCATCCTTCACCCAGTAATTTCTAGCTTACCTTTGATTAGGTAGGTAGAATGTGGTGCCAAGTCTCCATATGTAAGAACGACGCTGCTGGGCCGGGGCCTGTTGGACCCTGGCACGTGACCACCCACGATTGGGTGAATCCGGAGCTCCCGGTCTGGTCTGGGACGCACTGACAATGTCACGTATGGAAATAGATGAGACTTTCAATAGGTTATATGTGCAGGTGACGGATCATTAGCTGTTCTTGTGCTATGAACCGAGTCACAACCCGACGTAGCTTCGTTTACCGGATAGCTTTTGCCTAGATCTTCAAATTTACGTTCCGGCGTACGATGTAATACTGCTTTCTCAGGACCTATCTTCTTCCTGTAGACCGCTTTGGCCCTGGTAAACCGCTTGCATGAGCTGCTGGCGCATGCATGGGCGGAACGCAGCGTCACGCAGCGCGTGGAAACACTCTGCCGTCTGTGATTTGCCCATTAGAGTCGCAAATTTCATGCACCCTCCAGCTCTACCGTTAGCTGGTGTGTCAAAGAATAACTGGTCATTGCCCTGGGTGTATGTAATAGTTGTGTTTGGGATCAGGGAAATAAGCTCTTGTAGCTGAATGATTTCATGGAAGAGAAAAACCCCTCAGGTATATTGCCGAATATTTGCAAGTCTTTAGTATGAACAGGCTACAAGGCCAAAAGGACAAAACATGATCCTCCAGCGCCCATCTATGTTCCCTATCCTACAACCGAGAGGGCTGCTCGCTCCTCCGCAGACGGTCCAGCTCAAACAGCCCTCGTGATTAACAAACTCCACCTCTATGCAATCGCTGTGCAACTTGCATTAGTACAAATAATCTATCACCGCAATCAATGCATATTTTTGAGTCGCGCCGCTCTATTATCAAGGCAGTCTCGCCTCAACGACCTGCAACCGATCGTCAATACTCCCCACGGCCCGCGCCAGATCCACCACGTTGAGGCACAATTCGGTGAGTCGACTTGTGACTTCGCTCTGGTTTCCATGATGGCTTGGTGACTGGGCCAACTGTTTCTCGGGCGCGGAATTCCTTCGAGACGCCAGTAAAAATCGTGGTTCGACGGCCTGGTGCAGTTTATCCCACAGAGTCCCATACTCCATGACGTAGAACTCCTCAAACGTGGTGAACCCGATCTGGAGAAGAAGATCAGATGGCATAGCGTCAACCAGGGCACGAGTATACTGAATGGATACCCAATAGTCCTCCCCGATGAGCGTCTGGGTCAACGAGCGGTGCTTGTAAAGCCAGTCATACACATCCACGGGTGTCGTTGGCCTCTCGAGATGGAGCTTGCTGAGTCCCTCGACGGCAAAGCCTGGGCGTGTCGTATCGTCGGCCGCAAACCGCTGCTGCAGCTTGCGCTTGAACGACTCCCAGGTTTGACCCGCGGAAAGGGCCTGGACAAGAGGCCGGAGGGGCCTGGCGGTGAATGTGATGAAGATGCCTACCCGACGGTCGGTCGAGACTAATCCGTGGTCCAGCTCGAGATCGAGTGTCTTGAGATATTCCGACACATCGTAGCCATCGAACTCTCCAATGTGTAACCTGGTGCTGGGTCGTTGGGTGTCCAAGACCCGGACAGCAGGCTCGGCAGGGACCTCGAGGGCAGGGGCCTCAAGTACTTCGGGGACCTGGACGGTAGCTGTGACTTTGGGGCCTTTCCCATCCCGCGCGCTGGCGGTCTCTAGGGTGCTCCAGGGTGCTTCGAAAACATGGTTTGCCCTCGATATAGAGTCGTTGTGGTAATGATGTATCTCATCCACATGACCATTGTGATAGCGAGGCACCTCTTCAACATGAACAATGTGGGCTTCCGTGGCGTTGACTTCGGCCACACCGGTGGGTGGGAGGAAGGCGTCAATGGCATGGATGAGAGGAGTCGATTCCGAGTTTGCATGCTCATGCTCATGCTCATGTTCATGTTCTTGCTCACGCCTGGGTAGCCTGGGCGTTGCTAAGTTAGCAAGTCTAGGAGTGCCCATCCGAGGCGTTACAGGGGCCAACTCATGAGCCGCAACACTCGACTCAAGAGCCAGATGGTTGCCGGACAGGTGGTTGCCGGTCAGATGGTTGCTAGAGTCGTTCTCTTTCTGATATGGTTTCTTCTTCTTCTTTGAACGCTTGGACGACTTGTCAGATGAGTCTTGGTGCAAATCACTGTGACTCGCGGTCAAGGACGCGTATGAAGGCGCGGGGTCTTTGCCTTCGGAGTCTAGCCCTGGTGCTTGCGGCTGGGAGGCCGGCCTGTGTTGACTGTCTTCATTTCCCGCGCCTTGATGCGGGGCCCCGTTCGGCATCTGATCTTGAAAGCTGCTAGTTGCCCAGTCCCCCGGCTCGGAAGGCTCATACTCGGCGGTGGAGTTGTGGCCGAACTGCGAGGCGGCAGGCAGGCTGTTGTGCGACGGGGCAGCCTTGTGGTGGTCGCCCCTCTGGCCTTTCTTGCGGATGCGCTTCGGCTTACCGGCGCGAGGGAATGAAGGTTCTGTGAAGGGGGACATGGTTGTCGCCCGGGAATGCAGAATTGATGCTGTCTGGTTTCTGGTAGTCCGGGACCTGGTCTGTTCTGGCAAGAAAGCCGCTCTGTGCCCAGCTTTGCGACAGAGAAAACACGGCTGCAGACACGTATGACGCCTCAGCAAGCGTCCACACACAAGGCAAGGGTCGGGCAGGAAGCTCGTGCCCTCTAGGTTAGGGCAGCTCTAGTCAGAACCAGACGTTAAAATAGCTCCTCCACTTCCATCGTCTGGCAGATCGACAGGGGGGAAATGGCGGTTGCAACCATTTATCCACCAAGCCCCTGCTAAAGTTCTTCCTTCATATTGGCACATTTTGAACTGACGATCTGGTGATAACATGTTGAGCATGTCACAACGTTGCCATGAAGACCTGATACAATACGCCGGTTACGATATCGAATTCGCCATTTAGCACACACGCGCTCAAATCTAACTTGCGCAGACTCGTATGATAATCTCTGTCTTTCGTGAATGAGCGTGAAACGTCATCTATTTCTGTTGAAATTGGTCACAGCTCTCGTTGGAGAAGTCAAGCTTTACCTCACAACCCCCAACAAAGTAGAATAACACCTGGCCGAGGCGCGAATTATTAGCGATGAAGATACACAAGTCATTTGGAATGGAAAAGAACGGTGCCGGAGGCTTCCAATGGCCTGATACACAATATAATCGTTTCGATGCTCAAAGAAACTACGATTCTAGCGATATTTGTGGACAAAACTAGTCTACTATCTGGCTATTTTATGCGCGGAAGTAGATATCATTGTATCTCGTGCAATTGGAACATTCAATTGAATGTCATGGCCACAGTTGCTATTATAATAGCTGGAGGACAGCCGCCTCTTTGGCTCTAGACGCTTCTCTTCTAGTAAAACACCTCTTGACATAGGTGTTTCTCAAATGAAATGGCACTACATCTTATAGGCGGCGCTTTAGCACGTTCTAGAAACGATCATTCATTAAAGCTGAGTACAGCCAATACGTTTTTTCTGTACGTCAAACTGGCCAGCAAGTCGTGTTTTTTTATCGCACGTGGTGGTACTAGAGTTTCCATGGGTGATATCATCACGCAATCTAACTTTAGCAGTGTTGTCTAATACCATCAAGAGGCTAAATGTGTCTAGACTAGATAAATGCATCAAATAATAATGAAGTTGTTGTACTGGGTTGACGTGGTGTCGGATCTCTTTACATTGCAGCGAAGGTCCATGCCCACAAGGGCTAAATCAAACAGATTCAAGGTATAGAGGCTGAAGCGTAGAAAATAATACACATCAACCTATCTCCGAGGGTACTTGAATGGTAATATTTTGGGTGATATGGAGGGTCGGATAGACTAGGGATGACTCGGCGTGGGATCATTGTGTGACTCGACCATACTTTGACGGATTTATCCCAACTATCATAAACAGATGAACAACTCTGAATGACATAAATGTTCCATCTATTGAAAGTATGGCGAAATCATCTACTCCATCTGAGTGCAGTGTTTAATTCGGAAGCATTGGGCGTGATGATGGGGCGCTCAGTAAATCGCACAACAGAGCGATTTTACTCTTGTTGATCAGTGTAGGTGCGAGGAAGACTGAAGCCAAGGCTGATTTCGTATCGTGTAGATGAAATGCGCCTCATGCAGGCGCACAGGATTCTGAAACATTCCGGCTGCCTCAGCGCGGGACCTGAATGCCAATAGAAGTCCAGCTACAGACTTGGCAACCCGTGTCCAGCCCACAGTTATCCGATTCGCCCTCTGAGGGATGGAGCGAGGGAGATCTTGGGATCGATACTCTGATCAGTTCCTCATTGGGTAGAAATCATGCCGGATTGTGCCTGAGGGACGGACGGGTCGGGTTCCAATGCCATGAGGGCAGATAGCGCGTGAGGAATGTCTCTCTCCCACTTCACGATATTGATGGGAACGGTCAGATTATGGCCACAATGGTAAGACACCATTCAATGCCGCCGAAAAATCGTTGCACCCCACGAGATGCAGGCCCAATAACTTGATTCAAGCTCAACCAGCATCTTAGGTGAGATGCGGCATCTAGCATCAATATTACTGAGACAATAACATTCCTCATTCAATTGAACTTATCTCGCAACGGCAACAGTGGAGAGCCCCGCCTTCACTCATCTTTGTTCTCAATCTGGGCAGGTGTTGCGAAGCTATAGTCCTGCAGGTCATGACATTCAGGGCCCGGGTCTCCACGTGGAGCGAGCTTAACTTGGCAACCTCTGCGGTTACATTGCGATCATCATAGAGGCAGAGCATGAAAAAGCTGTAAACTAAATGTACGATGGCATCACGGATTGGTCGCCCATTCGAGGGGGGGCCCGGCCGGGACGTTGATCCCAGGTCCCGCCGGGTGTTGGCTGCCTCTACATGACGGCATGTGCAGGAGGATTTGAGGTTAAATGGAGCCTGGCTCAGCTTTAATCCATATAAAGTGTTGCGGTGTGGCACGGCTTATGGAAGAAGGAAGCGCCCCTGCTCAGCCGTGCCGATCTCGTGGAGCCACTCATGGTAGTCTCTCGCCTGCAGAGCATCTGAGATGCTTGGCCAACATCAGATCAACAATGCCCAAGTTCACAAGTTCACCACCTTGCAGAGTATGCTCCACCAGTCTATGGATCGTTGCCACCTCACCTGAACATCATGAAACTGCAGAGCGACAAGAGCAAGCAGCTATCCGCAATGAGAGGCCGTAGCGTACATATCTTGACGCGTGAGGGGAGCTTGGCACATGTTGTGTGCTCTAACAACGCTCTCGGATTCGTCGATTTGTGGCTTGTGGCTTCTTGAGTATGCCTCTAAAGCATGCATGTTGGGTTCAGCCGTGATGGTCATCGAGGAGGAGGCATCGAGCATACTCGAAATGGTCAGCTCGGGCGAATCTGTCCCGCTCCTTTCCCGATCTTTGCTCGAGATATGTGATTCTCGAAAGGTGACATTTGTTTCTTTCGCGTGTATATAAGGCGCCCATGATTCCTCCCAAGTTTTGATCTTGAACTCATCCCAACCAGCACAGCAAGCACACCGAAGCCTCTCTCAAGACCAAGACATCAAGCTTAAACTTCTACCCACTTCCTTCTTTCCCAACCACCATACCATCAAGATGCGTTTCTTCTACTCCTTCGTCCTCCTCGCGGTCACAGCCCTCGTCTCCGCCGCGTCCATCAAGCAGGACATGGACCTCCTCAAGCGTGAGATTGACGCTGCTGCCGTCTTCGGACAGGTTGAGATCGTCCCTGTTCCTCTGGACGGCAACCTGACCAAGCTCGAGTTCACCGTCGACGGTAACTTCGAGGGCACCCTGATCCAGACCGAAGATGGCGGAGGTACGCTCCTTCGAATCTCACCCCCTTTTAGCTAGACCATCTTTGCTAACGCATATCGAACCACAGTCGAGGCCTTTGACGCCGAGGGCAAGCCAATCGACCTTGACGAGACCGTCTTTGACGAGTTCCTCGAGAATGTCCCCGTCAGCAAGCGGTTCTACCTTGCCATCATCCGCATCATCGGCGCGCTCCTCGTCCGATGGGGACAGCGTGCTTGGGCTTTCTTCGCCTGCATTGGCTGGAACGCCACCCTCCTCAACTGCGCTGACAAGGTATGTGAAAAAAATGTATCCGCTGATGATAACCAACGCTAACGATGGCAATTAAAGTTTGTGACCTGTGCTTCGCGCGGTACCGCACCTTGGGCTTGCGCTTCTGGCCTCCTCTGCGTTGGAAAGGCTGGCAAGAACTGCGTCTAAACCGCGATGAACCTCGAGAGCTAGTGTCCAGGGTCGTTTAGCCTGGAATGAGCAGTGGATGCAGTGGGAAAGACGTAGGGGGCCAAAGGGAGATGGGAATGCCAGTTTGTGAAGATTCAGTTGTCAACATCTGGAGTGGAGTGGCCATAGAGAAAGATGGAGGTGAGTGATATGGGGCAATACTGTTCTGTATGTGGCACAAACACGACTATGACAAGTAGCTTATGTAGGTGCTGAATTCAGATGGTAGAAAACTTAGTTCATTTTTCCTCTTACGTATGCGTCACAAGTGGCACAATGTCTAAAATTGAAAATACAGGCTCTAAAAGATCATCACAATATGCAATAGGTGTGGTGAGAGAGTCAAGTTTGCCAGTGCATCACGTTCAGGCACTGTCCTAACCCAGAGTGTCCGCTTCAGAGTGTCCGCTTACACTATCAACCTGCGGTGAAACCGTATCCTGCTCGGCGATAAGAGACCAATATCCCAGATTGCTCTTGTTTCAAGGGACAAGTCAGCCAGCAGGTGTGTATGACAGTTTGAAGTTTCCGTGTCACTGCATCTTGTCCAACCCACCACTCAAGATTGTTGGGCCAGGGCAGGCTACAGTTGCTCAGCAGCAGTGTTGCGTCCCCCAAGGGGGATGAGAAGGGTGAGAAAGGCACAACAGGCCAATGAAAAGCTCGTCCAGCCGAGCACCACCGCTGCAGGGCCGAGATGGCACGCAATTGTACCAAAAGCCAGGTTCTTTACCAGGAATGAGGAGGTTGTGCCCACGAGATTCTGCCAGAGGGCGGCGGTGAATGCAGCAGAGGTGGCGAAGAACATCGATATGGCGAAACACGTGAAAGACAGCGAGCGGTTTAGGAAGATGGAGAAGATGGTTGACGAAGCTGATCCCTCCGATTTGGAAGAGACAGAAGCTACCAGTGCACCGATGAATGTGGCGAATAGAATGGCAGCGCCGAGGAATCTGTGAAACTAGGTCAGCGATATGATTCTTTTGTGGGATAGTGCACGCGGAAGCCTACACAAAGGTAGACGAGACTGCGTCAGACCGGAGCTGATTCCCAAGCCAGAGCAAGTTGAGAGGATCAGTCTGCCCCGAGGATTTGAGAGACTCGACTATGTCGAGAGGACGAGGGCTGCAAATGAAAGAGTCCGAGCTGGATATAGCACATAGACCGAAATAACCGACTCGGACCTCTTTGATGTTCGAGTTGTCTGAGATACGATCTCTGAAAACGGCATCTAACGCTTGGATGCTGGCCATCTGGTTCGACGCAGTGTCGTATGATAGCGACAGTATGTGCAGATCACGGGTTATATTGAAAGATGAGGTACACCCGGAAAGTAATATCGCTGTTCTCTTGTAAGTATGAAATAAGAAGCCGGAGGAAATATCGTGGTGCAGGATATCGTCCTACCTAGCGAGGTGGTTGATATAATGAGAACAAGCCCTCGTAGATATGCCCATGGCCACCGGCGTGCTGTAAGTTGAAATCATCAGCAGAGCTAGTCGAATGAAAGAATCAAAAGAATCGACAAAAAGCTCCTTACCTTGCTGCCCAGCGGCCGCAGAACCATCCGGGGATGTGGATCGTAGTAGGGGCGTCATTTCGCTCGACATACTGGGGAAGGACATAGATTGATCCCACGTTGAAAGGGCGACACAGGTTAGACCCGGAGGAAGAAGCCCAGCAGCCTGATCGCCCTGCTGAATGGAGTGCTTACAGGTTTGTTATCTTGTGCGCTGTTCACCTTGCAGCCTCACTCCCCGCACAAGCGGCCCAACCAAAGCCAAATGGACCAACCCGAGCGACAGCGCACGCAAAGGCGGGCCATGTCACCGCCTCTTCCCCTCCAAACGTTCCACCATCAAGATGCCTCGTTTCCCTACTAGATCTGTGTGTTTTCGCGATACAAGCCTCTCTCCAGCCAAAAAAGGGTGTTTTCCGAAATATGCTGTCCGCATGGCGTCGTTGGCGCCGGCCACCTACACCTAGCACAGAACCCGAGAGCACAGAACCCGAGACTGAAGATACTGAGGAAGAAGACCAGGACGAGAGCGTATTTTCCGGCGAGATGACGCCGGCGGATACACTTTCAGATACTACCGGCGCCTCAACTGCAGAGACTACCTGTGAGTTCTCGATCGCTGACCCAACTGGAGAGGATATCGCTGACGGATGAGTTATCGCAGCCACCGACCCTCCCGACGAGTATCCAGTACCGATTCTTGGGTATCATCATGTTCTGATGATCATCAGCGCGATATCCCTCGTTGCCCTGGGTCTGACTCTTGGCGGATGCTCAAGAACAGGCACTCTCCAGAACTTCCACCTCCTCTCCATATCAGCTCGACCAGACATCGCACCGATGGATGCCAGAAGCCCGCTCATGCTAAACGACACGCTGCCGGATATCTTGCATCAATGGACGTTGAAGGGGGTAGATGAACCGATGCGAGCAGAGGCTGTGCAGGTGGGATACTGGTCTATATGCGTGAAGCTCCATCAGGGAGACTGGCAATGCCGACTTCGGCAACCTGCTGCCCATATCGCTGACCCATTGGGCATTGTTGAGGCTGCATTCGACTTTCAGAAGCATGTGACATCCTTTGTTCTTTTGTACGTGACTGTGAATATAACAGCATACTGCGACACCCATCTTCACCAGGCCGAATCCGCTAATCTTTCGTCTTATTACAGAATACTGGGTGTAGTTTTTACGTTGTCGAATCTCGTAGTCCTGCTCCTGTTTCCAGGCTGGAACACCCCCGACGACGGGTCTGACGAACCCAAGCCCTACCCTTCTTCTCAATACGCAACTGTGCTTGTTTTGACCAATGGTCTTGCCGGGGCCATGCTGTACATTGGAATGGCGTGGCAGCAGATCGCCATCGCCTCAGCAGGCACGATTATAGAAGGTCTGAGATATGGCTCTGTTGAGGTACAGATAGGCATCACAGCGGCTGTCCTTGGCTGGCTTGGCGTTTTTTTATCTTGTCTCTGTATGCTCGGAGGAATTTTGATGGGCGTATCGCTGCATTTGGTAGATGAGCTGTCTCAAGACTGAGAAACTGGTAGATGGGGCTTGACTGGGGTGATGATTTACTCCGAGCGTTTGTTCCCGACGGCGTGGCTGATATTGAAGGCACGAATACGACACATATCTTGTATAACAGCCACATTTGGCTCGTAGAATCTGCCTTGTATATTTGTAGCACGGTGCTAGATTAGGTATTTCTTATCGATGATTCTAATAGCCCACGCCATCCAATAGGTCAGCCACTTGGAACGGCTTCTCAAGCTAAGATGAGTATCTGGTCAGCCAACAACCCCTTGCAGGGGTTTCAACACTAAAAACCAACGGCACCTGCATCTGAACGCAGTCAAATATGGTGTGGCTACAGGTATGGTTAATATTAACCTAAATAGTGACAGCCGGCTGGATTCCAGCTGCTCGGGACGGTTGGAGCTATGGTTGAACTTGGAACAACCTTGACAACATTCCTGAGCTTGGAGTAGTCGTGTGATTCGGGGAGTCGAGTCGGTCCCCTAGTGTAGTGTCGGCCCTATCAACGAACGTGCTAGCTGCATTACGGCAAGCTGCTCTCACTACAGATTGTGATAGATTAGTCTACGGAGTATTCCGTACCCTTGACGAGAGGTTGTTGCCTCCCCGCAAAGAGCAAAAGCCACCAGTCCGCTGGAGCGGTCCCGACCCCCCAGCGTTAATGTTCTGCGAGTGGATGCGCCCCAGGTGGCCTAACACCGCCGGGGCTATGTACCTGGACATATCAATGCTGATTATCGAAGCGAGCCGAGAGAGGAGCCAATCTGACATAAGGCGAGCACAGGCAAGACATCGTTCGCTGCACGAAGGGGTAGCTTAACGGCTTGCCGGCGTACGCGCGTCGAAGGGAAAGTTTTAACGGACAGAGCCTGTTCATCTAGTGCAAACCTGTTTTCCTTCTCGAAGGCCGCGACATAGAATACGACTACGTAGGGGCTGAGCATCACGAAAACTAAGTAGTTCGGAGATCTACGACAACTTGCTTAGTTAGCAATGGTGTGTTGTGTGGCTTGTGTGGGTGGCGAGAGACCAAAAGACTGGTTCTGGTCTGGTGGTTTATTTTTGGGCACAAGGCGAGGGCCATCACTCCGCTGCAGGGACAAAATGGTCATTCGGCAGCTCGCTCTTGTCCATGGCAGAATGCGACGGTGAGAAGCGCCAAGACCGAGCGCATGACCGCTGGTTCCATCAGATGGGCATAATGACGCAGAGCCGCGTCGACTTCTCGGCAATAGTGACTTTTGCTACGAGGTACATGGCATGAACTGCGCCCTGGGCTGTTGTCATTGTCCTACGAGTTGCCCCAAGCAGGGTTCGGGTACCCGACGATAAGGTTCCATGGATGATGGGATGAGATAATGAGCAAAATTAGCATTGGGACGCATTCAATTTTTTTTCTTCTCGCTGGTGGCGCTCAATAGACCTGAATATGGGTGCTGGTCTGGACTTGGGCTGCTGTCGGCTGACAGATCTAGCTCTGATAGAGCTTCAGCTGAGCGTAGCGGCTGAGCGTAGCGGGTGCAAGTTGGTAATGGATTGCGAGCTGGGCGGGCACTTGCAGCCGCCGTTCTTTCTCGACGGATGCCACTGGCAAGTGTCCTCCTAGCAAGATAGGGCGAGATATAATTTGCTCGCTGCGGACGCTGATTGGTCAGGCGCTGCAGCGAATCTGGAAGGAAATCCTGTGGCCAAATGGCGATGGGCGGCAATAGGCTCGATATGATGCTGGTCAAGTCCTTAATATTCGGTGATCATGGCCACTGTGAGGATGGAACCAGCAGGTGAAACACTGCGGCTCCACCGTGCTGCGAGCGATCTCCAGGACACTCGGCTGAACCCTTGTGAGGCAGACGGCAGCCCAGCAAAGAGCCTAGCGCGCTACCACGACGTAGTACTGCCACCGGTCGGGGCTGACGGGGCCCCATGTGCAGTGCCCCCTTATAATTACAGGCCATGGCCTAAGAAGGTAGCGACGACGCGAGCCCACTCTGCTGGGGACTATTACAATTGCTGAGGAGGTGCAGCTCTGTGTGCGCAATTGCCCAACGCCCCGCCTCCACTTGGCTGCATGTGTTGCTAGGCCAGCCACTGAAACCCATCTCGAGCTCCGACCAACTTCTCCTCGACCTTGTTCCTGTGGTCATTTGAAACCTTCTCCCGCCGCCTCTGAGCTTGTTCGCAGCCATCCTCGGGCATTTTGCTTCAAAGGTCCCACCTGCACCACTTCCGATTCTTTGTCTTCCTTTGTTCCAAGAGAGACAGGCCCTCGGCGAGCGAGTCCCATCCAAGAAGCCACGTTTTGTCCTCGCCCATCGCATCGCATCGCACCGCACCCTCCGTCCGTGGGCCCTTGCAGCATTCCACCCGTACCGAGTCCAGGAACCGAGACCCTCCTACTACACCTTGACACACCTAACGATTCGCCCTTTGTTACAGACCGGTGATCTTGGTTGTTCCCACACTATTCTGGGCTGGGCAGCCGACTGGTGACGACGACAACCACACATAACAAGGGCATGAAAGATCTGAAACCATGTCGTATAACAGGCTAAGTGAGTTGATGCGCCCTGCCCAGCTTGCAGTTGCTTCTCGTGTTCCTCGGGCCCAATCTACCCTATCAGTTGCAAATACCACCTCCCAATCCATCCTGCGCACCCTCTTCGCTCCAAGTTATTCGTTGCAGCATTGTAACGATTTGCTGGCAACGTGCGACGACGGTGCGACGGCCGTTTTGTATGGCGCGAACCAAGTTGCAACGTTTCGCAGCTACCACCGCGATAACCACCCCTCAAACGCCCTCAAACACCAGCTGCTGCCCACTCAACCACGACCCCTCGACAAAGCCTAACTAACACTCCCAATTCCCAGACGACGACTATTACGACCAGATGGATCCAAGGGATCAGAGGGGCCGCTATCGCAGCCCCTCGCCTGGCCATCAACAACCTGGATACCAACTCGAAGAGAACCCGTATTCCTACTCGCAATCACAGCAGCGACTAGACATGCCTCAACACGGCTCCCCGGCGAGGTTCCCCTCTCCAGGAGAACATCAGGGCTATAATCCGGCGGATCTCAGGCTGGGAACCCCAAGCGATTTCCTGACGATGAATGCGGCGGTGGGTACACCCTCGAACTGAGCTTTCCATGACGGCTGACAGGCTAACGGTGGCATTCGAACAGCACTCTATCGATAACTTGTCTGGCTACCACAACAACAATAGCCAGGTCGGCGTCGACCATGGCGACTACTCTGTCAACCCCGAAGCTCACCACGATGCGTACTATAACCGGGGCTATGAATCAACGACCCCTGGGCATGACGGTCATGGGTACGACTACGACGACCAGGACGGACGACCAATGCTCTCGCACCAAAACTCCGACCAGTACGCAGATGATCCTCATCAGCAGCAACAACCACCGCCGCCACAAGAGGGAGGAGGCCTTCGGCGGCACAAGACAGTGAAGCGAGTTCTGCTGTACCGAGGCAATCTTGTTTTGGATTGCCCAGTACCCCCCATACTCCTCCAGAATGTCAAGCACGGCGAACGAGACGAGTTTACCCACATGCGATATACTGCAGCCACCTGCGACCCGTCCCTGTTTTACGAAGAAAACTTTACCCTGCGCCAGAAGCTCTTCAGCAAACCCCGACACACGGAGCTGTTCATCGTTGTGACAATGTATAACGAAGACGATATCCTTTTTGCCCGAACAATGATCGGTGTCTTCAAGAATATTGATTACATGTGCAACAGCCGACCAAACAGCAAGACCTGGGGCAAGGACGCTTGGAAGAAGATTGTGGTGTGCGTTGTCAGCGATGGTCGAGCCAAGATTAATCCGAGAACGAGAGCTTTGTTGGCGGGTATGGGAGTCTATCAGGAGGGTATCGCGAAGCAAAAGGTCAACGACAAGGACGTGACGGCACATATCTACGAGTACACCACACAGACCCATTTGGCGCTCAACAACGGTGTTGTTTCGCTGGTCCACAATAAGCAGCCTGTGCAAGTCCTCTTTTGCTTGAAGGAGAAGAACCAGAAGAAGATCAATTCCCATCGGTGGTTTTTCCAGGCATTTGGACGTGTTTTGGACCCCAACATTTGTGTTCTGCTCGATGCCGGTACGAGACCAGGTGGCAGGTCCATCTACCATCTCTGGAAAGCGTTCGATCTCGAGCCCATGTGCGGAGGTGCCTGTGGTGAGATCAAGGCCATGTTGGGAACTGGCGGCAAGCTTCTTTTGAACCCGATCGTTGCGGCACAGAACTTCGAGTATAAGATGAGTAACATTCTGGACAAACCGCTGGAGTCTGCGTTTGGTTTTATTTCCGTATTGCCAGGTGCCTTCTCTGCCTATCGATATGTTGCTCTTCAGAATGACAAGAACGGCAAGGGCCCATTGGAGAAGTACTTTTTGGGTGAGACACTTCACGGAGGTGCTGATGCTGGTCTTTTCGAGTCCAATATGTACCTCGCCGAAGATCGTATTCTCTGTTTCGAGCTGGTCACGAAGAGGAACTGCCATTGGATCCTGCAGTACGTCAAGTCGGCGACTGGAGAGACTGATGTGCCAGATACTGTGACTGAACTGATTTTGCAACGACGTCGTTGGCTCAATGGTTCCTTCTTCGCCTCCATTTATGCCGGTGTGCATTTCTACGACTTCTTTCGCTCTGACCACTCAGCCATCCGCAAGTTCTTCTTCTTCATCGAGTTCATTTTCCAGACCATCAACACCATCTTTGCGTGGTTCGCTCTCGGCAACTTCTTCCTGGTTTTCAAGATTCTCACGGAGAGTTTGGGTGCTGACAACCTGCTCAAGAGGCCTGGTCAGATCCTAGGTGTTGTTTTCACCTGGATGTACGGTGCCTTCTTGGGTGCATGCTTCGTTCTCTCACTGGGAAATCGCCCCGCCGGATCTGGAAAGCTCTACACTGCCATGGTTTGGTTCTGGGCTATCCTCATGATGTGAGTATCTACTCTGGGAATCCGCCTTTTGATTGTGATATTCTTGCTAACCGTACATGTTTAGATATCTCCTCTTTGCCGCTATCTACATTGCCGTTATTGCCATTATGGAGCATGTTAAGGGCGGATTCCAAATTAGCGACCTCGTCAAGAACAAGGTGTTCTACACGCTCATCATATCTCTCATGTCGACTTTTGGTCTGTGGCTGATCGCATCCCTGATGATGTTTGACCCATGGCACATTTTCACCTCGCTCGGCCAATATATGCTGCTGACCCCTACCTTCACCAACGTTCTCAATGTTTACGCCTTTTGCAACACCCACGACGTCTCATGGGGTACCAAGGGTGACGACAAGGTCGAGAAGCTTCCATCAGTCAGCACCAAGGATGGTGAGGGCAAGACAGATCTCCCCGACGAAGGCGACCTCAACGCCCAGTACCAGCGCGAGCTGGCCTCGTTCAACCACAAGTTCGTGGAAGAGAAGAAGCCACCGACCCCCGCCCAGCTCCAAGAGAAGCAGATGGACTACTACAGAGGTGTGCGAACTGGTGTCGTTCTCATCTGGATGGTTACAAACTTTGCTCTCTGTGCTGTAGTACTGAGCACAGGAGGTCTTGATACACTCAGCACCGGGGGCAGCACGGAAGAGAGCGAGGAGGAGCGAACCAACATTTATCTACTCGTCGTCCTCTACAGTGTGGCCGGTCTGAGTGGCTTCAAGTTCATAGGTGCCTGCTGGTTCATGATTGTCCGCATGTTCAGAGGTGTCTAATGAATTTGGTGACGGCTTCTTTCTAATTTACGTTTCTGGATTTGATGGCGGGGGGTTTTGCATAGAGAAAAACACCCCAATGATGGATTTCGGCATCGTCAATTTCCCTCACCCCCCTGTATTATTCAGCTTATACCCCAATGACGACCGATGACCATATCTGGGGCAGGAGAGCGAAGAAAGGCCCCATTGCTGTTTTCTGTACCAGTTGTTACGATTGACTTTTTTTTACGTTCTCAAAGAGACATGATATCTTCTAGTAGAAAGCACGAGTTGGGAAGTGAAGGAGCATCTGGCGTTGGATTGAATAAAGAGGTATATTTTCAATAATTGATTTTTCTTCTTCCATACAGTGAGTTTTTACATTGGTGAGGTTCGTCTAATTTATTAGATCGAAGGGGTGTAGGACCGCTCGTGCGGGTCCTTCATGCCTCTCGCGCACCAGCTTGCTATGCCCGTCGTGGCGGCCTGGTGCCCCGTGAGGAGGACGGAGAACCAGATGAGGCCGGCGCTGCCGAGGTAGACTGGGCGGAGGGAGTCGCGGGCCTGGGGACCGGTGATGAAGCGGTTCGTGCCGAGGATGAGGCCGGAGGCGAGGTAGAGGGCGAAGAGGGAGAGGGAGGAGAGGGTGCGGAGAGTCCAGACGCCCGAAGGGGAGAGGAGGGACCTGGCGATGCGGCTGCGGCGGCGGTTGGAGGTCGAACTGTCAGATCTCTGGACGGGGATGGCCTGGAGGAGGGCGCGGAGGATGGTGGTGGATCCGGCGGTGGTCAGGAGCTGGGACCAGTGGTAGAGGAGGCGGCAGTCGGCGTGGAAGATGCCAGGGGTCGGGACGGTCCGATGCTCGTTTGGGGGTGGCTCGTCGGCGGAGGAGATGTAGTATCTGCCGCACTTGTAGTCGAATTCACTAAGTTCTTTGGTTAGTTTTGGGTCAAAGGGTGGCGGTTGGGTGATACGTACTCGTCGTGGAGGTCCTTGGCGACGATGCAGGCGAAGATTAGGTGGGGGATGGCAACGAGGATCATGAAGAAGACGGTGAATGTGGCGACGGAGAGGTTGCGTCTGAGCCAGCACGGGTAGGGCTGCTCTTGGGGCGGTTCCTGGGTGAAGATGGTTCGTGCCTGGCTCACATCGCGGGTGGTGGAGGTGTTTGGGTTTGGGTTTGGGTCGATATAGGCTGGTGGTGGTCTGGAGTTGGAGATCTCTTCATATGACGGCGGCGGAAGATGTGCCGGTGGAGGCGCGATGATCGACGTAGCTGGATGAGGGATCTGGCCGTGAGAGATCTTGGGAGCGGCCATGGCGTCCATCTCTGGTGGTGACGCGGGGGGAGGTGAGTAGATGGTGATGGTTTCATCAAGGCGCTCTACGGATGAGAGGCCAGGATCGGTACGACGAAGGAAGAAAAACAAAAGATGGAAACGGCAAAACGGCTTCGAGATCTGCTAGCTGCGGAGTGGTTAGACGGAGACGATCGCTGGATGATCTACAGCTATCGCGCTGGATGTCAGGAACAGACTGGGCGATCCGATGGGGCTGCAGGGGTTTGGATGCTGCAGAACGTGGGAGATTGCAATGTGCAACTGTGATTAAAGAAGTGAGTCCGTTCTCCCGGGTACGTGTGGTGATGTGACGGATGAGCAGTAACTGTTTGCTCTGGTGGGAGTTGTCAAGCCAACATCTGCCACCAGCTGGCCGTGAGTGTGCGATACCAGACGCCAGCGGTACCTACAAGTAACCTGCTCAGAGTGCACCCAGCGTAAAAACGGCGTGAGTGTCGGTACCCGAGCCTCGAGTTGGAATCGATAAGCGTTACAGGTCTCTTTGCCAGGCATTCACTTGCAAGGACTTACATCCCGTACCTCCTACGATGGTCCAGTTCCTCCCAGTGACAATCATTGCCTGATGCCCGCCGACGGGGTAGCTATTTCTGCCTTCCGATCAAGGCGAATTTGTTTGAAGGTCATCCCCAAGAGGCTGTTTCGTTCGCCACAACGACTTTAGACTGGAGCTTCAGTTGTCCTATTAAGTTGACTGATCGGATTAGGTTCTTGTTGTATCCTCGCCGTCGCAAGGCACAATCTTTCCATCACATGATACATCTGGCGCACAGTTCTTCATAAAGAATAGTACATTGTATTTACGATCATTCATTGTACGGGATTGCTGCGGCTGGTTCTTCTCGAAGAGGTGGTAAGCTTTGCAAAGAATGCTCATATTGTCGCTGTCCCCTCCTCGTATCTTTCGGATGTAATTGGCTGCTGCGAGGACTGCGATCAATGACATAGAAATCATCAAGTCTCTTTGGTATTCAATTGTCGCGTTCTCTGTAGCCTTACGTTTCTCCAGGATGTCCCTGGCATGTCCAAATCTACCATACCTGAGTAGAGTGACAGAGGAGGCTTATTGTTCAGGTCCTGTTGAATGGGGTGAGATGGTGTCCCTTCCTTTGTTTGGCCCACCAAAACTCTGAAATGTGATGAATATCTCTTCCATATGGCTTGAATATCTCAGGTCAACTAAACTAGAAATTTCTGTAAGGTAAATACGGCATTGCGTTACCCAGCTAGTAGAATTAAACCTTATTCTTAGCATGCAATTTGCAGCCCGGTCTTTGAAGTGACATTGAGATGGCGAATGCGACGGCGAACAATGGACGGAAACCCCCGGCGAACTTGGGTATTATCAACCACTTTCTGGTGGCAAGTTGGCAGGGTATTTCAGGGCTCTGTATCGAATGTGACTACAATGGTTGTGAGGCTATGGGACCGTATTCATCGCGCAGAGTCAGATATTGTATTGCATGCAAAGTGAGATGGCCTATTCAAGTGAGCACACTTGCGTCTATTGTTGGCGTCCTTGGGATAATGGACTGCAATGCCACTGAATAGGACGTCAATGGCGTATCGGATTTTGAATTGACCAGATTCCCATCCGAGAAGGGAAATATGAGAGCTTCTGGAATTCTGGAACTCATATAAAAGGCCGCTGACTTCCCTGGCTATCATTGCAATTCTTCCCACAACATCACCGCACTCATCCAGAATCCCAACACCACACTCAACAACTCCCCAAGCACGAGAAAAGACACCATGTCCAACGCAGAAGTCCTCTGCGAGGACGAAGACATCCGCTCCTCCCCTGCTCACATGCAGGTTGTCGAGCTATCAACACTTGGTTCCCATGCGCCGAACCAATCCATCACCGCCGCCGCCGCCTTCGAACCCGTTAAGTGTGTCCTCCGCCTGATCCAACAGGTGTACTACATTCTGACGATCCAGTCCGCCCTCGCTGGCCAGCGATTCTGGGGCGACGCCGCCGCCGAGTCCCGGAACAAAGTCCTCAGGCTCGCCTGGTTGAAGCAACCACTGCACGCAGTCGAAGACTGCTGGGAACTGATCAGCTCACAGCTTGAGCTGGCGCCGCACAAGAGCATCTTCGACGTGATGTTGTGCGACACCATGGCAGCCACGCTCTGGAACCGACCCGAGTTCCATCTTGACGACCTGGCCCCCGACGGATTCCACATATGGAACGGTGGCCCATCCCTCCCGGAATTCTTCTCCTGGAACGTCGCCAAGCTGCACTCGGCAACCATCGTCTACGACGACCTACCCACCATCTTCAGGGTTGCGTGCACCGGACACAACCCCAAGTGGGTTGGACCCGACTACAAGTACGTTCCCGCCATCTTCGCTGTTACCCCCGCCGACGGGCAGACCATTACCTCGTACGACAGCATCGAGAGCCCCAGCGACACGGTGTACGCCCTCATGGCCATCGTGGAGAAGAGGCGGGACAAGAAGCCCGCCGTCAAGCGCTACAACCCGCTCGCATATCGCATCTTCAGGGAGAAGCGCCTCCCCCGCGTCGAAGGAGCCCGAAGCCGCTTCATGATCTTCTATGCTAAGTTTCGCAGGGGCGACCTGGACCTGGGCGGTCGGGTCCAGCAGATGCTCAACATCGGCGACGGTGACGACGCCCTGGCGCGGCCGGTTGAGGACGCGCTTCCTGGGCTGATGGAAGGTCTGGAACTTGGGAGCGACCACGCTGATGCGTTTGGTGCTCGAATGGAGGGTACGTCATCCATTGATGATCGCGAGACGAAGCGTACTCGACGCTGAAGACCCAAATCTAGGAATGGAGTGGTCGAACCTCTACTCGCATGAGTGAGCCATGGTGAGAGAGTGAGAAATGGGGTTCCTTTTTTTTCTCCCTCCGGGTGGTATTGATTGGGCGAGAATGCCCCTGCGTGCTGAAATGATTTAGGATGTCTTTGCGGTAGCTGCTGCTTCTGTTTCTGGTTTCATATCGCTGATCGAGGTGAGCAAGAAAATCAAATCAGGAAGAGGTGAGGCAACCGATACTGCTGCTGCTTGCTTATGGACATCATAGTACTCTGATAGTTTGAGGTTTACCAAGGGAAAGGAAATTCAAATCAATCCCCCGTTTATGTCGTTTTCCAAAACGCCTCTATGGTCATTACCCGTGTGTTGTGTTTCGTCGCTGGTAAGTGTAACCAACCTATGCTTGATCAACCCGATATTTGTACCAACCGTAGTAGCAGTCCGCGCTGATTCTCGGGTGGTAGAAAATCCAATGGCGCTTCGAATCATGTCCCGTCTTTCCTTTGTGTTCCCATCCACCTTTTCCATTTGCCCATCGTTCCTTCTTTTCCATTTTCTCCTGTCCCTTCTATGCCCCGCAATGCAATGTTGCAAGTAATTCTTCGTCGCTTTCATCCCATCATCATGCCTCAGGCCTCTCTTGATCCTCATCTCCATCTTCGTCCTTCTCCTGGTCGATGACCTGCGCGCCCTCAGGAGGGAAGTGGGAAAACAACAAAACCCCCATTCCCAACACCGCAATGGCCTAGCACCAAAATCAGTCACTCGAACAATCAACGAAAAGCGCCGGGGGAAAACACCTACCGCATTGCAGAAGAAGGTCACATAGGCTATACCGAGATTCGAAAACGTCGAGAATACGAAACCGAACAGACCTTGCGTCGCCAGTCTCGCGATGTTCTCAACCAGCGTCACCGCGTTCAGCGCGTCTGCTCGCTGGGACCCGGAGCACATGTCCGTGATGACTCCCTTTGCCGCAGGCGCCGTGCCAGATCCAAGTGGGAGGAGAAACGTGGCTATTCAGTGTATCGATTCAGGGTCAGCCAGGGTTAAACGGACGGCACGGGGTGCCATGACATACCGAGATAAATGTGCCATTTCTCCGTCGCAAAGGCCGCGAGGGTTGTCAGAGCGCCGTCGACGAGCAGCGACCAGCGTAGAAATACGAGGTCGAAGAGGTACTCGTTGCGGTCCCCTTGCTTGCTGTGCGTCGGCGGCTTGACGGGCTCCTCGTCGGCCTGGTCTCCCACTGGCGCATCGAACTCGGCCGGATCGGTCGGCAGCTGCGCCTCGTCGGTCTGCTGGTTGGTCTCCTCGGGCGCCGACGGCGGGGTCATCCATCGTCGGCCGGAGGAGATGATCTTGGGGAACGCGCTGATGAGGAAGAGCGCGCGCATCATTGCGAACCCGCTCATGAGCCATCCGTTGTCTGCCTGGGAGAAGCCGAGGTTTCCGGTCGCATACATCTGGATGAGCAGAGGCGCGTAGCCTGTCGCCAACTATAGAGAGGGATTAGCCTGGAGAATGTATTAAATTCAGGGGGGAAAGCATCAACATACCACGCCGATGAAGATGCCGGCGCAGAGGAAGACGACACCATAGTGCTTCTTGATTCGGCCATCCGCGAGCCGCAGACGCTGGGGAACGAGGATCTTCAGAGGGGCCAGGAACGCAGCTATGGCGCCCTTGTCTGATTTCTTCCCGTCAGTCATGGAGCTTGGGTCGATATATGGCAATGCGAATTGGACGTAGAGCGCAGAGATGAGGAAGAATACGAAGGCAGTGTCGAATGGGGCCCGGATGTCAATGTCACCAAGCATGCCGCCAGCTGGAAAATGTTCTTCATTAGTCTGGAAACCCCGGTAGAAGGGACTATGGGAAATCAGGAGCATACCAAGGTATCCGATACCTTGGCCCAACATGATGGTGCCTTGGAGTTGACCGAACACGGCGGTGCGTCTCGCAGGCTCAACGAGCTCTCCGGTAATAATATTCGCCATGAGACTATCTTGTCAGTTCAAAGTTGATCAGGTCCGGGGCAGGCATCTCGACCTACATGTAGCCTGCCGGCCCTCCGAGAATGGTGATCAATTGGGTAGCCTGGATAATGACAATGCCTTCCCTCCTCCCAGCTACGACGCCGATGATTTGGGTCAAGACACGGATGGCGGGTACAAACGTCTGGACGAGGATCGCCGCGCGGGGCCCATACTTTTTCGACATCCATCCGGTAACGAATAAGTTTATCGTTCCTATACAGCACACGCTCAGGTCAGCGACTATTGTCCCGGGGCTCCTCCTGCAGAAAGCTGCGGAGTGGATGGGGGACGCGGACCACAAAGAGTTGTGCTCATGCCCAAAATACTGAACTGGGTGGCGGTGCCGGCCGATATGGAATTGACACTGCAGCGATCGCCGTCGCCTTCATACGGAGGATGGGTGTCATAGTAGATATCGCACTCCATCAACCGAAATACGTAGAGCAGTCTGAACGGCCCGTGGTCAATTGGAGTGGAACGAGCATGCGGGACGAGTCTAGAGACTTACGGGACTTGTGTGAAGCTGAAGGAGAGAGTGATGAGGAAGCCGGCAAACAAGATGCGATTCTCGACATGGAACACGGTCCGGAGCGCCCGCTTGAACCACCCTTTCGGAGCATCTTCCTGCTGCCCGCTTGAGGTGCGCAGCAGCGGGGTCGTCTCATTTTGCAGAGTCATCGCGCGACGTCAATTCGAACAAGTCGGTAGGAGAGAGCAGCGCTGGTCTCGTTCTACCAACGCGGCTGGATGAATTGAAAGAAGGGAGAAAATGAGATATGCAAGATAAGAGCTGCAGAAGACAAGAGGCTCGGCATCCGTGTCGAACCGCCCCAGCAATTGCGCCGTTTTCGCAGTAGGCTGGCCCACCGCGACTCCTTCTACCACCCTCCTCTCCACATCGATGCCGGGCCGCCGTATCTGAAAATTGTGATCCATGGCTCCCATGGCCCCCATGGCATTCCCCGAATCCCCTCAAAAGGCCGTCAGCCAGGACCCTGAGTGACACCCCAAGAATCTCCTCTGGCATACGGAAACTAGGGTGATTCATTAGCGTCACCATTCACGGCTTGCTTATTTTACCTCGATCGGTGACTTTCCCTGTCCGCAGTGGTGATAGCGTCCTTTCCCAAATCGAACAGTCACATCCGTTTTTTCCAGAACAAACTGGAGATGGTGAATCACGCCATGGGTCCCTGGGCTTTGTCATCGCACTAGGGCGGATAAGACCCAGCTGCAGTTTGGATTGCATCTCGGGGAAGGGGAGGGTGTCAATTAATTAATCAGCTTGATGGCCTTCAATTACCTCAATCAGGACACTGCTACATAGGTATCCAAAAGCTTGCCTGCGGCCACAGAGTTCCCATCTCCTAAAAATGTTGCAAGAAACAGCAGTCCACATCTACCAAAGCAAAGCTTCCTAGCCTGGCATGGATTTTTGATCTCCTCTTCACTAATTGGTGGTGGGCGGGCGGGAGATGATGGTCGAGCACCGCTACTATTAACAGACAAGTCAGATTGCAAGGCTTTGTCGAAGCTGCTTCTCGAGAAAAGTGCCCTATTTTGCACTGCTTGCTAAAAGGTAGCCGCGATGTCATGGTGAAGGCCTAACATCCCGGCTCCGTTACAGCCTCAGCCTAGCAACAGGGCCAGAAAAGACAGACAGCCCTACAGGGAAACCACCACCAACACGGCTCATGAGCCAAAACCTGATTAGAAGGGCCATAATCATTGGCCATATGAAGCCATCAAGCTGAGCAGTGAATTGACACCCCTGCCTCTCCTCCCCCTCCCCCTCCCCGATCCCCCAAGATTTAATCTAGGCTGCAGCTGGACTTGGGAGAGGAATAGTTCCTTACTTGGGCTAGAGTATCCATCGATCGCGACTTCTTCGTTACTCACGGTTGCACAGATCATTGGAAATGCCCTGCGAAAACAAGATAATACCAGAACTACTTCATGAACGGCTTCGGGAATGCTTTCGGGCAGTGGTAATCCTAGCTCCATCAGAACAAAGGAGCCAGCTGGTCCTCGTAGGAGGGGCTGCTTGTTTGGTGTATTCTTCGCCATAGAGAACGGAGGATATTGATATCGCTGCGTCCGCAACTGCGATCTCTGTAGTTTTAAATGCTATCATTGATTGGACTGCGACATTCGCACTTGAAACAGACAGAAAAGTTACCTATGACTGTTTTGGAGGCTTTTGGATCCGAGTGGACTTTTTGGAAGGGGTGGGCTTCGCAACTCCGGGATATTCTAACACGGTCTTACAATGCAAAGAGCGGCCGATTGACATATTTATTCACCCATACAAGGATACACGCACCTAGACTGGACGTAGAAGTTTTATTTTCTGGACTTAACTCTCTTGTTTTATCACTTCCCCAATTAACTTTAGTCGACAACAGAGGGGAAGTTTGAATCCAAGCTCGTGGAAGTTTGATGACAATTATCCACGGCGGTTGCGTAGTACAAGTTACAATTCACAACTGATCTCTCTTATTTTCTTTATTGACAATACTAAACCTAATACTAAGAAAGAAGAAATTAATTTACCGTGTTTAACTTGATAATGTGATTAATACTAGGTAATTGTTTTGGTATTGTGTTAAAATTCAACGCTTGAGGCTCTGGTATGCTCTGTTTTACGTCGTTCATTTTACTGAGATGTCGGGCTCTGGCATCTTCCATTGCTGTTCAACTTGATACTCATTTCTCTTACGTTACGTGCTTTACGTCAGTCGCTTGGCTGGGTATAGCATTAAGTTGTTGATTTCTTGATGTCTGAAACCCCCTCCCTGTTTGAACAGCGACTGTCGCGTAAACTACTTAGGGGGATTCAAAATCATCGGGCCCCCTTTCGGTACGGCTTGCCCCACCTGGCATAATGAATTGGATCAATTCTGAGGTTCAGCAATACATATATAATCATGGAAGGAACCCATTTCGAGGTGCTGGGCCTGTTGATGTCGATGCCGGGCGGGGTCGGTGTTGAGCGATGATCTGAGATCCCCCGAGTACATATCTCTCTACTGAAGAAGTCTAGGCGTTAATTTTCTCACCCCCTTTATACGGACATAAATACCTGGCCGAGCAGACTTGGTACGGAGGGCGAAACAAGCATTTTTCGAAATGGTACCAAAGAAGATAAAGGGAGGTAAAACCTCCATACAACGCGAGGAGGTGAAGAGACAAACTCCAGTGTGGGACGACCAGGCGTAAGACGCCCTGAAGAAGATTCTCCACAGCGTTCAGGAGAACGCTACATTATTTGCCCGTTCGGGGGTGTAATATCATATTGTAACTGATGTATCCGAGGCTGGGAAAGGTGCTGTCTTGATGCAACTAGACGGCCTACCTACGGGAACGAACATTGAGGGTAACTATCGGGCGACAGCTAGCACTCTCTAAAATCAAGCATCAAGGTCCTCTCGCGCTACTAAAACTCATCAGCCAATTACAGGAATTGAGAAAGCCGAGATTGTCAGAGCAATGATAGAGCATTCTTCTTTCCTCATCACTTGATTTTAGAAGCTTTTCATATCATTTCTAGTATTTATGCTAACGATAGCCTCATTCTTGTTCGCTTTCTCGGGTGGTTTCTGTTTTCTCCCCTCAAACACGTGCCATTTAGCCATTATAATACGAGCAGGAGATGTATTCTTCCCAGATCTTGCTCGTTGTCTTGAGTGACCTCTGATTTTTATTCCTGTGTAAGTCTCTTTGTAATGACTCTTATCGATTCCGAAATGACGGCAGTAGCTTGAACAGAATTTTTCTTTAAGTACTCAGTGTAGTTGCATAGTCCAAGTCCCCTGCTCCAGCAGATACGCTCTCGACTTATCCAACCATAACCATATGGAGCTGTCTTGAGGCGCGACAAAAATCTATATTCTCTGGTGTCGCATTGGTGCCTCCTCGAGAGGCCAGCTCATATAAAGCGGTGTTCAATGTGAGAATTAGGCACTTTCTAGTACTAGTTCAGAAAGTGAATCTCTTTGATATGGCCATGGGAATTTGATTTGCGGCCGAACGTGTTGTCAATGTCAACTAGCTCTCGATAAGATGTTGTGTCTCTGGCAGTTTCGGTTGAGGATGGGTGGTTGAGTATTGATCTCCATTCAAGGGATCGTTCCTCCTTGTTTCCATCGGGCTTGGGTCCCATAAGCAAGGAGGCATTGTTAGCGAGAAGCGCATAAACTCAATGATTGTTAGCTTTAGAGATGTTTATTACATATTAATAAGAAATACTCATAGGAGAGATGCAATTAATTGCATTAAATAAAACGAGGGTCATCTGTTCGTGGAAGAGAACGCAAAGAAGAGCGATGCTTTGGAGGGGCTCTGTCAGATCCAGGACTCTAGGGTACATGGAAGTTCAAAGGCAAACATCGCAGAATGAGACGTTAATATTTCCGGTCTGAAATATCGGAGTTCACTCCTGGTGATGGTTGACTGCTTGAGATTTATCCATGATTACTGTCATCTCTCGGCCTATTCCAAAAACGATCTCTTGGCTGGCAGGTCAAAAGGCCCCAGCCCATGCAAAGTCCCATGAAGACCTCTGGCGGGGAGAGAATATTGATATCGGCTAGCCTCCGTACGGTCCGAGCTGCCTTGCCAATGCAATTGCCTCTTGTAGAGCTATTCTGCTCATCCAGCTTTATTCTCGTATCCGAAAGACACCCACCTTCCAGGTACTGCCTATAACAACGTGAACTTCACAGTTGTGGCGGGCATCCTTCCAATGTCGCCGCCTGAAATTGAGCCCAAAGTCCCTGGATCCTTGGAGCTTTTGTCATCTAGTGAATTTCAATTGATTTGGACCGCATAAATTACTCACTGGAGAAAATCATGAAAGCTAGGCGATTCAGCGTTGTCCTTCACTTGCCGGTGGCGAATCATGATCTAAAAATATAGCCTTCTCTAGGTATCCTGAGATCCTCTCCTTGTCTGCCATGCTCAAATATCCTTCAGTCGTATTCGGCGATATCTTAAATCAATTGGAAAGGTACCTTTATACAGCTGATTTTGGACTTCCCACTTGCCGCTTACGCACCCACATCCCAGGCACCACTGCTTTCCAAGAACCCCATGTAAGATTATCAAATCATGTAGAGGAATCTCATTGCGATGGATGTCCGTATCCGTACCTACACTTACAACATGGGGGGAAGTAAGTGGATTCATCCGAACAACTGCAGTTGGGGCTTTGGTATTCCTCACCGTTCACCCTTCAGCCTGCTGCAATCAGGGCCGAATGAAGGGCATGAAAAGGCCAAGGCTTACCTCATCTGACAATGGAATCTTTGTTGTTCTCGTCAACGTGACATTTTCATCGGCTGACATTGGTTGGGTGTAGGATTTGCCAAGGCTTGCCACAATGCCACCCTCATTGGTTAATTTGCATGTTAAGGCTGGCCTGATAGTAATATCGGGTCTTTCGACCTGCAGGAACACGGCAGAGTGCAAATGATGATAGACTTCGGACAATGCTGTTTTCGAAATGCCTTATACTGCCACTCAATGGATTGCTACATAGCAATTGATACGAGGACCTGGTTCCCATCCGGGTGTATCAAAAAGTATAAATAAGGGACAAATGCCTTCTTCAGTCTTGTTGGAATCCCCATCCAAAGCAGCATAACACTCGCTACTCAAAGGTTCTTCATCATGGTCAAGGCTCTCTTCTCCGCGGTTGCGTCCGCAGCCCTTCTCTCTGTCGTCTCGGCAACTCCTCTTCCTGACTCGGAGGTCCAGATTGACGACCTCCTGGGTTTCGATGCCTCCTATGTCAACACGCTTGGTGTGGACGACAGCAAGATCCCAGAGGCAATCACTCTCACCGTCGAAGATGTTGCCAACGAGACTTCTCCCCAGATTGAGCCCTTCCTAGCCCCTGGGGTTGATGTTGCCACTCTTGAAGAACGCTTCATTGAGGGTGCGGATGACCGCAAGCAGTACACCGGCACCGCCTACCCCTTCATCTCCGTTGGTAGGATCCAATGGAGCAATGGTGTCTACTGCTCCGGCGCCCTCGTCGGCCCCCGCCACGTCTTGACCGCCAAGCACTGCCTCATCTCAGGCGCATCAGCCACGTTCTCTGCTGGCTACGACAACGGCAGCCACAAGGGCCAGGCCCAGGTCACGACCACCGTCTCCGTCACCACCAACGGAGGCGAGTGCGGCGTCAAGAACGACTGGGGCGTCATGATCATCAACAAGCGCCTCGGAGACAGCAACGGCTACTTCGGCGTCAAGCACGTCGACAAGAACAAGGTCGGGCAGGTCGGCTTCAACCACGTCGGCTACCCAGGCGACCGCAGCACCAACGGGCAGAGGCCTTTCCGCCAGACCAACAACAAGGTCCTCGCCGAGCACGGCTACGGGTGCGACACCTATGGTCCCCTGTCCACTAACACCGACTGCGCCGGTGGCCAGTCTGGTGGCCCATTCTGGGAGACACTGGACGGCAACAAGTACTATATCTGGGGTGCTCTCTCTGTCGGTGTTACTTCTGGAGGCAAGGCTTGGGCTAAATGGGGCTCAGGAAACACCATGGTCTCGACTGTCGGGCGACTCAGGACTGAATTCCCCTAAGAGAGTTACCGAGTCTCGATTGAGAATCTCTGGATTGAGAAGCTCTGAATTGAGGGTCTTATTCCCGATTTGGATGTGAAGTTGTAAGATTTTGATAGATCTAAGTACCTAATCAAGAATCCTATTTATTTGGTGTATGACAGTATGATATCCATTGTATCGGTCTTTAGATCAGTGACATTTTGGCTTCAATAACTTACAGTCAGCTCCACTGGCATTCCATACGGTTCGGCGTCATTGCCCGAGCTCATCAAGAGGCGTAGATCGACCTGTCGGTCCGCAACTCGCTTTGAACCCAGAATATCCCGCACGCGCATCGTTTCTGGTATCACAGGTATGTTGGACCAACTTAGAGTTGTGGGCATATCGAATTGAGGCTTGGACCAGGCGATCCATGGAACATCGGGTAAGAACGAAGCACCCGAATCTGGCGGCGCAAAGGGCTTCACGTGGACGGGGCCCAAGGATTCTTCCTCCAAGGCTGCAACAGCCTTCATCACTGTCGCTGCCCCATCGCTCGGCCATACGCCTTCCACCCTGTTCGCCTCGCCGAGAAGTTTTAGAGCGGCTCGTCGCAAAGAGGGGTGCCTGCAACGTTGACACACTATCCATAAGGGGACGATCACCCCGGGTTCCAGACTCAGCCCTATTACGTTTGTAGTCGCCAGTTTCCGCCGAAGGCAGATCACGAGCCTCACGGCATACTCAAAGTAGCCCAGTAGTGAATCGAAACGGGTCTCGGGGCCAAACGAAGTACCCCGGAGAACTGTTCGGAAGGTGACATGATAGAGGCGAAGCGATAGCCTCGTCGTCAGCTCACTATCACTACTATGAGTCTTTTCATAATCTCCCATCTTAGCCTCCCATAGAGCGAAGCGACGAAGAAAAGCATCGAGATTCGTCATCCAAGGGCCATACAAGGCGTTCGCCGAAAGAGTCCCGTCATCTAAAAGAAACCATGCCCTCCCCAGGGCGAACAGCTCCGAGGCAAGCTCCTCATAAGAGTTTCCCTCGATCGGGGGGGATGCGAGAAACCGGCCGGCAGCAAATACGGTTGACGATTCTTCGTACGGATAAGGCGACTGTGAGTCATTGAAAGTCATCGCATGCAGATCCGATCTCATCAACGAACCAAGGAGACCCTTGAAGCCCGGCGTATGCGCCTCGTGTTCCGTGACGATTTTGAAGCAGGCCATGATGTGCGTGTGCATCTCTGGCCACTTCTCGAGGAGGCCTGCGATGGCGACGAGGGTTAATGACAGAACCGCGACCTTGGTCGGGGAGTCCAGGCCCTTTGCGAGAGCCATGGCCTGTCCATAATGCCCGAGACCCTGGTTGAGAAGCGCCATCTCGTGGCTCCCGATGGATTGTATGACCACTTCTGACCTCTGATGAAGAGCACCCAACGCTGCGGTCGCGTGCCAGATAGCGGGCTCGCTGTGGGCCAGCTGCATGACCTTTTCCTGCCAGAAGCTCGAGGGGAACAGATGACAGGTGCCGGGAACGGTGGCGTGGCGGAAGAAGTCAAAGTAACTGCCTTCATCTGGTGAAACCGGCACCGGGCGCTGCTGCACAAAGGCTCTTGACAGGGGACCGACGATGTCCAGGTCGTGGGCCATCTGGGTGAGTTGGCGCCGCGATATGCCGCTGTCCTTTGGCGTGTAGCCGTCGCAGACGCGGCCGGTAGATACGCATCTCTTGCATTGCGGCTCTGTCTCGTCACATTTCACTCGGCGAATCCTGCATTGTGCGCGATCGTCAATGAACGCTCGAGGTAGAGGGAGGGGCTTCTGAGGGAGATAAGTTGTCCCACCACAGACCTACAAGTAATGCACCCTTTCTTAGACCGCATCGGAGAAATGAGCGTCTATGTTTGGTGGGAATGTTTCAAAGCGAGTTGGCTGTGCTCGGTTTGCTTGGGGAAAATGAAAGGTAATGATTTTTGGGAAGACAACAAATATTTCGTGGTTGCATCACCCACCGCAGGATTTGTTAGTAATCATCAGAAGGATTGGAGTCTGCCAACCCTTGAGACCTTGCGGGTATACAGAGTGTAGTTCATTACATTTGGGTAACGTATACTGCATGGACATCCAAATTAAATAAAGCCTTTATGGGACTTTTTTTGTCCTCTGGAACGAGCCTATGCTTGCTCTTCTGTTGGTAACAATGTGTAAAGGTTCAGTGGGGATAACTAATCTCATTAAAACTTAACTTCGTGCTTTGGACTAAACCAATGCTTTTATTTGGGATTTTTGGTGATTTCGATTCAAGATCTCTCCCTCGACTCCCAGTCTCAATACATTCTATATGAGCCCGTATCTCGAGCGGTGCTCATCAAGCAGGTTGTCATGACCCTCGGTCTCAAGAAGATCCCCCTAGGAAGATAGCGAGGCTACTACGCAAGCAGTTGGTTCTGCTAAAGCTAACCTGCTAGAATACTATTCGATGTCAAATGATATATCATAATGCACGTTGTCAATGTCATTGTCCTCCCACGGCCCTGGTGATTCCTCTCTCGCCGCCTGGAGCCTGGAACCCACGTCTGGGCCCCATGCTATTTGCTCCAAGTAGTTGTCCAGATTCAGGGAAAGTCTAAAATTTTGCCTTCTCATGTTTAAGACTTCCTCTTCCCAATCAAAATCGTCCTGATGCGGCCATTCATGGTCCGGGTTGAACGCATCTCGCTCAACGCCGACCCCTGCATCGACACCCATAGGTCCCAGAGGGCCTCGAAATGGGTTTCCCCCATGATTATATATGAAGTCCTGAATTTCAGAATCTATCCAGTTCATCATGCCAGGTGGAGCAAAGTCGTCAATGGCAATGATGATGGTCAGTCGCGGTTGCTTTGCAAGTTGCCGATCACTCCAACGCAGCTCGTCCTTGATTAAGTCAAGCAGTGTGGCGTAATCTCCATTTTCGGAGACAAAATGAAGCTGGCCTAGCTCGATATTGCGGATATTCAGCGGAAGCGCGCCTAGAAAGGTAACAAGATCATCCTGCTTGATCAAAATGTCCATGAGGCGCAAGGACTGAAGCAGTGGCCATAAGTCGACAGGAATGAACTCATTCAACGGAGTCCAGTCATTCACAGTAAGCCAAGCCTGGTGGTGCATGTCAGCAGTGAGGCTGAAGTGCTGAAGGTTCACGGCCTGACCCAGGGCGTCACGTAGGTGGCCCGAACGAAATGCTGGCCAATGATCGGGATCTTGACTTTTTGTAGTGAGAACCAGATCCAGACATCGAAACGTTGGTCTACTCAGTAGTGCAACAAAATCACGGTACTCCGCTGATTCCTGGTCGAAGATACTGGCTGTCAGGCCAAAGGGCAGCCCGTTGCTCTGTACAGATAGCTCTTCAATTTTCAGGTTGTTTCCTATCGAAGCAAGTACACTCAGTAATCCAATGTATCCACGGATGCATTTTGAATACGTTGTCTTCATCTCAGACCAGGATCCTTCCGCGATTATCCATACAGAATTAAAACGCTTTATTTGATATCTGAGCCTGGAGGTAGAAGTCGAGTAGTTGGCGTATCGTAAAATGGCTCGAAAAGCCAGCCCTGAGTCGCATGACAGATGGTGATCTTCTTCAGACGTGGGAAACGAAGAATGTAATCGGAGAGTGCTCTCAAATCTTTGGCCGATTCGATATTCTTGGTCTGATGTCTGGCGAGCCTCTTGTATATCTGAATACATTTACACGCCGATAGCGTACGAAGGTGAGTTTTAGAAAAGTCCACCGGATAATCAGAGTCAATCTTATCCACTTTTGGTCTCTTCATCCGATCTGGGAGTTGAAGACCTGACTGGGAGAATCGTTTCTGTCGCACGCGAGCTTTGGCCGTTTCTAATTCACATCGAGTCTGAAAGTCCGCTATCTCTAACAAGTCTGAACCAATTGTACCAGGGGCCATTGATCGAAGGTTAGGAAAATAAGTGTGATCCCAAACTAACTCCACGATTTGATACCTGAGGGTTTCATGCTGGGACACTTTGCGGAATACTCTGATGTCGGCTTTGTTTGGCGAGAGAAAGACACGGGAGAGTTTCAAGGGAAACCGTTCTAGCGCTTTGGTGCAAACTAGACGAATGTTCTTCACGTCGCGACCAGAAAGATGAGAAGCAATTTCCGCATGTATCTCTGCGGGTAGATTGAGGAGCGCTGGAGGCATGATGGGTGACTGATGGCTGTTCGCGAACGTTGGCTGTTTTCGAAGGTGATACAAGCAGCACTCAAAATCTGAGATCCGACCCGTAGGGTTTGTAGATCAGAACTAAAATTTGGAAGCGGAAGAGTTGGAATAGAAGAAGAATAAATGAGAAGAAGAAGAGGTGAGAAGGGATGAGGTGAGGAAAAAGAGAGAGGTGAATGGGGGAAGAAAAAAACGTGCTGAGAAGATTGTGAGAAGGCGGGATGAGCCCAGCGGGCCACGCACACACAAAGCGACATACGGCAGCCTTGACGTGTAAAGCTACACGGTGGGATGGGAAAATGAGGTTTCGTAAACATGCGCCTATGCGATTTTCTCGAATTTCATCACTGGCTGCTATTGAGTTTCCTGACAGATGCTACTGGTTTAAACTGCCACGAGACAATTAGACCACTTAGCGTGCAGAACCGAGACTCGAAGCCAAGCAGACTCAGCTAATGCTTCTTGACGCTGGCCCAAGAGTGAGGACGTGTGCTATGGATGAGCTAAAGTAGGCTTCTACACCTCCTGCAAATTGTCTGCTGCTTATATCGCACAATCTCAACGGCTACATGCTAAGTTCAAGGGGAAATTTCGAACGATAGGTTGGCCTTTGCAGTTCCAGGATTCCAAGAGCGATTCTAGCCATTTCCCCGATCGTGACCAACGGGTTTGCAAATAGCGCCGGACGTGTAAGCGCTTTGGGCCAAGATCTGCGACACAGTAAGGCTTCAGGGCAGTTGCTGCGCTAAACGCCGTAGCCAGGGGCTAGTCGCAGACGCCGGAGCAAACCACGCGCTGGGGCTGACGCTCGCACTAATTTTTGATGATCGGTCGAGTTCATGCCGTTGAGTTATCGAGGTTACATCCTGGCCGTGGTATTCAATAACCTGCTGCTTAACGTTGCGTTACTTAGAGTTCAGATCTGACGTGAGAGAAGCTGGCTCCATGAGAGAGCCCGGAGCAAAGCATCAGCCACGCAGTAACCATTAAGCCACACTGACGTCACGCGCCAGTCTGAGAAGAGAAAGGCTGGTCAATAGCGGTCTGAGTGGTGGTACTTGGGCGCTGGATGGATGCCCATAGCGTTCGATAGCTGGGAGGGGGTAACGCAGCCTCTGCCACACGATCAAATTTCCACGCTCCCTCTTGCCCCTCGACTTGACAACTCCCGATATGGCCTGTGACTTTCTGCCCTGAGCCCCCAGAGGAGTGCGCGGTGCCTCCAGAGTCCAGCTCAGCCGGTCGCTGCCCAACCCAGTTCCTAGACTGCTGCCTTGCCTGGCATTTTTCGACCCTCCAACCCACCACGCGCTAATTACCGTTGCGCTGCGGCTCCTCCCGTGCCGCCAGGATGAGTGAGATTCTCGACCTTCTGCCGGTCCCTACATTGGTGGTGCAGCCCCTCGGCGACTCCTATCGCATCCAGAGAGCCTCGACCGGGCTGCTCCAGGCATGGGATCGCACTCGCGAGGACCTGGTCGACAAAGATCTCTTTGTCGCGCTGTACCAGGGTTCAAAGACCGCACGCTTCGATCGCATTCCGCTGGCGTATGCCATCGAGACCGCCGTCGCCACCAAGGCCCTCCGTCTCTGCCATGCTGCCTACGTTGCGGGAGATGACACATGGACAGCCCGTATCACTCCAGTCCACAAGGAGGAGGACTTGTTGTGCCTATTGCTGCAGTGGGAGAAGGCCGAGCTTCACGTTGCCGTCCCCGATGGCGGTATGAGTCAGAGCTGGCTGCCCATCGACGACGCTTTCCGTATCCTCATCCATGCCGTGAAAGACTACGCCATCTTTCTGCTAGACACGCGCGGGAATGTCGTGACGTGGAACACGGGCGCAGAGCTCAACAAAGGCTACAAGAAGGAGGAGATCATCGGCAAACACTTCTCAGTGTTCTACAGCGAGGAGGATCTGCAACGCGGGAAACCTGACGGGGCACTGGAAAGATGTCTAAGAGAAGGTCGGGTCGAAGATGAAGGGTGGCGCTACCGCAAGGATGGGAGCAGGTTCTGGGCCAACGTCGTCATCACGGCAATCTACAAGAACGACATCCACGTTGGATTCGGCAAAGTCACCCGGAATCTCAATGAGCGGAAAGAGAACGAGTTGCGACTGGTGGCGGCCTACGAGGAGAGCAGCAGATTGAAGAATGACTTTCTGGCCAACATTAGCCACGAGATCCGAACACCGATGCACGGCATGCTGTCCGCCTGCAGCCTTCTTCTAGACACCGAACTGTCGGAGGAACAGCGAGAAACGGCGAACCTTATTGACGAGTCGGGGCGCGTTCTTTTACAGGTTATCAACGATATTCTAGACTATTCTAAATTGGCGGCGGGTCGATTTTCCGTCCAGAGCGACGTGGTCGATATCGCCGGGATCATCACCTCGGTGACGCGGAGTGTGAGGACCACATTGCAGCCGGGAGTGTCGATGCACCTCGACTTAGCACCGGGTCTGCCCAAAGCAATGGGCGATCCGATTAGGTATCGCCAAATTGCTGAGAACATTATTGGGAATGCTGGGAAGTTTACCGAGAAAGGATCTATCACTGTGCAGGTGTCAGTTTCGGCCGAAGACGAGACCACACACACGCTCTTGACCAAGGTCATTGATACTGGTCACGGGGTACCCGAGGATGCCGCTGCGAAGCTCTTTGAGCCATTCACACAACTCGATACAACGTATCAGAAGCGCCGACAAGGCACGGGCTTGGGACTGTCCATCAGCAAGTCCCTTTGCGAATTGCTCGGGGGTGACATCGGCTATCAACGTAACCCGGAAGGTGGAGGAAGTACGTTTTGGTTTTCCGTCAAACTTGGCAAGGTCAAGTCCCCAACCAGCACAGATCCTGAGCGAGGAATAGACGAGCCCTCGCGGTCGCCATCAAATGGCCAAGGCACAGACGCCGCTGCACAGCTAAATCTGCTTAGAGGAATCGCGAGGACAAAGCGCATATTGGCAGTGGAGGATAATATTATCAACCAAAAGGTCCTGGTGGGCATGTTGCATGGATTTGGGTTTGAGGATATCACAGTCGCCGGCGATGGGTCGCAAGCGGTGTCGATACTAGTCTCCGAAGGCCATGTGTTTGATCTAATCTTCATGGATATCAGCATGCCCGTCATGAACGGGTACGAGGCAACCGTACGGATCAGGAGCTCTGGTTCCCGCGTACCCATCATCGCTATGACTGCCTACGCACTGAAGGGCGACAGGGAGTTCTGTCTAGAGAAGGGGGTGGACGACTATATAGCTAAGCCGGTGAACAGGCAGCTTCTGATGCAGAAGCTGTTGAAGTGGCTATGTCACCCAGACAGTCCGGCACATGTTAATGGCAACATCACTGAGGAAGCAGCAAATGACTGTGCAGCAATTCCTCAGGAGCTAGTCGAAGCATAGCGACCAAAATTGAAGCCGCACACCAGATGCGCGGGCTTGAATGTCACACCAATCTCCTTCCACGCTGCGACTGTCGCAGTTTCGCCGGGCACAAGTTCTCGGATAGCATAGCCTGTCTGTATGAATATCTACTTACGCCTAATGTATTCATAATGCGATTCCCGCTTCTTGCACCACGGCAAGCCCCTTCATTTCAATGCCGGCGGACTCTAGAGCCACACCACAGCCACCTGTCAAACCTGACGCATGGATAGAGTTTGGGAGTCTTGCCACACGGTGACTCGGGGTGCCAGTCGGAACTTGGAGAGCTGTATCTGGACCCCTGTTCTGCCCCGAACCTTTTCAGGCTTTGTGGTTGGTCGAGCGTTAATTAATAAATCCAGGGTCCTTTCCCCCGCCTACGGCCATGTTCCAAATTCAATGGGCTGGCCAAGCCATTTCGCCTCCGGTAGTCACATTACGTGCGCACTTCAGGCATTGATCGGCGCTCACCGTTTTGCTTTTGCTTGTGCAATTGCCATATATAGATCCGAGTTGTGCTCTCGGACCGGCAGTGGTTTATTCCATCTTTCCATTCTCTCTTTTCAATCATCGTCTTGACCGCGAAAAGCGGTGCCAGTCCTTCCTCATTCCGACACCGAAAACCGCAGATTCTATCACGGTAGGCATGGAAACGCTGCCAAACCCAGCCATCGTGCCGCACTTCGAGTCTTCCCTTCCCTCTGCCCCTCCCTCTCTATCGATCCCGGTCTACGACAAAACACCCGAGACAACCCGCGAAAATGCAAGGCAAACTCTGAACCAGAAGGCGTTCAACGAACTCTTTGGGCTGGTATGCTATCACCCTGGGAACTACCCCGATCCAGTCCATGCAGCATCTGACAATAGTTTCAACTACAGATACGGAGAGGCGCCAAGGATCTTCTGCACTGTACGAGCGGCAGAGGGGACCGGACTGTCGGCTCTGTGACGGGCCGAGACGCATTCACGCCCTTGACCGCCGAGCAAATCCTCGCCCTTCTCGACGAGAGCGAACTCGAAGCCATGACCGAGATATCGAATACCATCGGGCACAACCTTGCCCGCATCATGTTCATGGCGGACGGCAGAGGCGACAAGGCCGAGCACCGAAGCCGAAGCAGGCTGAGGCGGAGACTGCATTTCGCGGGGTCGTCGAAGCACAACAAGCTCACCGTCTTTAGCACCACGTCGCACCGAAGCCACTACCCATCCTCCGTCGCGCCGTCCCTGCCTCCCAATCAATCCCCAGCGCCGAACCCGGACGAGGAAGACAACAACATGGGCGAGGACGCCGAGGAGCCTTTGCCGCTGCGGCTGCAGGTGATGTGTCACGAGTGCAGAGCTGAAACGACGCCCAGATGGCGGAAGGGCCCGGAAGGGCCAGGCACACTGTGTAATGTCTGCGGACTGCTTTATGCGAAGCGTATGCGCAGGTTGGTGTACTCGGAACGCAGCTTCCGACGTCGGGGGCGACGCATTCGCTGATTGAAGCGTTCCTACATGGCACCGGGCTGTCTGCACTCGGTTATTGAGCATCCATTGACGGGGGTTATTTCTTGGTATATTCTTTCTTATCTTGGCGGGCCAGGATGTTCATGTTCAATACGATGAAGCCACGAATTATGTTATTTTTGATTTAATGTGGTCGGTTCTGGGCTGCGAAATTGGATACCCTCACTGATACAGCTACGTTTGCTTCAATTTACGACGTATCAAATTGCACAGCGTCTTCTCGCAATAATGTTAATTAATGTTATCCCATCGTCGGATGATTGAGATCTGGCCACACGTATCGTGTATTGCCTTCAAACTCTATGCAGAGGCTGTACGTACCCTCGCCACTGATGGGCGAATGACGTGCTTCATCGTTCATCATGTCTCTTGACATTCCTCTAATTTTCATAAGTATCGTCTCGAAAACTAGGTAGAGTCAATTCAGTCGTGACTACGGACAACAGATCATAGCAGGGCCCGTACCACTCCCTTCCACCTCTCGTATTCGTTTGTTCCACCAATCTGCTCTGTAACCCAACCGGTCGCCTTCTCCGCCATCAACTCCCACGCATCCTTCTCCTCTGCCAGGTTTGTCTCCAAGAACACAAGCGCGCACAAGGTAGCAAGAACCACGTCCTTGCCCTTATCGAGACCAGCTCCTTCGGCTTTCATCAATATGTCGTCCTTCGTGACTCCGAGCAGCTTCTCGAGCAACCCTGCCTTATCCCACTCCCAACTACCGGTGAACTTTTGTAGACCGGCAATGGCTTGCAGCGCGTCTCTATTCTCGGAGGCTTTCGGCCCTGTTGACTCTTTTTTGTCTTCCTCCTTCGTCTCAACTGCCCGCGGTTGCGGTTGCAGGGGAGGGCCGTCATCCATCAGGCAGAATCCCATGTCTTCGTCCGAATCATCCTCTTCGCATTCGGCAGATACATCTAGGAATGCACGCCTCGACGGCCGTTGCGGGGGAGTGTAGCCATCGAACAGGCCAAATCCCATATCCTCATCCGAATCGTCGTCATCATCATCCAATCCCCACCTGCGATCTATCATGTCACGCTGCGTATTATCCTCGGCCTCCTGGCTCTCATCGACAGCCACCATGGAGCAGTACACGCCGGCGACTTGGTATCTCAGGCAGAGCCGGACGGCCTCTCGCTTCCTCATGTCTTGGACCTGGATGGCGTTGAACTTATCTTTGATGAGCGTTCCCGTCTCGGCGTCCTTGGCCAGCGAGAGCCAGCCTCTTCCTTCCTCCAGCTCTGTGATCTCCTTTTGAGCTGCGAGCTGGTGGATCGTGGTGCCTTTTCCTGGCAGCGCTGTGATGGGAATCTCCTGTTCTAGAGCAACGCGCTCGATAGTACCGTTTGATTTTACTGACGTGGTGCCTCTTAGAAGTATCGATTTGGCGACGAGGGACGGAGATTGGTCAGAGATCAAGACGTACACGGTTGTGCGATTGAAGGGGAACAGAGCCGGCACGGGACACGGCGTCTGTAGATACTTGGGCGTTGAAATCTCCAGGATTGGGTCGCGTCGCTCCTTCTCCGGCTTGTCATCGAATCCCATGTCGTCGTCGTCTTTATGAGAAGCATCGTAAATAGTAATCGTCTTTTGCACCGGCTCCGACTCACTCTTAGCTTCGACCACGGTTGCTTCAATAGCGAGAGAATCCAACGTCTTCTCAACAACCACGAAATCATCGTCGTCGACGACATCCGACGCGGTGCGCTCGTACTTGACCTCCAGGGAGTAGTCGTAGATGTGGGGAGTCAACGCCCCCTTGAGCATGCGGACCACCTTGTGATTCATCTTCTCCTCCGACCCGACCGTCTGCGCGAACCCGTTGCCTGCACGTGCAGCCCCCTCTATCAGAGCGTGGCTGGCATCATCACCGATGCCAAGAGAGAAAAGGCGGATCGCTCCCTTCGCCTCCTCCATATTCTCGTTGATGAGCTTGAAGAGCGAATTCTGGTTTGAAATGTCACCGTCGGTCAGAAGAAACACCTCGAGGTTCATGTTCTTCTGCCGTCTCCGGAACACCTCTTCCAAAGGCTCGCACATCTCGGTCCCACCGTAGTCAGTCCCGTTGAAGGTGCCCACATGCTTGAAAGCTTCTTCCAGGCTCGCCTCTTCGTAGGCACGGGACTCGGGCCACAAGAAGTCGTACCGAGTGCCGAAGCAGCAGATGTTGAACTTGACGCCGACGGGCAGGGAGCGAAGGAAGATGTTGAGGGCGTTTTGGAGATTGGGCATCTTCTGGTTGCCCCAGTACATACTGCCGCTCCGGTCACAAAGGAAGACCATCTCGGGCGTCTCGGAGGGGATCTTGAACTGAGGGACGAGGGTCGCCATGATGGCTTGCTGGTTGGGCAGGGTCGGGTGCGTCTCGAGGACGGCAGACGGCTCCTTGATCTTGGGGGCCACGATGTGGAGGATGAAGTCCTTCTCGAGCGAGGCGGACCCGAGGGCGAGCGAGGCTGAAGCCTTCTGGAGAGACGGCTCAGCTGTCTCGGCCGAGGTTGAGCAGCGACCGATCTGGATGGAGATGGGGTGTGAGGGCGACTGAACTGAAGTGATTGAGCATCCATCTGGCATGTCCGCGTCTACGGTGATGGATATAGATCCCTGTGTTGTGACGTTTGAGTCCTTGAGGGAGAATCCTGGACCGTATCGAGGCGCGATATGCGTTGGAAGAGTGAACCGGATGCCATCAAATTCGGCATCGTGCTTCAGCTCGGCGAGATACGTGATCTCGACCTTGATCTCTGCGCCCGCGGGAACATTTCCAACGGTTGTGGAAAATACATCAGAAGCCGCCGATGACTTCTGGAGTAAGCCGGCGACCTTGCCGGACTTGACAGCTTTATTATATGTGGCCTGTGCTTCTTGTCGCTCCTTGACGACGCCACGGATTACACGGTCGCCTATCGTGCAAACAAAGGATACGATAGAGACACCATCATATAGCGGGAAGACGTAGTTGAGCTCATCCAGCGGCTTGTCACGGTCCGGATTGATGAAATACTGGGTGAGGCGGGTCTTGGAGGCGGTGGCCTGGATGGTGGTGTGAGCTTCGACGCTGGTTAGAGGGATAAATGCGATCTTGCCGCTGGTGGTCTCCTCGTCGAAGATGATGTAGCAGCCGCACTCGGGAGCCTGCTCGTCAGCCATTGTAGTGAGCTTAGCGAGGGTTGTGGATAGGGAAAAGAAGCTTCCTACGTTTGAATTGTAATAGTGAAAAATCGCCAAAGGAGGTTCGGCATTCGACGCTTAAATTCTTATCGAGTTGTTGCTTCTTGCATGATCTCCGGTGCGGTGAGTCACCGGCCAAGCATGGTGTAACAAGGGTTTAGGTTCGCGCACACCAGGCAACCAAGCTCGTTTCTTTGTTCGTTGTTGTTATTGTATACTATGGTTTATACGTCTATTAAAATTCCTATCCCTGCTTAAGAGTCCTAAGTTGCTTTTCTCGACGGTCAATATGCGTCGAGTAAACATTGGGCGCGGATCAAAGGACATGTATATCTAAACCATTTGTACACGAGCGAACCATAGGAAATATCTAAATTTCATCAGCTATGTCTTGTGTGACAGTGTAATTTGTTCCAATTTATACTATGTCATCTACACAAGAAAAGCCAAGCCTTCATCGGCGCCAACTTCGCCCTTGGCCAGACGGTCCCAGCCTTTGGCTGCATCCTCCATGCCCTCACCCCATGTCACCTTGAGGCCGTTGATCCCCGCCGACTGAACAGATTTCACTGCGTTACTCAGGCCAGCCAGGTACTCCGCCTCGCCCACCTTCTTGATTACCTCCTCTCTCATGTCAGAGGCGTTGACCTGGATCGCAAAGTCGGGCTTCTGGACGGCCAAGGCCTTCAGCGTGTTGGCCTGTGACACCTCAGAAAGTTCCGAGCCAACCAAGAACAGCAGGAAGTTCTTGTAAGCCGGGGCGATGGCCGACGTCCACTTCTGCCCCAGGCCTGCCCTGCCGCCAAAGTCAACGAGGATCACCTTGTCAGCGGGGTCGACGCCCAGCTTTGGCAGGAATTCCGCCGGCGACTCGCTCGTGGACACCACGGTATCGTACTTCCCGGTCGTTTCCACAAAGGCCTTGGAATAATCGCTCGCGGCACCAATTACTCGCTTCGGCTTTGAACTGGATCGATCATTCTTGATGAGCTGAGCGAGAATCAGCGCCACCTTGGATCCTGGCGCCAGGAAAATCAGCGTCGCGTCTGTGAGGTCGGCCCTTTCGCTGGTCCAGTTCATGGGCTGGGCTGCAGGCTTCACGGTCTCCTGGGGATTTCCCGCAAAGACAAACTTGTTGAGGAGGAAGGCCGTCTCCGTCATGACTCGGAGGACCACATCCAGCCCTGCCTCTGGCGTCTTCGCTTCCAAGGCCGATCCCGTCTCAGGTCCGCTGACGGTGTAGTGATTGTAGATGGTCATCAGCTCCCGGCGGTGAGGGCTCGTGGCTACCACTTGGCCGGGCGTCGAGCCGACTTCAAACTGAACGTCCTGGGCCAATGTGCCAATGGGAAGGTAGCCGAATAGAAAGCTGCCTTTGGGCACGGCGGATAGGGTGGAGTCAATCACCTCCATGTATCCCCAAGCATTGGTGCGTCCATACACGGCAGAGTCATTGTACGGTGCTGGTGTGCTCGGTGGGAGAGGGTGGAAGCTCCACCATCCCAGCGCAAACCCAATCTTGCAGTAGACAAAGTTATTAGCCGATAGAGTGAATGCCTTTGTTCTAAGTCGTAGCGAAGAGGGCCCGAGTTGTGGGTAGGGCAGCACATCCGGGAGGGGGATGAGCTTCTGGGTGAAGTAGTGCTCCTTGTCCAGCACTTGGATGACGGGTGTCTCGGCCATTGTGGGATTGATCAGTAGGTAGATTCAGTTGATTGCTTTACTATCGGGGAAGATTGATTGCCAGCACATGAGCGGAAGCCATTGTTTATATGCCTCCTCCTTCTCCTGCCTTGATCCTTGCTGCCCTTTGTGAGGGGTTAAGCTTACAAACCGGACCCTCGGAAACAGGCCTCTGAAGACAGCAATGTGAACGGGTCTCGTCTCGTGTGTTTTCAAAGAAGCGAAAGCCGCTTAGGCATCACTCTAATATGTCCGAACTCCGCCCGGGAAGGCGGAATGATGCGATTAGATGCTCCGTGCGAATGCGAGAGCGATCTACAACCCAATCAAGTCGCCGCCGGGAAAGTTCAACCATCCCGGCAGGGAGAATGATCCACTCCTTCGGTATCAACGGATCTGGCTTAACGATTTAGCATAACGACTTGGCATAACGAGCCAGAGTGTAGCCACCGATCATAGAATCAGTCCGCAATATTCCTACTGGATAACCTGCTGTGTTTCTATGTTCACTATTCAAGAGTCAGGAGTTTATAAGTTATATCAGTAAGTACTTAGGGATGTGAATAATAAAAATAACTGAACGACCGACTTCCTCTTTCCATCTCCGACCCTTGACGAAAGAATGAGCAAAAGACGGATGATTTCGATCATCATTTGGAGTTGAGGCCAGCAAATACAGATTCTCTCCAGCACCAAAGCCCTGTCCAGGTAGCTCCGGGGCCGATGAGGACCGGGCCAAGAGTCATGAGCAGCACAGCCGCGATGGCTTCCCTCGTCACCACATAGCCCCGGGCTCGCAAAATCCAGATCGAATACACGCAGTGAAGAAAGACAGCATAAATATACACAGTTATGGCATGTTTGAGGAATAGAGCAGTTGCCTCCACGGTGTGTCCCTTGCTAGAAACAAAGCTGGACACGCTCCAGAGGATGCTGCTAAAGCTGAGCCCGGGGCGTGTCAAGGCGAAAGTGCAGACAATGGCGTGAATTGAAGCTTGGACGGTAAAAGCAAACGCGTACGCAATGTTGAGCAGTTGAACATCTGCGTCGCAGTACCGCTCATATTCACCATCCTTCCCCTTCTCCTTATTCGCCTCCTCAGAAGAGCGGCAGCGGCTACGCCATAGGACCAAGGAAGATATTAAGCGAGTCAAAATCGGCACAAGAGGGGGTCCGAGTTGCCAAAAAGCCGCCAAAGCTTTCCGGGCCATGCCATCAGCCAGAGTGAACAGCAGAATAGTTGGTACAATGTAACCAAGGATCAGAGAAGGAACCAGCGACCTGGCAACCTCGGGTTTGATAAACCTTCCAGTGCAGTACCCATGGCCTTCAAGCGCATGAAAAATGGCGTATATTGGGATGGTGAAGCAGATCCCCCAGATTTGGGTTGCGGCCAGAATAACAAATGGCAGGCTCATAAAGGTAGCCCGGTGCCCTATACGGTAGCCCTCTATAGTGTAAATCAGGATAGGCGAGATAAACTGTACTAGGAAGTAAATGAAAGAAAGTCTAGAACCTAAGTCGTGGTCTGGGATTGCCACCACAAAGGCAGATGTGAGCGATCCAGCGGTCTGGCCAACCAAGGACTGAGGATCAGACACGATAGGCCAGACCCGAGGTGAGATCCAGATCAAATACATCATGGCACCTACGGAGAAGAGGTACCCCCTAATGAAAGCTCGCCTACTGAAGGGCTTTCCTGGAACCTCGTCATCATAAGGAATCGCATGGCGCCGCTTGGGCACTGGCAGATGCTGAAGTCTTGCACCCCCGGGAACCATAATACTGAAGAGGTTAAGGATCAGCTCATCAGAAACAACAGGAGCCAGCCATTTGCGTAGAAGGAAAGTCGCTGGGTAAGATTCAGTGGCAACCAAGGCCTGTCCTAGGTGGGCACTTTTTGTGGTATCGTTGGCCCGGCCGCGCCTTGCTGATTGGACATGCTGAAAGATGGTCTCGATGTCGCCATCGCCGAGCTCATCCAGGCCGTCTGGCCGAGAGTCTCTGACTTTTACGAGGCCATTTATGAACTCCGCAGCTGATTCAATTGCGTTGTTGCCACCTTGAGCTGTAAGCGGATTGTTCTGCATCGAGCTATCAGCCTCGCCCACAAACACGCGGACCGATCTACTACGAATAGTTCCGCAACTAGAAAATCTTGGTAGTTACTCACTTTATGGCATGAATCACCAAGAACAATTATCCGATTGAAGAACCACTTCTCACGAACATATTCGTGAAGCGGAGTCAGCGTGGAGTTGAGCCTCTTCGAGAAGACATCACCCAAGACAACATGTTCACAAACTGGAAGCTTTGAATATTTTTCAAAGACCTCCTCCTCATCTTTCTTAGTATACTTCTTGATATCGCTTCCGTAAATCGTCTTGGGGAGCCGAGTAAAGAAGAAGAAATAGTCCTTCTTATCAGATCCTAGGAGATGCAGCTGCGTCCAGTTAGTGCCGAGCACCATGATTATCCCATCGTTGCGGAGATGGTCAACGTTTTGAGAAACCCCAAAACTACAGATGTATGAACAACTGGCCAGTCTCTCCGGGTCATCGTGCTGCGAGAAGTAGCTAGGCTCAGTATCCTTAGCTAGACGGTGCATCTCGTCTCTAACGCGACTATGCACTCCATCTGCACCGACGAGCAACGTTCCGGTGTAAACTTGGCCATCCGCAGTCTTGACCTCGACACCTCCGAATATGAGATTGACATGACGGACAACCTTGTTGACGAGAACTCTGTCCTTGTGCTTAAGATTGTTGTAGAGAAGCTCTAGCAGCCAGCGCCGATCGAAGAAGAAAAGAGGGTATGCGAACCTCCTTTTGTAATGCTGAGCAAAATCTCCGACTGAGGCGATTTCAGTGCCGTCAGAGTCATGTAGGGTGGTTCGGCCTAACCATGCTTGAGGGATGGCTTTGACGCCCTCGTACAATCCGAGCTGGTCGAGAATGCGTAGTGTGTTAGGAAACAGGCCTATGCCGAAACCAACAGCGGGAGTGGGATGACCCCTTGCTTCAAGGAGAATGTAATCAATGTCGAGTTGCTCTAGCATGTTTGCCAGAGTCAACCCGTGGATGCCACCTCCAGCAATGATTATCTTGCACTGCTTTTTGGATTCCATATCTGAAACGAAAAGACGGTAATGAAAGCAAGGCGAGTCTATTCTGCAGCGGTTAGAGGTAGAACTAACATCGGTAGAAGGGAGATGTGTGAACAACTACGTTCCCCTCTTCGCCAACATATTTGCCTCAAGTCCCCACGAGCGCATCCTCATACGCTTTCAGAGAGCCCATGCAATGGTAGGATGCAGGGATGAGACTGCATTGATTGCTCCTCTATCCTGCGACCTTGTTCGCTGCCAAGGCTATCTTTTAGATGCAATCAGACTCTACTTGTTCTGCATGTAACCCAATCAGGCCGAACAAATCACTTGACCAGTCCAATTTTTCCTCTTAATTCTGTTCCCCCGATAATTTCCGATTGATTTACAGTTACAATCAGGAATGTGCATAAAAACCATGAAGTTGTGCACATGGGTTGATAACGCCGGAAGTTCTTGTCAAACCTAATGCCCAGCTAAGAATCATGACACCTCCCTCAATAATAAGTTCCGTGATGTCTCCAAAATACATTTGATATATTTGAATTAGGCTATTGAGCAAAGTATTATGTTATTGTGCCACTAGAGAGGAATTTAAAATACGCTTAACACAACTATTGTCCCTACTGTCATGCCATCCTAAGTCTTACTTCAGCTGCATTGAGGGTAGTACTTGAGAATATCACCAAAGTCTACAGAAATTTCAAATTCATGCTAGCATGATGTTACAGAAAAGCATATACCTTACCAGTCCACCACTCAGTATGCAGCATGTAATATACATCCAGCCATTATAGATAGACTCTGTCTTAAAAGCCAAGCGTGTGGTCAGAAAAGGCATGCCGGATCCAGTGATTGCAATACAGGACAAGGCTTGTGGACCGAATCAAGCCAAAACGCCGTGGTTCTTGAGTCTCGCTCCTGCCATATTCTAGTCAAAAATGTCCTACCAGCCTTCTTTAGCACAGGAGTGACATTATCCACAAACTCCTCTACCTGATATAAAGCCTTGCCTCGTGCACTAGGATCCCGCAATTCAACCGCGGCAACTAGGAACGGCAGCGTCACGAAACAAATGAGGCGCTTCGTAATCCGCTGCGCCATGTTAAGTTCCATCATGATCTCACTCGCCCAGATGTCAGCCTGCGCATCTTGCTCACCGAAGCTGTACCGCAGCCTGTGAGCGACGAGAAGGGCTGCTAGACGGTACACTCTGGCCTGAGCAAGAAGGTTGACAGCATCGGCCGTTGAGAACCGATTAATGAGCTCGCCGTCCAAGCAAGACGGTTGCCACTCTTCCAGTGATACTTGGATCTCGTCCAGTTTATGATACATCTTTTCCAGGCTGCCTTTGTCTGATGCTTTGGCTAATGAATGGCTGACCACGCACAGATCGTAGTAATATGGAAGCAAAGGCGAGCAGAGACCCAGATGACGGTCCACACCTCTACTATTTGACGGTTGGATCCTAAGAGTTGGCGTTCGGCGATAGACAAGGCAGTCCATCAACTCCAGCAGGGCAAGAAATCCCTGTCGCGTTTCCAAGACCGGATCGGGAACTTTACTAGTCACGAACGGAGATGTTGTGCTAAGGCAATAGTGGCAGACATCGGCGACACCAAGACCAACGGTCGAGGATATGGATATTGCAAGCATCGTTCCTATTGTAAGACACAACGCCGCGTCCTGTGAATTTGAGACGGGAAGGGAGCGCAAGGTATTCATAGCTGATGATGTGTGTTGAATGCTCCTCAGACTATCACTCTCAATCTCCCTGCTTGGCTGGATGTTCTTGAGAGCCATAGCACACGCGAGATACGCATCCTTGAGCACGGGTAGCCCTCCTGGGAGTTGATCCATCAATGATTGCTGCTCAGCAGTCTGGAAACTTGGACACACCACGTAACAGTCCACCGTTTCGGGAGTGTCCAGGAGAAGTAGCAGCAATTCTCTCTGGTCCGGGAGAAGATCCGCATGGCTATTTAACAAGGCGCTAATGTCCTGAAAGTCGGTGTCGATACCTGATCTGGTCTTTGTCGATAATACGGTGGATGTTGAACGAGACTGATGTGTTATCCTTCGGCCTGCAGGTCGGTATGGACGGAGATTTGAACAGGCCAGGCCAAGCCTATTGCACCGACTGCAAGAGGTTGCAGCAGGCGCTCGCGCACATCGTGCTTTAAGCTCATAGCACCGATCACAAGCGGTCCTCACTTGCCTTGACTTGGAGACAGGCATGGCCACTGAACCATCACAGACGTTGCATAAATGACAGTCAGAGCTCAACACTTTGCGAATTGGTTGAGTAGTCATCAGCACTAAAGATAATCACGTGATCTCATTCTTGCGCTCCCTCTCAGGTGCATTTGGTCTTCAGTAGCGAACGGCACGATGTATTCAATGTTATGTAAGAATGAAAAATTCTTCTACACGAAGATTATATAGGTACCTACTCAATTTTGATACTGTTTGGGTACTGAAGTGCAGCCAAATCCGCGCCGAAAGCTGCAAAATTTCCATAACCAAAAAGCGTTGGGTTTCCCTGCATATGCCAATATCTGTTCCCCATGATGGGTAGCTAGCGATAATGAGAGAAATTCGGATGGTACTTTTCAAAAACGAAATAATAATTAATAATAAAATTGTATCGTCCCAATTAAAGTATTTCAAGGGAAGTGATTGATCACCGATGCAGCCCGCTTCTTACGTCGATGGGTATGAGCCGACAGCTCTAGGTTAGGTATAGGTTAGCCTAGCCTCCGCCCCTCTCTAGACCAAAGAGCCTCAGTATACTTAAATTAGTAATAATATCTATATATTATATAAAGTATAGTATAGCTATAAAATAATATTTATTCAGTATTTTATTAGCTTATAATTAATATTTTTAAAAATACTTTTAAAATAATTAATTAATTAATAAAGATTTAATTAAAGTTATTTATTAATATATTAAAACTAAATAATATTATAAACTTATAATAAATAATAAAGATATAACTAGATTATTTATATTTTACTTAAACTTTAATTATCTATTATAGAAAGTAATAACTGATTTAAAAGAAACTTTTCCTTATTTCAGCTTAACTGATTTTAAAATATAAAGAATATATCAGCCCAGCGTAGCGTTATTTCTTTTTTGAAATCAAAATCAAAAGGACCGCTGATCGGCTCATAAAAGATTAGCATTATTGGTTAGAATAATCGCGACCCTGGTACAACGGCGAACGCCGTCGTAAATGACCTGCCTATTATGTGATGAACTTTTAGTTATTTAATACTTGTAAGCCGGGCTTATTTCTCTTTCTAGACCGGTAGCTAGAGATTTATCTATCCGCCGCCTCCTCTTTCCCCCAAGCCCAAAATCCAAGAAGTTTACTCAAATATTTCTCAAATTGATGGACGGTCGCCACCCTCGCGAAGAGTCCACTTGTCAAACAACTTGAAAATCATGGCACAGCAAGCCTTTTCGTTCAAAATACTATCCATATTTCGCCCTCCTTGCTCATTACATTCATATGATGCTTCGGAACCAACCATGGGCTCGTGCCAACAACAATACGGCTTCGCCTTGCTATTTGCACAGTCCATTCTTTCGGCTTTACCAGCCCTTCTGTTCTCAATTTTAGCAGGATTCCGGACATGGTCACTTACCCGTAGGGAACACAGAGTCCAGGATGGTGCAGCCTTGGTAGCAAAGCAGATTCTGATCTTTGCATTATGGGCGACACACATAGTACTGGTGGTCCTCTGGTCGCGCGAGTCCTCCATTATAACACCGATGTCGTTCCCAATGGCCGCTTCTTGCCGCCACGGTAACAGCGCCTCTATCTTGGTTCGAGCACACGAAGACCATCAAGCCATCTCTCCTGATATGTTCATATCTCATCGTCTCAGTTCTTCTTGATATCACCCAAATTCGAACGTTATGGACGAGACTCGACGACGACCGCGCACTTGTGACAGTTTTACCGCCTCGTACAGCCTCCGAGCTATTATTCTACTAATGGAATCTCTACCAAAGAACCTGACACGAGAGGCTGACATATCTCGAAGCCCCGAGGACAAGTGTGGTGTCATCTCACGAAGTCTCTTTCTCTGGATGCTTCCATTACTTTACAAGGGATATAGACAATCTCTCGGTGTGGATGATCTCTATGCCCCTCCCATCGATGCAGCTCCTGTGGATTTGGAAGAGAAACTTTGGCGCGACTGGTCGAACTGTAAGTTGAACAGCCCTCCATTTTAAAAAAGGGGCATAGCAATTACTAACCTCGTGATTCTGGATTCCTCAAGCCAACCGGGTGCACGATACAGACTGCTATCCGTTACTGCGAAAGCCCTTTTGCCACGATTACTTGCTCCGATCATTCCAAGGCTCTGCGTTGTGGGCTTCATGGTCGCTCAACCAGTATTTCTATCACTCCTTATTCGATTCCTTAGCGATAACAGCGACTCTCGAAACGATGGATACAATTCGCTAGCAGCTTATGCCCTCATATACATTGGTCTCGCAGTTGCAAATGCGTGGTACTTTCATCAAACCTTCAAGTTCATCACTTGCGTCCGGGCAGGTCTCGTGACCCTCGTCTATGATCGCACCATGAGTTTGAGTACCGCTGCCATCGACAAGTCATCAGCTGTGACGATTATGAGCGCCGATATCGAGCGAATCACAATCGGGCTCAAGAATATACATGACCTCTGGGCTAATGTGATACAAGTCGCCCTTGCCGCATGGCTGCTGGAAAGACAGACTGGTGTTGCCATCATCCTACCGTTGCTTGTTGCTGCCTCGTGTGGCTACGGGACCTTGAAGATCAGCGCTGCCGCGGGTGGGCAACAGGCCAATTGGCTAAAGCGTATTGAGAAGAGCGCGGATGTTACCAGCCGAACACTGTCATCAACGAGAGGCATCAAGGTTTGTGGTTTTGCAAACACCTTGATAGATGTTATACAGGGCTTGAGAGGTGAGGAGCTACAGGCAGCTTCTAAACTTCGATGGTGGCAGGTCGGTGCACTGGTCATGGGGTTTTTCCCTGTCATGATCAGCCCTGTTCTGACTCTTGCCGTCTTCGTTTTTGTGGCCGATAGGGCTTCACAGCCTTTGGATGCCTCGAGAATGTTTGTGTCATTGTCAACTTTGACAATAATGTCCCAGCCATTAAGCGTGCTCTTCCAATCAGGCCCCATGATATCGTCTATGATTGCCTGCTTTGATCGCATTGGCCGGTTCATCGAAACTCAAGAAGGTCTCGATATTTCTCAACAGAGCTCAACTGCGGCAGATACAGAGGGCGATGCCAAAATTCAGAATGGGAGTTTTGGTTGGTCTGTTGACTCAGCTTCGGTTCTTAAGGGCATAAATGTAACATTGCCCCGTGGAAAACTCACCACGGTTAGTTCTTTCCTTTAATGTCCCATATGTTTTGATACATGTTGCTAACAACGGATTGGATTGTGACAGATCATTGGGCCTGTGGGATGCGGAAAATCCACGCTCTTGAAAGGCCTCCTTGGAGAAGTTACGTATGCTAATGGTGCCATTATGCTTCCACGCGGTAGTCTCGGATTTTGCGACCAAAACCCGTGGATCGTGAACGGCACTGTTGAAGAGAACATCACTATGTTTTCAGGGAATGATAACGAGCATTATAATACAGTGCTGGAGGCTTGCGCTTTGTCCGATGACTTGAAGCAGCTTTCGGCTGGCGATCAATCCAAAGTTGGCAGTAAGGGGATTGCCTTGAGTGGCGGCCAAAAGCAACGAGTGGTAAGTGACAACGCTGCCTCTTAATTTATTCCTGCTTGAGTTCAACTAACAATATTTTTAGTCCCTTGCGCGCACCCTCTTCGCTCGGCGCAATATCAATCTATTCGACGATATTCTTAGCGGTCTCGACAGCACTACAGAATCGCACGTCTTCGCTGCTATCTTTGGGCCAACAGGGCTTCTCAGGCGAAATAAATCCACTACTATTCTTGCAACACACTCAGGTAGGAAGTCTTGAAGTTTCTGGGGCGTGGAGTCGCAAACTAAATATTCGGCTAATAGCTCGCAGTTCACTTTCTTCCATATGCTGATCATATTATCTGCATTGGACCCGAAGGAAATATTGTTCAGCAAGGGTCATTCACAGAGCTCAGTGCAATTGGAGGATATGTCAGCAGCCTAGGGATAAAAAATAACCAGAACTTACTCGGATATATCAATCCCAAGGCGAGCAACGGGGAAACGGAAAACAATAGCAAGACGAAGACGCCAGAGCCCGATGGAGAAGACAAATCACAAAAGCCTCGAGGCGTCTATCGATATTACGTTAAATCGGTCGGCTATGGAATGTCTCTCCTCTATCTCGTCCTTGCTACCATTTATACCTTTCTTTTCACCTTTCCCTACCTATGGGCTAAATGGTGGACTGATGCCAATTCTCGAGATCCTTGGCAATACACAGGGTTTTACATGGGGGGCTACGCTCTGCTCCAGGTCTCGTGTCTGATCTCTCTTGTGATCTTCGCAAGACATGCAGTTATCACGATCGTGAATACGTCCGGGCTCAGCCTTCACTAAAAACTCATTTCGACCGCGCTTCATGCACCTTTATCGTTCTTCGAAAAGACCGATACTGGTATCACACTCAACAGATTCAGTCAAGACTTGCAGATGGTGGATAATGAACTCCCTCTGGCTGTACTGAACATTGCATGTAGCGGACTCATTCTCATCGGCCGGATGCTGCTCATTATCAACACCTCGTATTGGTTAGCATTCTCCTTCCCTTTGATTATCTTGGCTCTAGGGGTGCTTCAGAGCGTGTACATGGGCACCTCAAGGCAGTTGAGGCACCTTGATCTTGAGACCAAGTCTCCCCCTGTATTCTCAATTTGTCGAGTCATTGGATGGGCTGGCTTCCATTCGCGCTTTGGGTGGCAAGGACCGTTCAAAGAGCTCCTCTATCGTAATCTTAACCGTTCCCAGAGACCGTTCTACCTGCTCCTCGTTCTTCAACGATGGCTTTCAGTTTCGCTAGATTGCCTGACAGCAGGGTTTGTCATCCTCCTTGGCGCTGTAACGATCACTATGCGGGATCAAATCAGCCCAGGATTTGCAGGCGTCGCCTTGGCTAACTTGATCGGCCTGAGCGGTTCCATGAGCACTGTGGTTGAGACATGGACGCAGATGGAGACATCGATGACTTCTATTGAGCGATTTCGAGACTTTGAGTGTGACGTCCCTTCCGAGACCCGTGGATACAGCCAGACGGCTGCGCCTCCGGAATGGCCAAGTCGAGGTGCCGTCGAGATTCGAAACCTGACTGCGACGTATAAAGATGGCGCAGTTACGGCCTTGAAAAACATCACAATGAGTATCAAGCCCGGTGAGAAGATCGGCATCTGCGGCCGCACAGGTAGCGGCAAAACATCCTTCACTCTGGCCCTCTTCCGGATGATCGATGTCCAGAAGGGTTCTATCTCGGTCGATGGTCTCGATGTTGCATCCATGGAGCCCAACACACTGCGAAGCAGCCTCAATGGGATCCCACAGGAGCCTTACTTCATGCCGGGAACTGTCAGATTCAATGCTGACCCTCTTGGCACAAGTTCTGACGAGGATATTACGCGAGCTCTTACTTCAGTTCACATGGACAGGGCTGTCAGGAACAAGGGAGGGCTCAACGCTGAGATGGAGGATATGTTGTTTTCCCAGGGCGAAAAGCAGCTCTTCTGTCTTGCTCGATCTATTCTAAAACGCAGTAAGGTCATCGTGCTAGACGAAGCTACAAGCAAGTGAGTAAACCAACAGGACGCCGCCGTTTCTTTTACGATATGAGTCCAGGCTAATCGGAAGCAAGCATCGACATTGACACTGAAAGTTTGATCAAGAAGGTGATAGACGAAGAATTTAAGAATTTTACAGTAATCACAGTCGCTCATCGACTATCAGTCATCCTCAATAACGACCGTATTGCTGTTTTAGAGGCAGGCGAGCTGGTGGAATTCGATACTCCCGAGGCCTTGCTGAATCGAGAATCTCGGTTGAGGAAATTGCGAGATGCATAGAGAAAGCTACAACCAAGGGGGTGGAAATACTTGACATATAAGACTAAACATATATCAGTCAATATCTATACATAGAAAACCTCTCAGGCCCTATTCTTCTATTTAGGGACATAAAATTAGTTGGTATTTATAGTATTTCTCGGGTTAATAGGCTATTCTTATTTTATTATACGGGAGAGAGTTTAATAGAAAGTTAAAACAAAAGAAGATGCCAGACCCAACATATTGTATTATCTTATTAATTTACTCTAAGCCTTGCTTAGCCCCTAATGATAATTGCTCATGTTCGGAGAGGAAGACGGAAGACAATAGATCTCTATTATACGAGCTGTCTAGCATCTTGCTCATTGCGCGGCCTCCTGGTATTAACAGCCTTCCTCTGGCTAACGCAGCTAGACAAGTGGAAGTAGCATTCATGTGAAGGCGGAGAAATAACACTTCCGAGGCGGTTGAATATAGGTGCATAGCTTCTTCTTTCAGGGGCATGTTCAGGTACGCTCTAATAAGGACATAACACATCCTACTCAGGCCACATTTCGTACTGATTTTGCCATTCATCTCCCTGGCCCACGATCGTATTCATATCCTGCGAAATCGACTCTTGTAGGAGATCAAAGGTGTTCATATCAAACATGGAATCCATCGTCAGCATCATTTGTGGCTGTTCCATGGAACCCAGATCGGAAATCTCGGTTGATTCCTCTGTGAGCTTCCTGGAGGCCCGCATCATGTCATCAAGGCCGTTGCTCATGTGGTAGACCAAATGTTGACGGGCTGCTTTCTGTGACCGGAGCTCGCTAACATATCTTTGCAGGAGAGCGAAAACTTTGGGTACGTCGATGGTGGTGAGCTCCCAGAAGTTGTTTTTGGTGGCTTTAGTGAGAAACACGGCTGCGAATGTTATCATGCCGTGGAAATAGATGGGCATGCCAACGAGGGCGGTTCTCAGATCGTCTCTTTCCAGAACCAGTTCAAGCACGCTGGTGGCAGAGGTTACAGCAACCGATGCAAAATCCTGCACCTGTAGGGATGCGGTCGCCGCCGACTCCAGAGACATGGATCGGAAGATATAGGAGCAGAGGTGTAGCCGGGCAAAGTGATAGTGAAGTATTGCCCCATCTCTTGGGAACCATCCGACGTGGGCATTGCGTGCTAGGAGAACCGTCAGCTTGTTAACCATACGCTACAGGCAGAATGTTGAAAGGGTGCCCTTACGCATTCGATCCCCCCAAATCATATACCATCGGTCCAGCTCCCCGAGAAAGCTCAGCAACTGAGCAAAGCAGTGCGCGGGTATTGTTTTATGTGAATATCCTCCAAATACATCCTTGACCTTGGCTATGATATGATAGAGAGCTACCTGGCTTGACATGCGCAGATCAACCTCGGCATGGCCATTGACTTCAATAAATCGCTCCCACTGTTGGTGGGCTTCCTCTTTGGGGGATATCAGCGCCGGACGGCCATACAATATGCTAGAATGATGGTCCATGATATAGAGGCAGTACCAAAGACGTGCTTTCTCAACGCTCCCTGCATTGCCAGGATTCTCTATGACGGAGAAGTAGGCCAAGTGGTGATTTAACCTCATAGCGATGCGGATGGCATGGCCGAGTAGGGTGTAGGAAACATTGCCCAACCAGTAGGCTCCGACAATAAGCGCGCGAAGATCATCGCAGGAATAAGAAACTGAAAACATGTTGGACGAAACAAGTCTCAGGAACTCGGCATGGCATACCTTGAACGTGGCAGATGCATCCGGATCGTGCAACGAAGCAACAGCGCAAATAGCTGCAGTCAACAGACGAGAACTGCTACGAAGACTATGTAAGGTGTCATGCGGGCAAAGAATGCCATAGCAAAAGTAGTTGAGTCTGTTCTTGAAAAGGAAGAGGAGCTGTTGAGCGGCAGCTTCGGTCAATGCGCCGCGGGAGATGAAATCGGAGACAGCCGTTCCCGTCTGGGTTTCTGGATTCGTGGGGTTTCTCAATGCAGGGAGTCTAGTCGCCTCGTATAATGAGTTGATTGGCAGTGTATACAAACTATCCTCCTCTGGGGCTACGGGGGTTAGAATTGGTGCCAAGGGGAGTGTTTCATCGGCTTCACCGGCCACTTCATCACTGGTCTGGGTCATGTCATCCTCCGGATTGGATGATGATTGATATGATGCTAAAGGCGGCAACCTAGACATGCGCAACAGGATGTTGACCGCAGTCTGTAGCTGAGATACCTGGCCTGTCAAGGAACCCCGCCATCTAGTAATGATTTTGCATTAGCTGTAGTGCGTAAGGGAGGATAACATGCAATACCACCGTACCTATTGGCTTCTTCAAGAATGGACTGTGCGTTCTTGTCGACATGGCATTTCAGTCGTCGGCTTTGACATCTCTCGCATGGAGGTTCGCCATGCGGCATCTTGCATCTGATCTGGCCCAAAATAACTCAGTACAGATTCAGCATTCTCGGTTACTTTTTCTTTGTATATGCTATTACCTTTGCGGCCCTGCATGTGTGGCACGCCTTTACCAGTCTCCCTACGGCCGCCCGCTGAGCAGGGCGTGAAGAGCTTGAACTCGAGGAGGGAGCCATAGCTGCGATGCTAGCCGTGATGGCGCTGTGAAGGCCAGACCAAGTTGCGAGTTTTTTCAAAGGGCACCGTCCAGCAGTGGATATTCTTTTGCATGAGAATGAGAATAACGTCACTCTCCAACGTAGGTCTACGTTTGCTCTAGGCCGAATTCGATTACGAGGAATGAACGGGCAGCATGGATCACGTGCAAGGAAGCTTATTAAGGAGCTAGGAGATGAGGAGATTAACATCGGCCTTAGTAGAAATTGGCGTCCTATAGTGCTAGCAACTGGGGGACTGGTTGCCGTTGCGATCACAGGGTCAGCTAAGGTAAGGAGGCTGGTCTGTCCCCACGCAGCCCCAAACTCATTATGCACACTAGCTGGAAGCAAGATTACCTGGAAGCTTTCGGCCCTAAGTAGTCATGAGTTTAAAATGAAATGAAAAAAAAAAAAAAAAAAAAAAAAAAAAGAACTGGACTAAAAGAATTGGACGGCAGCTGGGGAAACGAGAAAAAAAGGGGGGGATTCTTTCGTAAGGCTTTCGGGGATTTCGGCCGACATAGCGGCAATTTTCCGGAACTAGACGCTCAATACCGTTGTGTGCAAGGACTAGCGATGATGATTTGGTGCGGGAGACCATTAATACAGCTCTATCAAAGCCGGAATAAAGCCAATCTCGACCGAAACTAGATTTCAATGCTATAGCAGCGACTGGACGCTCATCGTTCGGTCTGGATCACTGGGCTTATCAGATACATAATGGACATCATTTGGAATGACGGATATGTGGGCGAACCCAACACTTTCCTCGCTTTCAAACTGCGCTAGCCCTGAACCATGTCTGGCAAACACTACTTTCCCTCGACAGCTGCCAATACCCTGGTTCCAAGGGCACTTCGGGCGCTGGTTTCAGCCAACTCTCACTTGGTACTTGACGAAGGAGACCGTGCAGTGGCCGATGGGTTTCATGACAACTCCAAAGTAGCCATCGTTGGCGGAGGTGGTTCGGGACACGAACCAGCATGGAGTGGTTATGTCGGCGAGGGCCTCCTCTCAGCTGCTGCGTGTGGTGACATCTTCGCATCACCAAGTACAAAGCAGATTCTTACTGCTGTGCGGATGGTACCCTCCAGCCAGGGTGTCATCTTTCTTATCACTAATTACACCGGTGACCGGCTTCACTTTGGACTTGCCGCTGAAAAGGCCAAAGCTGAGGGATTGTCTGATAACATTGCCATCTTAGCTGCTACTGACGATGTTTCAATCGGAAAAAGCAAGAACAGCCGCCTGGGGAGAAGAGGAATGGCAGGCCACGTATTCAGTGAGTCTGACTCATGCTTCTTGGCGTATATTTTCCAAGAATTCCAGCTTACCATACAACCAAATCTTAGCAATGAAAATCCTCGGAGCAGCAGCTGCATTGGGACTCTCTTTCACGGAGTGCGTAAACATCGGAAGCGCAGTCAACGACCATATTGTTACCATTGGCTCGGCTCTTGACCATTGCCACGTACCTGGACGGCAACACCAATTTCTCGCAGATGATACTTGCGTGATCGGGGCTGGCATTCACAATGAGCCGGGGCAACAAACTATAACCCCCGTCCCATTAGTTGAAGATCTCATTAGCCGGTGTCTCGGTTTGCTCTTGGATCAATCCGACTCAGAGCGTGCATTCGTTCCATTTGGGCCCGATGACCAAGTTGGACTGCTTGTGAACAACTACGGCGGCCTCTCTACTCTCGAGCTGGGCGCTCTAGCCCACGAGACTCAGAAGCAGCTTGCATCTCGCTGGAATATCGAGCCCTGCAAATCATATATTGGCACGTTTGAGACCTCATTGAATGCCCCTGGGTTTTCAATCTCCCTTTGCAACTTGAGCGCGGCAGCCAAACAATGTAACTCGAGTGTTGGCGCACTTCTCTCCTTCCTCAACCAGCCAACCACTGCTGTGTCTTGGCCAAATACATACCGCCCGCCACCGGAGCAGGGCGTACCTAATTTCAAGGTCCACAAAGAGGCCGCAGTCGACCAAAGCACCAAGACTGGAGCTGTCTACGCCGATGCTGCATTGTTAGAAAGAGCTATGAAGATGGCTTGTGAAGCGGCAATTGCTGCAGAGCCGTATCTAACAGAATGGGATATGATTATGGGCGACGGAGACTGTGGCGAAGCTGTAAAAGGTCTTGCGGATTCTGTGGTGCACAATATTAATACTGGCTCTCCGCAGAATGGTGATGTTCTCAGCTTGCTCAGAGATGTTATCAAATGTGTTGATGATATGGGTGGAACGCTGGGCGCTATCTTCGGCATCCTTCTCTCTTCGTTTTTAACATCTCTCCAAAGAATTGCTCTTGAGGGCAAATTGGACCAAAATTCACCCGAGTTTTATGCCAAAGCTCTCAGTTCAGCTGTGGCCTCATTGAAGTCGCACACAGGAGCTAGGGAAGGTGACAGGACCGTCATGGATGTTTTGCTTCCTTTTGAGAAGGAATTTGCCGAATCTAAAAGCTTAGGTTCTGCTGTGAAGGTTGCCAGCAGAATGGCCGAAGGAACAAGATACTTGAAACCTAAATTTGGAAGAGCAACTTACGTTGGCGAGGCACCTAACCAGGAGCTACCTGATCCCGGAGCGTGGGCATTATATGAGATACTCCTTGGCTTTTCCAGGGGCTTAGAAACTCAAAACCCATGATCATCTTTCCTACTATAGACAAATTGAATCTAACACTATAGAATGAGAAATTATTCCTGGAAGAAATCATGGTAATGATTGAAACAGTTTGGTCTAGCATCGTAATAGGTCCTACCATCGACATGTAGACGGGTCGATATGCTCTCCATTTGTAGTAAGTGGTGCGCCAGAATAGATATATGCTGGTATTTTGTTAATCTTTCGCTGTAACGCATCGGAATCGGAAAGATACCTCGGTCATAGCACCATCTCCCGTCATAAAGACAAGATTGAATGGTAATTATTGGAAAGTACTGCACTCAGCATTGAAAGCCCAGAAATGGACAAAAGGTACGTAGTCGCTCCCCACGGCCGTCCATTTTCCCGATGGATTTGTAATGAGTACATGGTTCGGAAGAGCGAAATTGCTATGTCAAGATGATAAGCCACTGCATGCTGTCGTATGCTTCAACGTGTTACACGATCAGACTTTATGAATGCAACGGAAGAGCTGATCGGTTTCCTTTTATATCAAATCTACATGTCTTGTTTATTGTGCGAGAAATCCAGTTCCCGTGCTTTCTGTGATTCCCCCATCCACAACGAGTTCGTGGGAGGTTACATATCTGCTTGCTCCGCTTGCAAGCCAGGCAGCGGCATTTGCTACATCGGCTCCAGTTCCCATCCATCCCATCGGGCAGTTGTGGTCCAAGATTCTCTTTGCGGCTTCGCGGTCACCCGGGTCATCGCTGCGGGCAAAATTATCAACAAGAGGCGTGTACATTAATCCCGGCACCACACAGTTGGATCGGATGTTTTCCTTGGCATACATAACACCAACAGCCTTTGTAAATCGAATCACAGCAGCCTTAGCAGAGGCATATGCAATCTGATGCTTTCCGATATAGCGCATAGCTGTAATAGAGGCATTGTTGATAATGTTTCCGGAACCTTGCTTCTGCATGACAGGCAGAACGTGGTGGCATAGGCGATAAACGGAGGTAAGGTTAAGGTCGATTTGACGGCTCCAAAGATCCTCGGACATGGTAGCTGGGTTTCCAGCCGCCGTTTGTCCTACATTGTTGATGAGAATATCAACTCTTCCATGCTTTTCCATAACAGCCTGGAACAAGGCCTCGACATCTGAGGGCTTCATAACATCGGCAGCAACGACGTCTACCACGGCCTTGGGGTCTTCTTCCTCAATGCGAGTCTTGGTACGCTCAGCAGCAGCGAGGTGAAGATCGCAGCCGAAAATCTTGACCCCATTGCGGGACAGGAGGCGGGCTGTGGCAGCGCCGTTACCCCAGAAAAGGCTATCGGCAGGTCCAACCTGGCCAATACCTGTGATGAGAGCAACTTTTCCAGCAAGATCAGGGTAGATGGGGAACACCTCGGGAACCGGAGGATCAGGAGTCGACATACTGAGTAATCGAGTTGAGAGCAAGGGTATGAATGTGTGGATGGTTGTATGAGGAGTATTAAGCAAGATAGGAAGCGTTGAATGCGATAAGGGTATTAAATAAGTGAAAGCCGTATGGAAATGTAGCCGCAAAAAAAACACGAGTGATAAAAATCAGAAGTAAAACCACTCAAGCCATTATAATCCATCCATCACCATCTCACCTAGGAACCTTTGGCCAAGTGTCGGAGCATCCGGAATTCGACCGACATAGGCCGGTCGTACCCTCAACCAATCTGCTTGACTTGTCCCATTGCCATAGAATTCAGGGACCGCTCTCCACATTGTGGGATGAGAAGATGGGGCATGGAGAGCCAGCCGGCTCTGTCGGCCGAGGAATCGGAGGGAGACCGACCAGCTAGATTCCCCTCCGGGACACAGGCGGAGCGGGGCTGACAACGTCCGGGGATTCAGTGTTGTCATTATTCAAAATGGAACGCATCTCAGCCGAAGGACAGGCGGAAGGCGTCAAATTCAGAGTTAATATCAACCCCAAAAGAAAAATATAGCACAACATGCACGTGCAGAAATTCCCTCTTTCGCCCCCCTCCCTCGATGAACTGGCCCAGAAGCTCCGAGAGCCTCTTGTGGCTAACTACGAACATTCCACAGTCACTATTGTCCAATGCCCCGACTTAAGGGAAGCCCCGTTCAATTTGGCCACTGAAGGTCTGTCGGGTGACGAGAAAGTCGCTGATGTTGGCGGTCAACCAAATCTCTTCCCGCTTCCTCGCCTAGACACCATTTGGTCGATGGCTGACATTGCAAAATCCATGGAGATGAGCCCTGAGAGGGGAAGCTTGATTGGTGCAGGTGCCGGTCCGTTTCATAAAATCGGGTTAAACTGCGAGCTTTCGCCCAACATGAGCTGGGAAAGAGGTCTTGATAATATCAACAACCAGACCAAGTATGCCAAGATTAGCTCAGAGACCGGTCATGTGTGTATCGAGAACAGTCCAACAATGGACTGCGCGCTGATGCTGAATCTTTACGGCTCAGTAGGCGGGCCAGGCCCTGTCATTAAAGTCACCGCCCGGCAGCGCAAGGGTAGTGAAAAGAGCTTTACCGAGTGTATACGCAAAGCCCTGTATGCTGCCTATGGAGATTCCCAGACGATAAGTCTAGGAGGGGTCTTCTTGATCAAGTCGGGAAGGACTCACTACCACGTCATGCCAGACTTCCCTTCGGAAAACGAGCTTCCATTCAAGGATTTCGCCCAGCTCAACAACTGGTTGACATATCATGATTTTGACGGACCAGTTGTATGTATGTCTGTGCTGCATTCTGCTGACCCAGACAGGAAGATGGGTTTGCGACTAGAGCACACACATGGGTTTTCACCCAATGGAGGAAATGCTGGAGGACATTATCACTATGACCTGGAAGGAGGTGGCGAGATCGAGTACGAGGCCTACTTCAACACGGCGAAGATGATCTATCGACTGGATAAGCCGGTAGTGACCTTAGAGAAGGATTTGCATGATTGAAAACCGAGAAATCTAGAAACTTTTGATCAAAGGCTGGAGATAGATGGCAGTGATAGAATCCACCTCCTGTTACGAGCAGGAATGCGTGTTTCTATTCTCAATATTCTTCGCCATTTGACTCGAAACACGAGTCACCGCCCTCGATATCATGCCCAAAAATCATATTAATTAAAAAAAATATTTAAAGATTTTATAAAGATCTTTAGAATAGATCTATATGGATCATAGATATATTTTTTTAATATACTTTTTTTTATTAAAATATAAAAAGTATATCAGCTGATTACAGCCTAAGCAGGGATTTATCAAGGACCTGTTCAGGATGTTAATGCAAGAAATAGAACAGGCAGGTCGTTCAACTGATCCAGTACGGGTTGTCGGGCGGCATACACTGTTACTCACAGCAAGCCGACTCTGGCTCCGATTCATGAGCTCCGACGCCTCTCCTCTAAGCGGCATATTCTCACCATGAGCTGAGCAATGGCAGATAGATTAAATTGTTTCTTCTTGGCCATGGCCGCGCTTCTCTTGGCATCCTTGCCGAACTGACTCGAGCCGAGGTCGCGGTATGGGGAGCCGTAGTTCGGAGGTCTTGCCATATGTCGGCCGAGACGCCGCTCCAAGTACACCGACTCTTGCAAGATTGTCCACTGAGACGCCGATTATTTCCATCCCTAGGTTCAGCTGGTACTTCACTTGCAGGGACAGCATTTTATTTTCTCCATGGTATACACATGGCACAATTGAAGTGGAGAGAAATCTGACAGGGCAGATCATACAGGACAAGCATCACATCGAAGCTTCTGCTTCGCTTGCTAAGCACCTACCTTGGCTTTGCCTGGGACTTCCATCGATGTGTGTAGGTAGTCGCAGGCATCTTTGAAATTTCGTATCAGTGCGAAAGCTGAACAGTCAACTGACTGCCCTTCAAGAGAGTATGCCTTCACATTGGAGGATCGAGGCGGACATACTACACTACGACAGCTCCGTGATCCACCATGTTGTCTTTCAGCCTTGAGTTGCTTGATAAGTCGAGGTTATGTGCCCAGCTGCTATGACGCTCGTTATTGAGCACAAAAGACGATATTGCGATGTTCAGTAACGACTGAGATGCCGGCTGATTCAGTCACGCAGAGCTGAGGTAATACATTCAGGGCCTCAAATAGATCGACGGACAAAATGAAGCTGAGGCCACTGTCTCCTTACAATTTCCCAGGATCTGTGTAGACGGGGCACTCATAATTGGTCACTCAGTTGATCAGGTAACAAAAGTCTGAATATAGTCATTTGAGATATTACATATTTTGCACTGCTTTCTGACGAAGCCCTCCACAAAGCAGTTCAGCAAGAGTTAAACAAGGCAAGCATCAATCATCCTAATCGACTCTGAGAATCACAAACGCATCATTCTGGGCCCTGGAGCGTAATCTGCTCAGATCTGGAATCTGTGGCGAACAGTCATATCAACAGACTGGCTCTCCTCGATCTCTTGAGTTCCCTCGAAGCCGTCCTTCAGATCAACTTGAATGGCAGGGTGCGATTCATCATGTCCAAGCTTCTTGTTCTCGCGCTGGAGGACAATGCGCAGGGCGAGTGTGGCACAAATGCCAACCACCATCAAGGAAACATTGACGGACCAGGCGGTGTAGTAGTTAGGTCCTTGACTAGCAGGGTACAAGTATGGAGTCCAAATCATGGCTGAGTTTCCGAAAGCGGTGTTCATGGCCAGAGCGATGGCACGCTTCTTCTGGGGACGAGCAGCAATGTTGGCCATCCATGCGTTGGAAACCTGGAAGCAACCATAGGTTGCCGGAAGCATGAGGAAAATAGCGAAGTAACGAGCTCCAATGTTAGTTGTGGCAAACGTGATGATGATACCGCAAATTGTGACGCAGCAGGGAATGATGATCCAGAACGATCGCATGCCGGTCCTGTCCGAGTGCCAGGTGATGCCGATGCAAGCTACCGTCGTTAGCACGTACGGGGGCGCCGTGAGGAGCAGTGTCTCAATGGTGCCGAAGCCAAAATCTTTAACAAGTGTAGGGAGGAAGTTGGCGAGGGAGGCCACGGCTTGCAAACAGACCTGACCGAGAACACAAAGCCACAGCCTGTAGTCACGCACCGCAAGCTTAAAGGCTGTGATTGCTGAGGTATCTTCGTCTTCGGCGCCGGCATCCTCAATGAGTCTTAGAACACCGAGAGCTCGCTCCTCAGGAGATAGCCATTTGGTCGTAGCAGGCCAATCCGGTATGGTGAAGCCAGTGACGACAGCACAGATAACGGTGACGATGCCTTCTAAAATGAAGAGCCAGCGCCAAGTCTCGAGACCAGCAGGTTCCGACTTGAAAGCAGCAGCAATTCCAGCAGCGAAGAGACCGCCAAAAGCTCCGGAAAGCATAGCCGCACTGAAGAAGATACCAAGACGAAGACCAACCTCCTTGCGAGTGTACCAGCCCGAGAAGAGGAAAGCACAGCCAACGAAGAAAGGAGCTTCAGTTATGCCCAAGAAGAAGCGAGCGATGGCCAGACCCGTGAAGTTGTGCACAATGCCGGAGAGACCGCTGCAGATACCCCAGGCTACCATGCAGGTGGACAAGTACCAACTAGGACGGAAAAACGAGAGGATCATGTTGCTGGGAACCTGCATGCTGATGTAGCCTGCGAAAGTGACACTCAGGACGATGTTATACTGAAAGCCCACGAGGCCGAGATCTTCCTCGAGACCTTGCACTCGTGCGTGGGGCACGGCATTTCGGTCGATGTAGTTGAGAACGTACATAACAGCCTTGAAAAACAACAATTAGTGACTTGTACTTCCCCGTACTATCCTGTGAGGAAACGCGTCATTGATAGCATTCTTCTTCTTACCAATATGGGCAGCAGACGAAGGTCGATACGCCTCAAGAACTTCTTCTCCTTTTCGGCTCTCTCCTCTGGAGACCAGGCACGCACAAGGGCAATGTCGGCCTCAAGGGTTGAGGCTGCGATCTCAGCCAGGGTGGCGTCCTCACCCTTCGATTTGCGAAATCCGAGCATGTTTGTGCCGAGCTATGGCAGATGAAGAAGTGGAAAGGAAAATTATGACGATTGGTGTTGCAGTTGAAAGATTGATGGACGAACACGACGAGAAGGCTTCCGTTATAAAGGGTTGCAGAGTCTGGGAGGCTAGCATCACCACCAACGAAACACGAGTCTCTCAGGAGTCAGAACCGGGTCCAGAGCTCTGGGCTTTCCCACTATCTCCCTTGGTTTGCGGAGAACCCGGGGTCTCCGAGCATGTAGGTTCTGGCGGCAACGTGATCGTGGGGTCAGTTCCTTGTCTCCATCAATATTTAGGATACAGACCTTGGCCCTCTAGTGGTTTCTCATTCGTCTTCGGGCATTTCGGCCGAAGTCCGCATCACAGTCCGGGTGGGGACGAGGCTAGAGCCCAGCCCCCAGACCATGCGACCATGAGCGCATCAGCTGAGGCTGACGTTTTAGTCCTAGACGGAGGAAGGATAAGGGGAAGACAGAAAGTGAGGGGGAAAATCTCGTCTCGAAGAGTTTCCATGCTGTTGTGTGTTCATGGTCCGCTTTCAGTAGTTTGGCTACACCATACTCCTTCCCACCATTACGTAGAGCTTTACTAAACGACTATTCTCTGCAACTAGCCGACGGCCACGTCCTTGTCTCAGTCAGCAGGGTCACTATTTCCCTCTTGGGTCGTTTCTCGGCCGCAGATACCGTGTTGTCTCCGGATTACCGTTTCCCCAAGTCTCCATACTTTCAACGCGGAGGGGAGTTTGAGCAACGATATCGGAAGCAATTGACTCTCCACTAACAAGTCCAGAGTGCGGGGGGCACTACTTAGTTCACACGACCCCTTGGTGCTTTATTGCAAGACTGAGAATTCAAAAGCAGAGAGCAACAACCAAATACCAACGAGAAAGGAAAAAAGAATACACCATTACTGTAAAACTTCTCTTGAGAAAGCAAGCTCATTATGACCGACATCAGGCCTTTCAAGATCGACGTCCCTCAGTCTGAGGTAGACCGCCTGAAGCGCAAGCTCCAGGACACCCGTCTGCCTGGTCGTGAGATCGTGCCCGGCGCAGGCTGGGATTTTGGTGAGTCTGGCTAACAGTCGTCTGCTGAAAAGGAGACCAAAGTGAGACATGTCTTGACATGATATGCGCCTTAGGCCCGTCGTACGAATGGTCCGAAGGTCTCTTCAACGAGTGGAGGGACAACTACAATTGGAACAAGGCTCAGGAGCGCATCAATGCCTTTCCCCAGTTCCTAACCGAAATCGAAGACCTGACAATCCACTTTGTCCACGCGCGTGCTGAGAAGCCGGCCAGTGCCATACCTATCCTTCTCGTTCATGGGTGGCCAGGATCTTTCTACGAGTTCAATCACGTCTGGGGCCCGCTCTCCAAGCCCGAGGATCCCAGCCAGCCAGCCTTCAACGTCGTCTGCCCCAACATGCCCGGGTTCTGTTGGTCCTCCTGGCCTCCTCGCAAGGGCTGGACCATGCAGGACAATGCTCGCATCTTCGACGTGCTTATGAAGCGCCTTGGCTATAACGAGTACGTGGTCCAGTGCGGTGACTGGGCGCACTGGGTCGGTCGCGAGCTTGGCTCCAAGTACACCGACTCTTGCAAGATTGTCCACTGCAACTTTGCACCCAGTATCGTGCCTGGCGAGCGCGGTCAAACAGAGCGTGAGAACTTTCTCGCCGGTCGCGTCACGGACTGGCTGGAGAAGCACCTCGGCTATGCTGTATGCATGCGGACAAGGGTATGTTGTAGGCCCCGGCTCCCTCGCACCTTTTGTGTCTCGAATTATCAAGACATAAAAGTGTAGACAACGTTCTCACATGTATGCAGCCTCACACAATCGGTATCGCATTCCACGACAGCCCCGTGGGCATCCTCATGTGGGTTGGCGAGAAGTACGAAGAGCTCGCCCACCCAGACACCCTCAAGAAGGCCTCGTGGACGGAAGACATCCTCACCACCGTCAGCTTGTACTACTTCAGCGGCTGCATCATGCCTTCTATGCTGCCTTACGTGGAGAATGTTCGTCACCACCAGTTCGCCGAGGTCGCCACGCATCCCGACAACCGGATCAAGGTGCCTTTCGGTTTCACCTCCTACAAGTACGACTCGCAGCCGGCGACGAAGTGGTCTGTTGAGAGGACAGCCAACCTGAAGTTCTACAGAGGTCAGTATTGCTCTGATAACTCAAAAGGTGGGCATCAACCAGCTAACCTTGTCGTATAGAACGTGATGATGCTGGTCACTTTGCCGCGTTAGAACACCCAACCGGTATGTGCCAGGATCTTCGAGAGCTGGTTCAACAGGAGTGGAAGTCATAGACCAAAAGCTGAATCGATGCCTTCTCATTCATCAATACTAAGCAGTCGTCCAAATCCAGCTTATTGACGTTGACTTTGGAACCACCGCCCTCGCTACACCTCTCCATGATGCCTTCGGGGAAGTTGTTAGTGTCGTGAAGGACGACGCGATCTCTTCCAGCGGTCTCAGCTCGGATCATACGCAGACATAATGGTATCAGCTCCAGTTTCCAAGTGCAAACTATAGAAGACCGAAGGTAAAAAGGAGATAGGAGAAAATGAAAATGAGAAGTGCGCGAATAGTCGCATGCTGAGGCCTAGAGACTCACCGTTCAAAATCAAGAATAGGACCCTTTGGCCCATACTCACCGTGACGTTACCAATAGCAGGTGCCAAAAAGTCGATACTAGTCGTGATAAAGTCGCCGACCTGCTGCTTTATTATTAAACTACCCTCCAAATCAGCCGTATCTGCGATTCCATGTTCGCCTCCCTCAATCCTCCCAGGCTCCGCCTCCACCACAATCCCTCTCGCGTGGCAATACTCAACGAGGGTCTTCATCTTGCTGAGGTCCTCCTCCATCTCGTAGTGGCTTATAATGAATATGATGCTATCTAAATGCAGATTACCAGCTGTACTTTGGATCAGAGACTCATCCTGTATATTGTCGGAGTGGATGGCTACGGGTATGGTAGCTTGGCGCACTGCAAGAGTGGCAGCGTGGAGGAGTAGTCCGCAGGAGAAAGCAATAGCCTAAGGGAAGACTTGCATAATGATCGGACTACGCTTGGCCTCAGCTGTAGATGAAAGCTACGATATGCTCGATGTTATAGGCCACAGAAGCGATAATACTGAAACCGCCCTCTTCAGCACCTTGGGGATTCGATACGTCTTATTCTGTTCCGGATCCGAGGATTTCATCTTGGTCAACGGTAAGCTGCAATACCTAGTGTTATGGCTCACAAAAAGGGGAACAGCATTGCGGGGATCAGGCAGAAAATTCAATGACTTAAGGTCATGCTAAGTTAATCGGCACTGTCACTTAACATTCTCCGAATTTCTTGGAATGTCAGCCGAAATCGGATCAAGCCAACGAGATCCTACAGTATTATTCATGCTTTGCGGCCTGGCCTTGATCGCCTTGGGCTACAGGTGTTAGTTTCATGCTTTACTTGAGGTGGGTCATGTGCCTCGAGGCGAGGTGCTGGCAGAGACGAGAATCTCGCCTCGATTCTCTTGAGGCGATTTCCTGTTTTTCTTCCTTCCCACGGCTAGTGCCGTTCTAGTCAGTCGATCACTGGCGCAGCTTTTGTCCTCAGGTTTCATAGAGGAGAATGTGGGGTTTCTCGTCTCGAACACGTGGTGGAAAGCATCGGCTGTATGCTAGTTCCCGCCCTCCCTCACCACAGAGGCCGCCTTCGGTAGCCGAGATCTGATGGGAAACCTTGGAAATAATGCCCGGCAGACTGCAATGACAATTGCTCATGTTCGGAGAGGATGGCGGGAGAAAATAGATCTATATTATACGAGCTGTCTAACCTCTTGTTCATCGCGCGGCCTCCTGGTGTTCAGCTCAAGTGGAAGTAGCCTTGATATGAAGGCAGAGAGATAACACTTCTGGGGCGATTGACTGTTGGTATATAGCTTCTCCTATCAGGGGAATGTTCAGGTACGCTCTAGTAAGGACATATCACATCCGTGGCCAGCTGAATGCCGGGTTTGTCACCGTGTAGAGGAGACTGTAATTACAGGCTAATCTTGGGATCACGACTACCACACCAGTACTATTCGGGCCATGGTAAATATGACTCATGGCGTTGTCTACCGACAATGGTCAGTCTATGTGAGGCAAAGATATCGAACAGGTACCGCTCGCTTACTTGACACGATCACCCGCCGGTACATACTGGATCAATTCTCATTCTCGATCCTACGTTCATTTCATATTTGGGGACAATATGTCCAAACACCTAAGGCCCATAGACCGCCACGTATTCAGATTGGTGGGGTAGATTCAGCTATTTCTACGCCGCGCGTCGACGCTCTCCAGCTCTGAGGTGAAATTTCTCCAAGAGGTTATGATCCCCCCAATAGCGGCGATATTTCTTCCCAAAGACATACAAGACGGGCATGAAAACAAGAATGCCAAAAGAGATCCCAGCTAGAATATGAAAGACAGATTGCGGCCCAGATCGAGTGATCCAATCGTTGATAACGTAACTCATGCCGTAGAAGAGAAAGTTCTTGAAGCAATTCCCTACGACAAACAGCTCAGAGCTCATATCGTTGAAAGCATCAAGGACGTATGAGCTGGTTGTCGACAGACACCCAATGATGCCAAACAGGGCGACTCCATACAGGGCTGAGCATGCATAATGGCTAGCTTGATGGCCGACCAGGAAGCCAAACCCCAAAAGACCAGCGCCAGTGGCCAGAGACAATGGGCTCAGCAGCAAGCGAAACTCGGGTTCGTAAACGCCACTGTTCCTTCGACAGAGGAATTTAATGAGAGGATCTTGGAGGCTGCCGCAGAAAGCCAGTCCAACCAAGGCACCAACGAAGGGTCCCAGAGACATGTATCCGATTCCTGCCGCAGAAAGGTTGTACGGCGGAAGCCCAAACAACTGTGCGATCGAGATAGCCAGGGCGACCAAAAGCGATGAGTAGAAGGCCTGAACGAGGGCGACGTACAACACCGCAATGTTCAGATTGATAGCAAATGTTGTGATCCACAGCTGGAGGAGACTGTCACCACTATATATCCCGTCCCATAATGCGAGGCTCTGCCAATATGTCTTCGGTTGCTGAGTCGTCACGTATTCTTGATGTTCAATCGAAGTATTGTCGAACTCAGCTGGCTTGTCGTGTAGATCGGATGGAGGTTCTGGATCTCCGCTTAAGGAATTGATGGCTTGTTCGACATTCCGTAAATAGGATGTTTCGGGTGACAGGAAGAATTGCAACAGTAGCTGAAGAACAGAGCACGCCTGAAAGATGTGGAACTGATAGCGCCATCCAAAGCTGGATACTATAGATCCAGAAACGACCGATACCATGTTGGATACACCGGCGAACATGAAGTTAACCGTCGCAACATATGGGCCACGTTGATGAACGAAAAACAGATCTCCTACGGAGGCCATGATGAGAGATTCGTAAGCGGTGACTCCAAGTGCCTGCACAATCCTGCCGGCACGAAGGACTTGGAAGTCGTCGGTCGACTGACAGATAGCCGTGCCGATGACTGAAAATAAGGAGGACAAGATGTAGATCAGACGTTTGCCGTACTTCCTGGAGAGGGCCAGAACGAAGGGCGACGATACGGCGATGGCAAGCATCTGCTCTCCTGCCAGCATGGACACAGCTGTCAGGCTCACGTTGAAGTCCCCCGCTACAACAAGCATGCCGGCATTTAGAAGCGGCGACGTGCAACCGGCGTAGAGACAGGTTCCGAAGAGCGTGGCAATGAAGGATGCCATTTTCTTCCCGTATGACCAATTGAGAGGATCGTTCGGGTCCTCAGACGGCTGTGGTACGAGAATGACGCTTCCGTTTCCATGTTTGAAGTTGTGAACGGCCCCGGCCACATTGGATGTGTCTTCATCGAGAATTACAGTGCCGGGCACCTTGGATGACTTGTCATCGTCGAGTATGAAAGCGAAGGGCATCTTGGAGGAGACAGGCCTCTTTGCCGCCTCGAAACAATACGGTAGAGGATGAAAGACTTCTGTTTGCACTCAAAGGGGTTGGAGGAGGGGGGACTGACGGTTCTAATAAGCTTTTTTGCTCGGCTATCTTTGCAAATCGCTCAGCGAACCCACCGAGCCCGCAATACAAGCCTTTGACCCCAGATCTTCGGCAATCTGGGGCTGTCCCCGTGGGGTGCACGAGATCAGTCGCATACTGTCCCACCTGCGCTCCAACCGAGAGGGCGGGGACTGGAAGTGTGCCACCCTTAGCGTAGGATCGAGGTGGGTGGATGTTAAGCCAGGGTGGAATGATTATGGGAGCGTGGCTTTACTTAAACGCGAGCTATTGCAGTCTTAGCTAACGACCGAAGTAACCAAACTCATAAGCAGCCATGTCTAACATCGTAAAGAACGTTGTTTTCATCGGAGTAAGACGCCGTTGTCGATGCCGCTGCTCGTATGCTCGGGCACACTTCTTGTAACTTGCTAATATGTGATCCTTTAGGGGGCTGGACAGGCGGGTCTTCCCATCTTTTACTCCTTACTGAAGGCTTGCGTGCAGTCGGGGATCACTATTTCTGCCCTATCCCGGACCGGCTCTGCGTCCATATTTCCGGCACATGTCCCTGTTCTAAGAACGGACTATTCTCCCGCCTCTCTCCGAGATGTTCTCCGCGGACAAGATGTCGTTATTTCTGTCATCGGGGACTCGGGCTTGGCATTGCAAAAGACCATTATTGACGCGGCCATTGAAGCTAATGTCAAGAGAATTATTCCTTCAGAGTTCGGTTGTAGGACTTATGATCCGGAGGTGGTGGCCCTAATGCCCTATTTTGCGCCGAAGCGAGCTTCAATTGAGTATCTCATGACGAAAGAGGACAAAATTAGCTGGACGGCGGTGATCTCCGGTCCGTTCTTTGATGAAGTAAGTTTCACGCCTTCCATTGCTTCATCAGGAGGGAGAGAGAGAGAGAAAACCAACACTATTTTCAGGCCTTGAAGAACACTTTTCATGGATATGAGCCTCCAGACCAGTTCTATCTATTAGATGGCGGCGACTCAACATACTGCACGACAAATCTACACACCATCGGATACGCACTTTTCAAGATCCTGTCCAATGAGTCGAACTTTATTGACTCAGCTAATCAATACATCACCATTCACTCACACGTCCTAACCCAGAACGACATTCTACAGGCTCTAGAGGCGGTGACGGGAACTACCTTCAAGAAACACCACGTCAGCAGCGAGGAGCTGTACAAATCAGCGCTTCGCAATTTCAAAGCTCGAGGCCCAAATGAGGAGAAAGATCTTCTGGCAGAGAGAGATATAATTCAATGCATCACGTATGGAAAGGGTCAATTCCAAGGAATGGGAGATACGCGAGATAGGAACGACTGGACAGAAAGGCTGGGTTTGCCTCATGAGGATCTTTTCTCCGATGTCAAGGGTGTGGTCGATGGACAGCGGCCGTCCCGAACTTATTAAGACCAAACATTTATATTACACTCTAGATAGCAATCAACTCTCTTGGGTATGCACTGATATCTTGATTTGAGCGTCTCTCTCTTCAGCAGGAGTCGGGCATATATTCGATCCCAAGGTGTCCATGCTACCAGAGTTGCAGTGACCTTGTAGCGAAGATATCATCTTAAAGGGGCTCCGGACTTGATAATTGTCATCATCGATCTCGATCCTCGTCATAGTTCCTCCAGTGAGGCCGATGCAGGGATGACAAGTTACTATATCCACGGCCACATCTGCCCCAAAGGATAACCTACCTGTATCACCAATAGATTAGCGGGCTTACTTCAGCTACACCACCCATCCGAGGGGTTTACGGTAAAGCGCACTAGACGCCTGGCACTTTTTTTTGATTCTGACGACGAGGTTGCCTTTTAAACCGAAAAGAAGAATAGTGAATCCCTACACAGAGAACTTCCCGAGCGAGATAGGTATTTCCTCGAAAGTGTCCTTATGCCGCACTGCGCTCTGGTAGTCAGCCATGACAGGGATCAATGTTAGCTAGGCTGGTGACGAGCCACTCAATTTCATTGTTTTACTGCAGGTGTATGCTACTATCTTGACACATAGGTAGGTATGCTTTACTTTTCATCCTTGAATTGCTATTCTCGCTAGTCTTAAAATTGCCCATTTTCATGCTTCAGCTCAGATTCTGGCACAACATCCATAACGCTTTCCCAATGTTCTGTAAACTTTTCATCCTTGACTCGGTAGATATCAATAACATGGTTACCAATGTCTCCCTCCCAACGCTGAGAGTGATGCTGTACGACAACGTAGGGGCCATCTACGAGGATCCTCTTAATGTTCATCTTGATATGGGGTTTTCCAGGTTCTGTCCATTTGCTCTCAGCCCATTTCTCCATAATTTTCGCCATATCAATCAGTGATTCTCGCCCGTCGCCAACAAAGATGCTGTGTTGTTTGTAATTTGGGTCGACGAGTAGCTTGGTCCTCTCGAAGTCATAATATTTGAAAGCAACAAGGTGCAATTCGATGATTCGTTTGACAGTAATGGCCTGTTCGGCTGAATGCTGAGGCTGGTCCTGGAGACTGTTGTAGAGCTTCTCCACCTCAGCTCGCAGGATGGCGTCGGTCAAAGCCATTGGGAGAAACACAGCCGAGATGTAATAAACTGTCGCAGATGCAATAAACTGTCGCAGATGCAATAAACTGTCGCAGATGCAATAAACTGTCGCAGATTCTTAGATCGTTAATGCTGCAACAAAAACTAGCAAAAACTCCACTGAGCGGTTCCTTAGCAAGGACAGGCCTTTTAAGACTGTGAAGGTTGGGGAACGTGACTCAATCCCCGCCTTTGTTGTTGCGCCACCGAGCCTAAAGCAAAAATCCTTGTACGTTCACCCACCCGTCCCACCGAGCGAGCGTTCACCCACTCATAACGTACTCACGCAAACTGATGGTGGTTTAAAAATGATAGTCCCAGTTGTCTTTTATCGTTTTGCTATTTGTGAAGTAGCCCTGTTTTGCTGGGGAGGGTATCATGAACTATGTAGAGTAGGACTTATACTTTCTATAAAACCTAAGTCAGGGGTAATACCTTAGCTATGTTAATAGGTCTTACTTGGTACGACTAACCTAATAAATAATTAATATAAAAAACAGTATGTAATATATGAATAGTAGGATAAAGTACTAGATATATCTGATACATCCTGAAGCAAATTCAGAATATTCAGCCACTATAATTAGCTACATCACGCGTATACCTCCTCTCAAGCGTGCGTTCTTGCCATCAAGCGAATTCCCGCAGAAATCACGCACTATCTCCCTAAACCAAGCGTTATAAACGACTTGTCTCATGCTTGGATAATCAAATCGGTCGAAGGGAGGTGGAATATATCAAAGAACCCGTAGGAAATACCGTGGAAACGGACGGCTTGGGGTCTCTTTCCGTACGTGTACTGTCCGTGAAGATGAAGAGGTTAATAAAAGCAAGGATTTACTGCATTAGTAGGAGCGTTGTCTTCTCAGAGAACATTACCGCTCTATAATAACTGACTCTCAGCCAGGAGACTCTGAGTGTGTGTAGACGTGGGTGTTTAAGATTGTACCCCAGCTACCGACAGCCTACCACGATGAATTTCGAGACACCGTCAGCTGGTAATTGTCTTACTGCCTGAGAATGTAACAGCGCGTGCCCCTCTCCTTTATAACCTTATTGTCCATATAGTGACTCTGTTATACCGGGCGATCTGCATTCCAATGAAAACCCACAAAAGTAGACGCATTTCATTTGCTAATCAAACAGTAATGACAGCCTAACTTAACCAACCTGCATGATTTCATGAGCTCCTTATGACCCTACACCGCAATTTGACTCATGCAAAATGTTTGGCCACATGGCGGGAAGCTGAAAGGTGCATGGTGGAGAGAATTCTCTAAAATATGCCAGCCCCATGTCTGACTCAGCCCATTATAGTATGATTCAGAGAATACGGAGTGTTTGAGGAACATTTCGTCAGCTCGGTCAAGGTTATCACGCAGTGCTTCTGTGATAGGAGGGGTGAGGCAACTGGCAAGGCAGGTGAGCCATGCAGTCAGCGGACCAGATAGACCGTTATAGGATGCTACAAGTTTTTCCTGTGAAGATGCGGCCTAACTCGAATTCAGTCGATAACTCAGCAAGACTACACAGTTAACAGTCAAGGTATGAATATCTTCGTGATTTGTGAGTCTTCTCACCTACGAGCATGCGAGCCCTTTTCGTGCTGTTGGCACTGTTCGAAGACACTTTCACCTATTGCTTATACCCTCATACAGCAGTTAGAATGGCCTGGTCAGGTCAATGGACCCAATGGCTCAGGCTGCTCTGTTACTCTGCATCGGAGTAGCCTTAGTTAAGGTAAGAGACTCCCACAACCAGTCCAACAAGCTCTTCACGATATTCAACATCTGATACTTTAGAGAGGGGAATAGTGAAAAATGTAAGTTAGCCTATCAGAACTACACTTATCACGTGACCCTCTGTAGGGTGCCTATAATACCCTACTACTAGCTAGTCTTTATATTCTCTTCTTTTCCTCTTTAATTAATTAATATTATATAAACCCTATAAATAAAGCTCTACTTTACTATATATAGTCTAATCTTACTAGAGTATATTAATAATAATTTATATATTACTTATTCTCTTTACTACTACTTAGTTTATTATATAGTAGTAATTCTTATATTTCTTTCTATTATTTTTTAACTACTAACTATATAAATATAAAGTAATATATCTTTTATTATCTATAAACTTATATATATATAAGTCTATAGCTAAAACTTCAGAATAATTAATACTATTATATCTAAGAGAATTTACTATTAAAAGAATATAAGAATAATAAATTATAATTAATATAAAGAAAACCCCTATTAGATATAGAATTATTTTATATTATATAAAGCTATATAGCTTCTTAAACCTACTAAGTAACTAGCTTCCTATTATAAAGAAGTTAGAAGAAAGAACTATAAGTTCTACTTTTATATTATAACTAACTATAATAAGAAGATTATTAATAAAAACTAAATTTTAATTTTAATATAATTATATTAATTTTATCTTTATAATATTCTAGCTTCTATTCTAACTATTAAACCTACTTTTTAAAATAAGTTTTTTACTATAAAAGTAATTATTAAAAAAATCTTAAACTATTTTAAATTACTAAGAGTTATTTTACTTTTACTTTAAAACTAGATTATACTAATCTAGACTAGAAAGCTTATATAAAGTTTAATTACTTAAAGAGAAATATATAGAGAATAAGTAAAAGAAGAGCTAATATTTATTAGAAAAAGAACTAGATAGTTAATTCTTATTCTATAAATAACTTATATTAGAAATTAAGATAATTACTCCCTTAAGAGTTAAAGTAGTTATTCTAGATTCTTAAATTTCTATTAATCCTTCTCTCTTTATATTATCTAAATTCTCTTCTAATTACTCTCTTCTTACTTTATACTATTTAAATTTATTAATTTTATCTATCTCTTATCTCTATATTATAATTTAGTTTAAATTACTAGAACTAATTAATCTATTTAGTTTTTTATTAGAATCTTCTCTATAATTATTTTAAAATTACCCTAGTTATCTAATATTTATTATTAAAAAACCTAGAATAATCTTTAAGATTAATACTCTAAGTAAGTATATACTCTTATTCTTATAATAATTATTTATAATTCTAAAATAATTATCTATATTTTTATTATCTAAGAACTTATTCTATCTACTTTTAGAGGAATCTTAAGTATAATCTAAAAGTTTATTACTAGGAGATTATTTTTTACTATTTTCTAAAAACTATTATATATCTTATTATTATAATCCTTCTATTATTAAATAGTAGAGATCTTCTACTATTAAATTATAGAGAGAATCTCTTTTAGTAATTCTATCTTACTCTATATACTTATTAATTCCCTTAGTAGAAGATAATTAAGAAGATAAGTATCTTTATCCTACTTCTTCTGTTTAAAGAGAACTATAACTTTAAGAAGTACCTATCTAAGTAAATAGTAATATAGACTAAAGATAATAAAAACCTTAGATATAAATTTAACTAAATAATTACCTAATAAAGATATTAATTTATCTCTTAATTAGATCTAATTAATAAAGAAATTTTATATACTCTAGTAGAAGTAGATAATAAGTTATAGATAGTAATATAAAAATAAGCTTATTATATAGTAGAAAATAAGATTAAGAAACTAGTAGCTATATCTATACTTAAGCTTACTATTAGTAAGATACTTTTAATACTATCTTAAAATCTCTCTATAAATAAACTATTAATAGAAACTAGTTATACTATTAATAATATATTATTAATATTATCTTAGTATTTACTTATCTATTAGTTATAATCTTTAACTAATCTAATTATTAATAATATATTATTAATATCTCTTTTAGTTAGAAAATCAGATTATAAAGAATTAAATATTCTAAACTTAACTAAAATATATATAACTTCTAGAGATAGTAATTTTACTTAAGAACTTTATTTATTATAAGAGTATATTAAAAAGCTATTTAGTTTATACTCTTAAGATTCTATATTTAGATATATTTATAATAGAATTTTAGAATAAAATAATAAAATAGAATTAAATATCCTACTAGTATTTATTATTTATTCTAATATAGAACTACTATATTATAATAATAGAGAAAATATATAATTATATCTTTCTACTATAGAAATTCTAATAATCTATAAAATAATATATAATAATTAAGTTTATATTAGAGGAGTATAATAACTTTACTAATTTATAAAATAAATTATATTCTTTTATAATATAAAATAAATACTTATAGATTATATTACCTATTATTCTAAATATTAGAAATTAAAATTATAATATAGTCTCCCCTATAGTAATATAATAGTTATTAAAATATCTAAATAACTATTAAATTCTCTTTATTTAGACTTTATATTAGAACTTTCTAAAGTAAGTAATAGAGCTAACTCTAATACTATTCTATTAATTATAGATAAGTTTATAAAATTTATTTATTATATTATTAGCTATACTAACTAAACTACTAAGGATTAGACTAATATATATATATAGTAGGTTTATTTCTAATAAGGAATATCTCTAGTCTTTATATATAATCTTAATCTATTACTAATATCTGAACTATAGATAAATCTATATATAATAGTAAATATAAAATACTATACTAGTATAGTATATTATTATCAGACTAATAGATAAAGTAAATAATTAATATAAACTCTAATAATTATACTAAGAGCTACTATAGAAGGATTATTTAGATAAAATAAATAGATATTAAGACTACTATATATAGTATTCTATTTAAATAGTACTTATAGTTTATTAATAAATATATTTCTATATAAAGCTCTTTATAGTTACTCTTCTAGCTATTTTCTAAGCCCTATTAGTATTAAAAATCTATTAGAATTTAGAGAATAATAGAAAGTTATATAATAGGAAGTATAGAATTAAATTAAGCTTATAAAAACTTAAATTAAGATTTATTATAACTAATAATATCTTACTTCTTTAGAAATTAATATAAAAGATCTAGTATATATAAAAC